ATACAATGTTTCTAGGGTGGGCAGACTGCTCTAAGGTCTGGATCTCTAATGACGGTTGGTACCCACTCACCATGCAGCGTCTATCTGGTGGCTTCCAGCCACTTTTCCAGGCAGAACCTGTCGCTGGCATAGTCTGACCATTTCCATATTGCCTGCCCTCCAGCGACCCCTGGCGGTTCCTTGAAAACCAAAATCCCAGTTCCTCTGGCCTTTGCAGCATCTCGGAGGTCCTAGCCTACAGCAATTAGATTATATTTTCTGTGGACATGCCCAAGTATTTTTACAAAAACTTAGCCCATGGCCAGGGCAGAGACTACATGATGCAGCTATTGGCTCTAGACCCTCAGGAGTCACCATTGCACCCAGAGAGGGCCCCCTTCAGGGTCCTGAGGGCACCAGGCCTTGTGCTATAAGCCGTGATCTATATTTAACATACACTGCCGTACTGACTTCTTCTGGAGTCAGTGCCTTACTTTGAGACTTAACATCATCTTTTGTATTTTTCCTTTTGCGGTTTTCTGTTTCATGAATGCTTTCAATAATCAGAAACGGAGAAAAATATTTTAATAAATAAACTAAGTAATGGATGGCTCAGATTATTCAGGAACAGTGACACAAAAATAGAATAAAACAATGCAGTTCTGCCATCTAGTGGCCACAATGCAAAAAAAAAATCAAAGGAGGCAAAGGCCTTAACTCTTGGGCCAAATTCCCATCCAGGCATTTGGGGGAAGGAGGTTTGTTTGGGCATGACTTCAATCCTAGCACTCCTAGAGACAGAAACAGGTAGATCTCTCTGAGCCCAAGGCCAGTATGATCTACCCAGCAAGTTCCGGGACAGCCAAGGCTACAATGAAAGACCCTGCCCCAAACAGACAACAAATCGAATAAAACAAAGCAATCCAAGCAGAAAGTTCCTGTCACTTTTTTTCACAGAGACATATCAAATCTGTCTATCTTTAGCCCGGTTTGTGCTGGAACGCTGGTAACTGCTATGTGATTTAACCTTTCTGAGTTTCACGAAAGGCTTTTTAGCTTGGGATCAGGACACAATTTACAACCATTTCTACTCTTGTTGTCCATGTACCCTGGCCACTTTGTGTGCAGAGTGGCATTTTCAGCCTTGAGACTCTTTAGATCAACGAACCATCTGGGGCCTTTTAGGTTCTGCAGTACCAAATATTCAGCTAGGGTTTCTTCGTTGTTGTTTGGTTTATTTGGGGGCAGGGTTTCTCTGTGTAGACCTGGCTGTGACCCTGGAACTGACTGTAGACCAGGCTGGCCTCTTCAGGGATCTTCCCGCCTCCTGAGTGCTGAGATTAAAGGTGTGAGCTGCTGCCCCTGCTCAGCGGAGACTTCCTAATGTAGAAACAATCAGCCACATGGGTCTCACTTGAGCACAAAGTCACTTTCATCTTTAATGAATGGTAAAGTTACACAATGCTTATTTAAAAATTCCTTTAATGCATAGGAGAGTGGGTATGTGCATATGTGTGTGCAGGTGGATGTGAAGTGTGTGTGTGTGTGTGTGTGTGTGTGTGTGTGTGTGTGTGTGTGTGTGTGTGTGAAAGCTGAAGGGTACCCTCAAGTGATGATCCTCAGGATCCAACCCCTTGGTTTGTGGGACAGGTCTCCCACTATTCTGTAACTCACTAGTAGGCAAGTGTGCCTGGCCAGTGAGCCCAGGGACCTGCCTGTCTACACCTCTCTAGGCCTGGTATCGGAAGTGCTCTACCACAGACATGGCGAATCCCAACGGCACTTCATTAACATGGGTTTCCTCCCAGGGAGTGGTTACCTACATGGGTTCTGTCAACAGAACTCAGACCATCATACCTATGGTAATCAATGCAACCACTGAGCTGTCTCACAGAAATATACAAAATTTCCTGATGGTTATTAGTAAGCATTTGACTTATATATACACCCCCTATACACACAGAAACACACACAGACACACACACATAGACACACACATACACGGACACACACTGACACATACAAACTTCTTGGGTCATAAATGGGAAGACTTTAAGGAGCTCTGATTATTTAAATAATCACATGCCTAAAGAAAGTCGAGAAAATAAACTAATGTTTCACAGCCTAGGAGAATATGACATAAAATCATCATTCATCATAGCTCAGAATTGTTCAATAATTTAACAGTCTTATACTCCATGCAACAAAATCAGCATTTAAGAAATGGTAACTTAGATACCACGCAAGACACTAAAGCCTTCTCTTGGATAACACAAACCCTGATGTTGTTATCAGCCCTGTACTGAAAACGTACAGAGCACCAGAACCAAGTTACCCAAGCTGGCTCACTTTCCAAAGGCAGAGGGGCGTACCACAGACTATCAATTTAGCAAAACAGCAGAGCTCATGCCGAGCTCTAGGTCTTCAAGCAGAAGTCTCAGTCGTCCCAAAGGCTTAGTCATTTGCTTTAAGCAAATATATGGCCAGATCCTCAACTTCCCTTTGTGTGGGTCCCCCCAAACCTTGTCTCCATGACACCCCATCCTTTCCTCCTCCCCATCCTCCCATCTCCACCATGTGTCTGGCAGAACCACGCTGCACACGGCTCCAGCCACCTAGCAAGGGGCAAGTGGGGTTTCCTGTAACGCATGAGAAGGCTGGTATTTGGGACCCGTGTGCCAAACCCAATTATACACTGGAAAGTGACCTGAAGAAATCTCTTCGCTATGTTGCAGAATGGAACAGGGTGGTGGCTTAACAGCAGTGCGTCTTTCAGCCCCACAATTCCCAGCCGTTCCCTCCTGGCAGAACCGCGGGGGGGGGGGGGGGTGGGCACGACATTTGGAGCTGGGCTCCATGCTATTCCCTCCCTCCCCCGCCAAAGGGAACGTCACTATTACGAGGTGCGGCCTTGATGGAGGAAGTATGCCTTTGAGATCTCCTATGCTCAAGCCACCATGATGATAATGGACTGAACCTCTGAAACTATAAGCCACCCTATATAGTCATGGTCATGGTGTCTCTTCACAGCAATAGAAACGCTAACTATGACAGGTGCCTAACGAGACGCTTACTAAATGAAAAAGTGTTTTCAGAGCTCTACTGAGAGAAAGCCAGAGTGGTGTGGGTAACTGCTTGGACCAGCTGCCTTTGCAAACTGTTATACAGGCTCTGCACGCCCGAACAAGCTATGTTAGCAGCTTGGCAGCCCTATTATGCTCATACATAGATATATTACAAAGAATAGTTTCGAATGCTCACAAATGCCTCTTTTTCTAACACGTTCAGTTACCCAGCTTGGCATCTAAGTAAAAGGCCAAGCGGCCTTGGAGACAACTGGCAGGAGTTTTGCTACAGACTTTTTTGATAACCCTTCCTAAAAACCGGGGGTTGAATGAAGTCGGGTAATTTCTGATTCTTTACTTTGAACACGAGGGAGCAGCTAACTGAGTTGTCATTTTTGGTACGGAGCTCAGAAGGAATTCGGGAATGAAATGGCATTACTACCGCCATGTTCTTCAATCCCATACACTTTTCATGAGTCTCCGCTGCTTACATATCTAAAAACGGGAAACAAGCAGAAGAGGGATTGACTTTGCTTCCCAGCACTGAGTGTTTCTTCACTTACTAAGAAACATTTTTAAAGCCTGCAATTTCAGCGTAATTCGCAGTATCTACTTATTTTGATGAGTAACAAGGTAATAATGCTAATAACTTATTTCTTTAGAGCAACCCTGAATTAGCAACAGGAACTCAGCCGAGTGTGAAGTCCTCTCAACATTCGGGAAAACTAGACGATGCCTTCAAACGCACACAAACGTGCACGTGGCTACATGGTTAGAGTGGACAGGTGTACGCCGCGGTGAGGACTTCCACATGACTAAATCTGAGAGTGAACTGAAGGGGAAGAGAGGCTTTAAAGAGGGCAAATTTAAGAGGAAAAAATAAGATAAAAGCGTTGTGCACCAAAGTGTCGTTTACAGTTTTTAATGAGTAAGGACAGCTAAAAGTCCCTTCCTACTTAGACTCCACTGGATGCACTGAAACACGGGATGGTCAGTGGTTAGCACACAATTCTTTTTCACATCTCCCGGGAAGTACAGGACTCCAGAGATGCACAGAGGGCTGGATGGTCCTACTTCTCTTCACCTGAACGGTACAAGGGAGTGTACATTGTTACAGTGTGACAGAGGGAGTGTACATTGTTACAGTGTGACACTGAACACTGGAAGGCCACTGCTCTACCAGGCTTTCTCTGGCAAAATGGGCTAACCTGGGCTTCTGAGCGCTCCCAGGAGTTGGAGCTGTCTCATCTCTGACTCCAGCGGATTATTCTTGAACTCAAATGACACTGGATGACATTGAAGCCCACTCTTGTGGCTATACTTTCCTGTGTCCTATCTGCGATGGTGTGGCCTGAAGCTGCCTCGGGAGGTTGCAGGTGGGGACAGAAAGCTCTGAGCACTCATCATAAAATAATCAAACCTCTTAGTGCCTCAGTTTCCCTAACTGCCAAATGGCATTAGCGACGGCACCACCTCCCTGGGATACATATGGGTTAATTGGATAGTAGCAATAATAAATAACGATGTGCTTACTCATACATTCAGATGTAGACTACAAAGTGAGCTCAGCAAATGCAGGACCCTGAGCACAGATGGCGCTAAGTTTCATCCAAGGAGCAACTCATTCTGGTACCCACTATTCCTAGCATCCAGATTCTGCCCTTCAGCCACGTTCTTTACCAAGCAGTGTCAGAAGCCCCAGCCTTGCTCTGCAGGACTCCCCGAATGAGAGCAGCCTTTCATTCCTGGGAATGAATTATCCCTCATACACATAGCCGGTGAGCAGGAAGCCCCCAAAGCTTGGGCCTACCTAAGCAAGAGGGCACTCACTGCTACACAGAGCCTTGCAGTCCACTCCCACACACACGCACAACACAGACCTCCCTCCCTATATGTGGGTGGTAATCAGGCCTAAGTGGCTGAGGGACGATGAGCGCAGCAAAGCAGAAAACTTACCCAAGAATCGATGAGATAATGGAGGAGCGGTCGGGCTTAGCATCAACTCCATCTTTGCCGGAAGGATCCACGTTTTCCATCTCTGAAACACAGTTCTGGTCATCCGCCATCTAGGAGGGAAATCAAACCAGAGAGGAACAAGGATGCAAAGTAGCGCCATTGCCTTGCAATGCGTGTGTGTGTGTGTGTGTGTGTGTGTGCGCGCTTATGTGTGTGCAAGTGAACACACATGTGTGCCTGTGCATGTGGAGGCCACAGGTCAACCTTGGGTGTCATTCCCTAGACATTGTGTGTCCCCATTACCCCCCTCCCCCTGTTTTCTCTGTCTCTTAGTATTTTTAAATGACACTCCCTTGTTCTTGCATGTTTAAGCTCCAGGCCTCCTGTACCATCTCTGTAACAGTGTAATAGAACACAAGCCAACTATACGGCAGGACTCCTCCTGGCGACCAAGTATCCACACCAGAAGCCAAAGCCCTTGACCTTGGAGCTTCCAGCCCAGCACCCATGGCCTTGCTAAACTTTTGGCGTGCGCAATAGACCGGGTAAAGCCGTCACGGTTTGTAACAATGAGGAAGGCCCCCTAGATCCCCGGCAGTCACAGGGCACCCACATTTCCCCTGGAGTCACTCAGCACACCTCAAAGACAGCACAGAACTCTTCACTGCAGGTGACTTAAGTGATCCCGCCCAGGAAGATTCCCATCAAACAGTTTCCCTGCTCAAGAATCTTCAAGATGGCTCATTGGCTGAGAGCACTGTCTGCTATTCCAGAGGACCCAGGTTCAATTCCTAGCATGAACCTGGAATCCCAGTCTCAGGGATGCAGGCATGTGGTCTAGCTTAATCAGTAGTTCCAAACCAATGAGACAAGAACTTGTCTCCAAGACAGAGAGACACAGAGAGAGACAGAGAGACACAGAGATAGAAGGGGGCAGACTCCTGAGGAATGATGCCTGAGGTTGACCTTTGGCCTATATCACACATGCATCCCCCCCCCCCACACACACACACACTATTTAAAAACTCAGTTTTTAATCTGTCTCCTTGGATTTGAGGGCCCTTCACAACCTGGGGCAGGCGTCAGCAGACTGGCCCACCTTTGCTGACGTGAGTAAGCCTGCGTGTCGTCTCTGCTTGTTCGCTCTCTGTGAGCAGACACAGACGTATTTACTACCTGGCTGTTTACACCATGCTCTCTGCCTACTTGGCTCTTGTGTCTGTCACTGTATTTGTGCCACGCTAATTGCTTGGCTCCCGAAGGACAATATAAACTCATTGTGGGTGAGGCATCTGGCACACAGAAGGTGCTTATTAAATAAATATTAACTGAGTGGAAGACAGGAGGAAATGAATACCCCCTTGGGAACAGAATTAGCTAAACACGATGCAGCTGGTCCAAGGAGCGTCCATATTGGAACCACTGTTTGCAAGTCAATCCTGTTTCATTCTGCATGGAAAGATCAGGGACGCAAGCTTCAGAGTTTATCTGGTCTCGGACCTTCAGGAGGCGTGTATGCACACCTGTCAGGGCTGGCCTAGAAGACTGTTCACACGGCTGGAGAAGGTGGTTTTATATAAAGAAGGTGGTAATACCATCTGTACCCGTGTCCCAGGGTATGATGGCGATGGCATTGGAGGTGGAATCCAGCCTAGAGAGGGTGTCCGTGGAGGCCAAGCAAGAGCTTTGTGGACTTTAGCACTGAGGTATCTCTATAAAGTTACTTTGCAGAAGATGACAGAGAAGGGAGGAAACAGAGGAGAGGGAGGGGAGGGGAGGAGAGGAAAAAAGGGAGGGGAGGGGAGGGGAAGAGAGGGGAGGGAGGGAGGGAGGGGAGGGGAAAGGAAAAGAGGGAGGGGAGAAGATGGGAGAGGAAGGGAGGGGAGAGGATGGGAGGGGAGGGGAAGAGGGGAGGGGAAGGGAGAGGAAAAGAGGGAGGGGAGAAGATGGGAGGGGAAGGGAGGGGAGAGGATGGGAGGGGAGGGGAAGAGAGGGGAGGGGAAGGGAGAGGAAAAGAGGGAGGGGAGGGGGAGGGGGAGGGAAGAGGGAGGAGAGAGGAGAGGCTTGGCTTGCGTTCCAGGCACTGGAGAAGGACCTGAGTCAGGAAGGACACACTCATGGTGGCCAGGAGAAATCAGGTGGCCACCAGCTCTGCACATCACAAGTCCCCCCGACCAGTGACCAAGAGCTTCTGGTCAGGATACAGAGCCCCAGATGTTTCTTACGAGCAGAGATGACGCCATCAGAGATAAGCAGAGGCCTGGCACTCAGAAGACACCAGCAATTTCCAGTCAGTCTTCTTCACACAGAGTCCATTACACTTACAGTGTAGCCATCAGCACGGTACATGCTCGAAAATCTTCCAAATTAGCCAGTCAACTTTTTTGCTAAAACCTAACCCCCACAGACAGTGTCTCCAACGTGGTCTTCAACCTTGACTGTTTTGCCAAATTTAACCTAAAAGGTTAAACTTAAGATCCGTAAGACAGAGAGAGAGGAGGGGTATGGAAGAGATGGGAAGGGAAAGAGAGGAAGAGAGAGAGGCAGAGGCAGAGAAAGGTCCTTGTGTCTACAGAATAGGAGGTTACAGCTCTCATCCTGCCCTAGAAGCGACAACTCTGGCCACTCCCCACAGGCCAGAACACAGCCGGGAGGTGTAGGTGTCTACCCGGATTCTAGCACCAAGAGATCAAATTCTCAAAACTGTACCTAGCAGAGAGGCTAAGAGGGCAGCTTCATGTTCCCATCATCCTTCCTAGAAGGATGGAGCAAAGCAAGACATTTTAACAGTGGATGGATGAAGAAAATGTATTACCTGTCAAACGGATAACACCCCAAACAGGAAGTCACACAACTAAATAGCAAAAACTAACAAAATTAAATATATATATATATATATATATATATATATATATATACATATAATGTGCAAAACATGTGGCTGGTTTGGGTCTGGTGTGTCCCTTCCCCCTTCCCCAAGGTCCCCAGCAGCCTGCTGCTAGAAGGCACTGGAACCCAAGGTGAGGCCTCCTGGGAAGTTTCTAGTCAGTCACTCATGCGTGTTAGGAAATTTAAGTACTTGTCCCTTACCTCTTCCTCCCCACCCAGCTGTAGAACTTCCATGCAAACAAGGTTGTTCTCATAACTTTCCGGTGCGCAGTGCAGGTGTGCCTTGACCCCAGGTGTGGGTGGTGCATGACTTCCTCCTACGCTCAGCCCATCCCCTGGCTTGGGTAGATAAGCCCATCACTCTGTAATAAATGGTGTCAGCAGCTTCCTCTTCACTTCTCGTGCTGGTCTGTTAAGTGTTTCAACCCCGACACCCTCCGCCAAGCTCGGTATCTGGCTGTGCAGGCGCGGCACATGGGTCCTCAGAGGAAATAGGGACCTGCGTCCTCTTCCTTTTTACTTCCAAGCCACAAAGCAAAGACCCCACTGATGTGACTTCAAAATGAAATGCCCTCACGTGCTGAATGAAGTCTTGGTCTCCAGCTGGTGGGGAGAGGGAAACTTCCGGAGGCGGGCCTTGCTGGAGGAAGAACGTCACTGGGGTAACGGTAGGAAGCGTGGAGTGTACCTGGACCCTTCCTGACACCTTCTCTCTGCTTTCTGGTTGCCACAAGGGATCAGCTTTACTGGATTAACAGTTCTGTTGCTATGGTACCCTGCCCGTGTGCTGAGGCCGCGCTAAAGCAGGGGTTCCCAACCTGTGGGTCACACACCAGATATCCTGTGTATCAGTTATGAAGTAGGAAAGTAGAAACCAAACAATGTTACGGTTGGGGGGGGGGTCACCACAACATGAGGTTAAGTGTTAGAGGGTCATCCGTTAGGAAGGTTGGGAACCATCGCTCTAAAGGGAGGCTCACTCTTAGTTGTCCTCTGAGGTGTTGGCTACTGAGGAAAAAGAGACCCATATGTACCAGGATGTGCTACTTCATCAGCTCAGGTCCCACAGCAACAGGCCTGGGCAGTCATGGGCTGGAGCCTCCAAAGTGGTGAGGTAGATGGAGGATATGGCGTCTCCTTCCAGAAGGATCACCTCACGCATTTGTTACACAAACAACAGAAAGCTGACGGACACAGGAGGGACCCACTTGCGGATGAAGAGCTAGGGTCAGTTTTCCTTAGGTACACCGCCTGTCTCCAACGGGAGGCCTCACACGCGGACAGATGGTTAGCACTAATTGGATTCAGCCGTGTCTTCTTCCCAGCGCCTGCACCACCGTCTGCTGGAAGCTTGTGGTGGTTTGAACAGAAATGGCCCCCACAGGCTCACAGGGAGTGGTACAATTAGCAGGCGTGGTTGGTCTTGCTGGAGTGGGCGTGGCCTTCTTGGAGGAAGTGTGTCACTGGGGGTGGGCTCTGAGGTCTTGAGTGCTCAAGCCAGGCACAGTGGCTCCCTCTCTCTTCCTGCTGCCCACAGTGCAGATGTAGAACTGTCAGCCACGCTTCACGCCACGATGGCAATGGAATAAGCCAGGCCCCAAGGAGATGCTTCCCTTTATAGGAGTTGCGGCAGCATGGTCTCCTCACAGCCACAGAACACTGACGAAGACAAGGCCTAAAGCACCTCCCTGGCTGCCTGGGGGTGAACGTCTTTGCCCTACCACACGCTCTTATCAGCTGGATGCTCTGCCTTGCCACAGGCCCACCGGAAGGAACGGGGCAAGCAGACCAGACACCGAGATGCCCGAAACCAGGAGCCAAAACACACCGTAAAGGGAGGCGTTTTGTCTAAGTCTTCAGCTAACCTCTGCAGTCTGTAAGGCTAAGCACGTTAGCTTCCTTGTTCCCATGGTGAGGACAACTCTTGATTTTGGCTCCTGGTTTCATCCCAGGAAGATGTTTCACCTTGACTCTGCTGCGCTGGCCAAGGGTCTTCCTAGCATTACTTTCCCCGTCCCCTTTCCAGGAGCTGCAAAGAACAGTCATTACAACCACAGTGCTTGCCCGCGGACAGAGATGTGTCTCTTTAAATGACCTGGAATGTGTGATGGCTGCTGTTATGGTGTTGGGGTAATTGGTCCCTCGGTGAGGGCTGTGGTGGAAGGCTAGTCCCCTACATGATGCTAGGAGGTGCTGAGACTTAAGAGATGGGATCCAGAAGGAAGCCATGCTCTTACGGGGCCCTGTGCTAGTTCTCAAGATGTTGCTTAGCCAAGAATACATGCGGCCACTCCCTGGTTACTTCAAATTCCTGCCCTACCTGTAAACACTCAGGCCGCTGGAAAGCCATCTGCTCTGAGAGTGAAACGAAGCCCACACTGATGTGTGCTGGCTAGTTTCTCAGTGTCAACGTGGTATAACCTACAGTACCCAGGAAGAGGGAGCCTCAGCGGAGGAGCTGCCCAGACGATCCATGGTAGCGAGTGTGTCTTCACGGGCACGCCCAGCCCACTGTGGGCGGTGGCATGCGCAGGCAGCTGTGTCTGAACTGTGAGCGAGCTAGCTAGTGAGTAAGCACTTTCCCAGCCTCTGGGTTCCTGCCCAGATCCCCTCAGTGATGGACTATGGCCTGGAATAGTCAGATGAAATAAACCCTGTCCTACCTGAGTTGCTTTTGGCCCTGGTTGTTTTGTTATTTGTTTGTCACAGTAAGAGAAAGCAGACTAGATAATGCTGAAGCAAACCGTGTTGAACCGTGCTGAGGCTGGTCAGGATCAGGATACTTATTTTCTTTCTTTCTTTTTTTTTTTTTTTTTTTTTTTTTTTTTCATGAGGAAACAGACTAGCCCTGCCTGCTTCCTGGCAGTGATGTCATACATACCTCCAGCCCAAATACATCCTTCCCTAAGTCCCCAAAGACCTGCCTTTGCCACCTTTCACACCAGTGTCACCCGAGGTTGGCATGGCTAGGTAACCAGACTGCCCACATCCTGCACGGAGGGCATTTGTAAGGTCTGAAGGGAGAACCGGGCCCGTAAACAGGAAACCGGGGCAGGAACCTACAAGTAAACTTACTCTCACACAAACCATAAAGGCTGAGGAGGAGTACAGGTCGGGTGTCCCCTGGAGCCCACACCACCCAGAGTCACCTCTGCCAGCTTCCTGCCTTCTCAAATCGCTGCAAGAGCCCCGAGGCTTGCAAGGGTCCCCCAACGAGGAGGAGTATTCAAGCGCAGTCTGCCCTGCTCAAAAGACCTGTGCACCCTGACTCCCTCCTTCCCGCGCACAGGTCAGGGCCGCCCTAGATTCCCAAGCTGCCCGGCCGGTCTGATAAGTTAGTCCTCCCGAGGCCAAAACCCTACCTACTTCCCTACTACACCCGTTCTCCTTCCCGTTACGTTCGGAACGGCGCCGGATGTCGCTAGACCCCCGGAGGGGAAGCCAAGGGAGGGACAAGCCGAGCAAAGCCTGCGCAGGAGGGCGTGGAGAGCCCCAGCCTCAGCCTGCAGAACCGCCAACTCCTGCAAGCCTGGGGGAGGGCGGGGACGCGCGGGAGGAGGGAGCACGCGGGAGAGGGGCGGGAAAGAGGGTTGGGGTCCAAGTTACCGTGCCCAGGGTGGCGAGCGGGAGCCCACGATGGCGTCCGGTCCTCGGCCCGGGTCCAGAACCGTTTTTAGGAAAAGCGAAAGTGAAAGTCCGTGAGCCCGAGAGGGAGGAACGGGCGGGGCAGACGCGGCCCGGGCGGGGCTGCGCGCTTAAACCCGGGAAGGCTGGCCGCGCGCCGGACCGCCGTGGGAACTGCCCTTTCCGCCCCGCGCGCGCAGGCTGCCCCGTCACACGCGCTGCAAAGCCGACTGCGTGCCGAGCGCCACGTGCGTCCTCCTGCCCACCGTGAGGTTTGGGCGACCCCCGCCGCAGCACGTGCTCTGAAAAACTGTGTGCACGGTCCAGCTCTCTGCAAAGTTGGTGGCCACCATCACCTTGGGAGAGGGGCCCTGCGAGTGTCAGCCACACCCTCACCTGACCGTCTCTCCGGCTTCAAGTCTGCAAAATTCCCAGCGCTCACCCGACAGAGCGCTAAGCCGTTTGTAAACCAGTTAAAGCCAAGGATCTCACTGCCACGCCATCCCCGAGAAAGCAGAAACGGCAAAAATGCAAACTGACCCAAAGATTTGACATGCAATCAGCAGCTCTATCCCATACCGGTCTGGTGTCTTCCCAGACGACCTTGGGGAGCGGGAACTAGGGCAATAACTCTTGTCTTAAGCAAGTCTCTACCTCCCAACCCGTGCTTGCACGGATATTGCACCAAAATCATGCATGTGTGCTCCCCTGTGCCAGACAGGTTTGAGGAAGCAGACAGTGCATTTCCACAGGTTCCTGTCCTTTGCACCTCCGACACATGTGTGCACGTGCACGCACTTATATACACGTGCCACCCACCCACCCGGGGCTTCCAATTCCCTCAGCCCAAGAGAGTACTCAGAACGGTAGTTTTAGGAATACCAGAAATACGTGTTTCTAGGACCTGCAAATTGCCAAAGCTTGTTTCCTTCTTCCTTCCTTCCTTCCTTCCTTCCCTCCTTTCTCCTCCCCCCTCTCGTTTTTTTTTCTTGAGCCCGAGAGTTTCATCACTATCTCTAAAATTTTAGCAGGTATGGACTCTCCTTCGATGTCAAGAAAGACTCGCCCCTGATAATTGTGAGGGAATAATTAAAACTGACCATTCTTAATGTGTGGGAACTGCAAAACTGACTCCATTCCATTTTGACCAAGGTCAGGGAGTTTTTGCCTGCCCTTGCTTGCTCTTCCAAGGGGAAATAACAATGATGTCTGGCTTAAGATGTAAATGTAACAGGATACTTGTCCTAGGGTGTGGTCACCTGTCCTGCCTAAACAACAGAGCACTTGGAGATAATTGCGTGGAGTTTGGGTTTTGGGGAGGTAATTGTGCTTGCTTGCTCTTTGTATCCTGGTAAGGGAGTCTTTCGCCTCCTCCCTCTCCTTTGATGGGGTATACAAAGACTGCCCAATAAACTTCAGTACACACGAACGCTCTCCTCTTTTGTGTATTTTTTTCCTCAGTCCACACATCCCCTTCCAAGCATGGACGACAGACTAGCGGTGAGACTGGACAGAAGCCCCCTTCCCCAGGGCAATGTGGGCAACTACGTTACAAGACTTCCCTGCTTTTTATTTAATGCTTGTGTCCGTTGTGGTAAATGTTGTGGTGAACCACGGCTCACACTGAGATGATTTGCTCTTTAAAATGATTCAGCTGGCAATCCTTTGAAAAATGAAGAATTCTATTAAGTGAAACCGCTCTCTGATTTATCTAAGTTGTAAACTTAAGACTTTTCCATGTTAGCCCTGGAATGTGGAAGGGACCTTAACAGCTCATGTCTGCTCGTTGGGTGGTAAAGAATATGAGGAGCCTTTGAGAAGCTGCCCATGTTCAAGCTTGGGCGAGGAAGCCAGGTGTTGTGGAATATTGTTTTGACTAGGCAAGGATGTGTGACATTGCCACAGAGTATTACTTTAACTGTGTGAATGTGTGTTAACATTTGTTTATGCTGCGTGGTGATTGATACATTATTTGTGATTTATTAAAGCTTGATTGAGGATTCAGAAAACAAAGTCAGCCACAAGCCATAAAAGCCAGGCACGCACTGAAAGACCTGCAGAGGGCTCGAACCCTCACGCCCCGACTCAGGAAAGGCGGCCCTCCCCAAATCACTCACGAGAAGCGGTCTTGATGCAAAAGCATGAGGTCTTTTATATTCCAGTGCACTGGGGTCCACAGCCATACTCCACGTGGGGTGGAGGACTGGGAACCCTTGGTACAGGGTTCAGACAGCTTTTATAGGGTTACAACAAAGCCCGCGCATCACAAACCAATCATCTCATAGCATCCAGTGTGGACCAATCAATTTGAACTATCCAAGCCTGCTCTTTGCCCAGGAAGTCTGCTTTCGATAGGGCTCCTGGGTAGTGTGGCACAGCTCATTTCCTGTTCTCATTCACTCACAGGTGCTCTCGGTAAACCCGCCCTGTCGTAAACAGTCAAGAATGACCTTTTGCCTACTCACTGCTAGGGGGCAGAGTCTAGGGAGAATTAGGCTAAATTTTTCCATCCTTACAGTAGGACTCAGGATTAAGAGATAGAGGGATCTCTGTGAGCCCAAGGCCACCCAGATCTACACAAGAGTGAATCAGTCTAAAAGAGAATCACAGCTCACACCTTTAATCCCAACATTAGGAAAATATGTGTGACAGAAGCAAGGTCTCAGAGAGGCGTTCCTCTCCAGCCACACTGGAGAGAGGCAGCAGTCTGAGACTTGGCGAAGAGCTAGTGTGTGATCAGTTCTTTAAGCCCGAGCTAGAGGCGAGAGCTGGTGGCCGGCTGCTTTGTTTTTCTGATCTTCAGCTTGAAGCTTGAACCCCAATATCAGTCTCTGGGTTGTTTATTCATCTGTGTTACAATGATGCATTTGTCTAATATGTACGGATGTGTATTTAACTATGTAAAGATGTATTGGATCCATTTCACCTTGCCTGCCTAAGGCACCTAATAGGTTTAATAAAAAGCTGAATAGTCAATAGGTGGTCAGTAGAGGGATAGATGGGGCTGGTGGCCGACAAAGTAGGAGGAGAAAGCTAGGCTTGGGAGAGAGAGGAGGAGCAGGGAATGAGGGAGGAAGAGGGGAACATGCCCAGGGCCAGGAGCCAGGCAGAAGCCAGGAAGGAAGGAAGGAAGGAAGGGAGGAAGGGAGGAAGGAAGGAAGGAAGGTAGAAAGTTCCAAGGCAAAATGTAGGTAAAGAGAAACAGATTAAAATAAGAGCGAAGCTAAGGCCAAGTGGCAAAACTAACAATAAGTCTTGTTGGTCGTGATTTAGGAGCTGGTTGGTGGTTCAAAAGAGAAGGCCTGGAACAGCCAGGGTCGTGTTGCCTCGAGAGACAGTGACGTTTCCCTCCACCAGAAGATCCCACAACATGTTACAGCATGCAGGACACATAGGCACACAGGAATCCCTCGCTGGCTCAGATGGAGAGGGGGTGTGATGAAGGGAAACTTCTCAGTTCATTCTTGTGGGCTGGCAGGAGGAGCCCCGTCATTTGCTCCAAGGCTGGATTATTACGGTATCAACGTTCGAACCCCTGGGAATACAAAAGAGAAGAGGCCTGCCTCAACTTCCCGTCTGTAATGTTATACTAGCAGCTTGAATGCAAACGATAATCTCTCCTGAATGTCACTCCAGGCTCCTCCAGCTTTGGACCATGTAATTATTTTAAGTTCACTTATATATTTATTTTCGTTAGTATGCTTTATTTTTAATTAATCAATTAATTTCCCCCAGCTCTGTGGCAGTCACCCCTTCTCCTAGTTTCCCCCCCAGCCTCCCCCCCCCCCCGCATCCGCCCCCTCTCCCTTCCACGGATATCAGCCAGCCATGGCACGTCCAGTTGCAGCGACACTAGGTACCTCCTTTCTCCTCTCATATTGAGGCTGGACAGGGCAACCTTGCAGGAGGAAAGGGTCCCAAGAGCAAGAAACAGAGCCAGAGACAGTCGGCCTCCACCCCACCCAACCCCGACTCTGCCACACCACTGCATCGCATGTCAGTTCTGCGGGCTCCCTGGTTGTCGGTTCGGTCTCTGTGAGCCCACAGGGTTTTCTGAGGTCAAGCTAATGTTTGGCCGTGGGTCCCTGCATCTGTTTCCATCTGTTGGGTGAAGCCTCTGGCGACAATTGGACACTGTCTATGACTATATCACAGTATCAATGGGAATCATCACTTTGATTTTGTTTTCTGTTTTGCCAGTCATATTTAATTCTATCCTAGGTCTCTGGGCTGTCCAGCCCCTGGGTCTTGGCCTTCCAGGCAGTGTCGGGGTGGGGGGGGGGCTCCCTCTCATAGTATGGGTCTCAAGCTAGAGCCAGGCATTGGTTGGCCACTCCCTTTGTCCCAGCATAACTTATGGGAAAATTGCAGGTCAGGGGGTATGTGGCTGTCTTGGGGACCCAATCCCTCCACTGGAGTCTTGCCTGGTTACAGGCCATGGCCAGTTCAGGCTCTGTATCCCCTAGGCTAGGGCCACCCTCATAGATTCCTGGGAGTTTCCATTGCATTAGGTTTCTAGTTCGTTCCCGAGATGCCCTGATTCCAGTCGTCTCCTCCAGTACTCTCTCCTCCATCCTCCCCCTACTTGACCCCTGCTGGTCCCATCCCCACCCCCATCCAGACTTCCCCGCCACACCCTATCCACCTGTGTACTTGTTTATGGGGTGGTGATGGTGGTGTTATGGACTGAACCCAGGGTCTTGGAGTGAAGCGGTCTACCGATGAGTTATACCCCTATTCCCAGCCATTTACTGGTTGTAAGCTTATGGAATGTACTAGTGGGAACCCTCCTCACTCCTAAGATCCCTACCAGCCATCAGATTGTTTCCCTATGATTGGCTTCTTAGCTGTTCTTGGCTTTGTCTCTCTAGATAATGTCTCTGGTCTCCTCTGGTAGTCAAGCTAAGTTCCCGTCCCTATCTGCAGGACACCTGACCCTCACCTCACCCCCAAGATCTCCCACAGCAATGTTCTCCATCTAATACTCCACAAGACATCTCTGGCCAGCCTACAACTACACAGGGCTCCATTAGAGACACCCCAAGATTAGCAGAGATGCTATTGTCTGTACCCACAGACCCAGAACCAAATTCTGGCCCGTGCTGAGATACCAATGTCCTTCTGCTAAGTAAGAACCTCACATGGGAACACAGGGCCCAGGAACAACCCTTCTCTTCCCACAGAAGGAATTCACGGTTGCCTCTCAGCTCCAGATGCAATCTGTCTGCCCTGTGAAAATTCCTTTGGACCCTTTAAGTAATTCTCCTTTGCGTGTGTTAGGACTATAAATTGTGAGGGGCGGGGGTGGGGGTGGCTGTTGAGACTCTATGGGACAGAAAGTTTTTCTTGCCATCTCAGTACCTGTTGTGCCTGCAGAGGGAGTTGACCTCTGACCTCGGTGCCAGGAGCTTCCCTTGGAACCCTCATGAAGTGCTTTCTAAACGAGGTTACTCCCGAAGACCAACTCTGTCTGGTGCCACCAGGATCCGTTTCTGTGGAGCTCTGGAGAAGGAACTAGCAAATTCCACTGGATACCTGCTGAGCCTCAGCCATGCCCTCTCCAACAAGGCTTGGACCTCAGCCGCGGTGAGAGCGTAGGAGGTGACAGAAGCTTTCTTCGTCCTTGTCCCCGATGGGATGGCTATTCTTGGTTGTCAACCAAGAAAGAACTCCGCTGAAGAACTTGCATATTGGTCTGTGGGCATTTCCTTTGTTGCTGATTGGTGGGAGGAGACCCCACCCAAGGAGCAGGAGAAGGAAACAAGCCAGTTACCACCACCCTCTGAGGTCTCTGCTTCAGTTCCTGTGATGTGGGAGTGTGGGCCAAGTAAACCCCTTCCTCCCACAAGCTGGCATGGTCAGTTATCACCGCAACAGAAAACAAAGGGGACAAAGCCCCTTAATTCAGCTCTGTGAACTGCAGTGCGTTTGGTGTTACATTACACACTGCAAGGTAACACTTGTTACAGTGTGCTTATCTCCCAGGACAATTGAGCAGGTGCCAAAGTGCTAACCTCCAGCACCTCAGGATCACCTGTGATCAGATCGAGGGTCCTTTATAAAATTGTATGTATCTTTTAATCATGCGTGCATGTGTGTGTGTGCATGTGTGTGTGCATGTGTGTGCATATATGTGTGTGTGCATGTATATGTGTGTGCATGTGTGTATGCATGTGTGTATGCATGTGTGTATGCATGTGTATGTGCATGTATGTGTGCATATGTGTGTGTACATGTGTGTGTATGCATGTATGTGTGTGTGTGTGCATGTGTGTGCATTTGCAGGGGTCCACAGAATCCAGAAGAGTATGACAGGTCCCCCGGAGCTGGAGTTACAGGACGTTGTGAGCTATCTGTCAAATGGACTGGACAGGGAAGCAGACACCTCCCGCTCAACCTCATGTGTGTGTACAGGGTGGGAGAGACTGTGCCTTTCAGTGCCAGCCCCACCTTGGCTCCATGGGCACTGGCCATCTTCATATGAATGTAAGTAGTTGTCTTACTTTGGGCTGCCAGATCCCAAATAATGACATAGAGACTTTTTATTAATTATGAAAGCTTGGCCTTAGCTTAGGCTTGTTCCCAACTTAAATTAATTTGTATTAAATTAATTATAATTATATTTATGTTCTATCACATTAATTTTACATAATACATAATATACCTATATTAATATGGCATGTTATGTTAATCTATGTTTTGCCATGTGGCTTGTTACTTTTTCTTGGCACAGTGTCTGACTTCGTTGGATCTGGCTGGCAAATCTCCTGCACCTTACAATCTTTCCCAGAGTTCCAATCTCTGCCTGGAAATCCAGCCTATTCCCTCCTGCTTAGCTACTGACTGTTCGGCCCTTTATTAAACCAATCAGAAGGTGCCTCAGGCAGGTGAGGAAGGACAGAGACATCTCCACACAGTGTATGAAGATTGCCCATGGCCTTCAGCTTCATGGTATTTACCCGCTGGTATGAAGGCCTGAGCTGCCCTGGGCCCTCTGCCACACAGTTAATACACATGAGCTCTCACCAGCAAGGGCTGATGATCAATTCCCTCTCTTTCCTTCCTCTGGTAGCTATTCATTTAGTGTGAGAGAGAATTTTTTAATTGCCAGGTTTATTGGGTTGAGAGAGTCAGAGAAGATTAATAAAAAAGCACGCCCTTTTGTATGTATGAGAAGGCATTCCAGAGACTGTTAGGGCGTGAGAGCTTTGACGTAAGGAGGGATTTACCCAAGATGGAGCCCAGCTGAGCAGACTGAGAAGTGGTGGGATTGTGGATGTGGGATCCAGTTGGAGGATGAGGGTCACTGGGGTCATGCCTTTGAAGAGGGTGATGGTTTGAATGGGAATGGCCACATAGGCTCATATATTTCAATATTTGGTGGACAGTTAGCGGAACTGTTTAGGAAGGATTTGGAGGTGTGGCCGGCCTTGTTGGAGGAGATGTGTCATTGGGTGCAGGCGTTGAGGTTTAAAAGACCCATTCCATTCCCAGCTAGAACATTCTCTTTCTGTGTGTCTCTCTCTGTCTGTCTGTCTGTCTCTGTCTTGTGGTTGTTGTCTCAAGATGACAGCTGTGCATTAGTGATCACGGCCACACCTGCCCGCCCGCCGGCTGCCATGCTGGCCAGGGACTCAGCCCTCTGGGACTGTACGCTCCCAATTAAATGCTGTAGTGTTTTCACTTGCTTTGGACGTGCTATCTCTTCACAGAAACAGAAAAGCAACGAAGGCAGAGGTGTGTCTGTTTTCTGACCCCCCTTCTCTGACTTGCGTCCCTGCTCGTTGTGGGGAAGTAAGCACATTCCTCCATCATAAACCCTCGTCCTATTTCTGCCTCCCCCTAGGTCTGAAGCAATGGAGTCATCCAGTTGTAGAAGGAATCCTCTAAAACCCCAAGCCAGTGCAGATCTCTCCTCCATTTATGCCCTTGCTTTCAAGCTGACTAACACATGTGGCCCCCTTGAAAGGTGGAGGTCGTGTGGGCTGATACGCTTTCTAGGATTTAGTGTCCCTAAAACTCAAAACTTTGTGAGCGCCAACATGATGCTACAGGGGGAAAATTCCACATCAGGAAAAGTTGCTTCGTGCACATACTTATTAAAAATATGCACAAAATTATTTCCTGGCTGTGTATTTAAGGTATTATGAAACACGAGTTTCATATTAAAAATGACTTGTTTATCAGGATGTCTCATAAAATGTGTAAACATCCTAAACTAAAATAGAAACTAAAACCCTAAACACTTCTGGTCCAATCTCACACCAACAATCTCCCCTCGTTTCCTGCCTCCACACTCTGAATCCTGAACCAGGATAATGAAAGTACTCCCCTAAATAAGGGCCTTGAACACAGGCCCTTACCTCAGCTCCTGTTGTCTGGAGAGCCTAGGCTAAGACTCACAATATCTGGAGCCTTCTCTGAGATCAGAGGAGTCCCCGTGCTCTCTGGCTTGGTGGCCTCATGGTCCAGGTGTCAGGGACAGTTGCCAAGACCTGGAGTCAAGGGGCCCGAGCTTGGACTAAGAAGGAAACCTGGAGAAGACTGGCGTGACCCAGGCGCAGAACCCATTGTCTCATCCCATGTCCTACAACCACAATAGCACTTAAGGTTCACGGCTTCATCATGAACAACATTTGGCCTGGCTGAGGGCATGGCACTGACATCCGGAAGCCACTTGCTGCTGTGTCATCCTTGGCAGACAGGATAAGAGCAAAGAGAAGGGAAGGAGGGGACAACCTCAGCCTCTCCGTGGTGACACAGATTCACTAATTCCACTGGTTAGGCTCCATCTCTCAACATTACACTGGAGAGAGAGTTCCTAAGGCATAAACTGTGCAGGACACGCTTAAAACTTGGCGTCTGCACATGGGGGAGGCCTGCGTCCATCTGCAATGGGCATTTACTTCTGCCTGTAAGCAGAGGTCACATCCCAAAGCCAGGAGGAGGGATTTTCGTCAGCAAGCCACCCGTTAGGACCTTTGAGGCAAGGAAGTGAGCAGAAAGGCCTTTTGAATATTCTAGGACAAACACCAAACTTCTTGTTTGTCCTACATGTTTTTGAATTCTAGTAAAAGTTAAACACAAAAAGTATCTTGGTAAGTTCTTAATTCTGTTACTGCAAAGTAGATAAAATTCAAATTTGACATTCATGATTCCAGGAGAGTGAATCAATTCGCCTTTGTCCCCGTATTTTGGGGAACTGTCTTGTCTGCATTAGTCAGAGGGGCTATAGCCAGCTTTTCTAATTTGATTCCCAGAGCAGATATGGCTATTTTTTAGGCTCCTTTTCTGGGGTATGATCATAGCTAGTGCTCACCAGGCCCAAGCGTCTGACCACACACACACACACACACACACACACACCAAGATTTGGTTATCCACGTAAACATGATGCTGCCATGAGTTAACTTTTCTATTTTGAGAAGCATGACAGCTCGAAATACCTCCACCTTGTCTCAGACGCATGCGTGCTGACAGAGTTGCCAAAATTGTCCCTTGAGTAAGTGGCAGCTTTAAAAACCAACCAGCTGGGGACTCCAAAGCAGAAGGTCAGCACAAGAAAGTTGAAGTTGGATTCTGAAGGTTCCAGCCTTCCCCGGGAGTTTCATAGCGGTGAGAGACTGGCCTGGGATTCTGATTGATCTTGCTTGCTCCGTCTCCCACACTCCAAGATGAACGTGCAGGCCTGCTCTCGGTGTGGCTATAGAGTTTACCCTGCGGAGAAGATCAGCTGTATAGATCAGGTCAGTAGAGATGGTCCTTGGCCTTTGGGAAGAACAATATACCTGGGGCGTGTATCTTCGCACACAGGGAGTGTTAATTGGATGATGAGGGAAGGATGTGGTCTGCCTTTCTTAGGTTCTGTTCATTTCTATGTCTTCTGTGATGCTTCCAGAAGAAGACTGTTTCATTTCAACGTGTGTGTAGCTCATGTATTTTAGTTTCATTTTATTTTCGACTTTTTACCCTAAAGTTTTTCGAGCCCCGAGTCTAGGGGAAAAGCACTAATGGCCGGATCTTTTCCGTGTCTTTCAGACATGGCACAAGGCGTGTTTTCACTGCGAAGTCTGCAAGATGATGCTTTCTGTTAATAACTTCGTGAGTCACCAGAGAAACCCTTACTGTCACGCGTAAGTGTCCGATACCCGGCTGACACAGCGTGACTTCTGGTTTTCAACAAGTAGCCAAACTGGGGGGTTGGGTTCTAAGCTCCAGGCGGGACTCTAAGCTACCCTCCCCCAAAGTGTCACTCATATCTAGTCATGGAAGAGCCCTAACATGGGACTTTAGGCAGCAGACCTACTGTACCGTGTTACCGTGTATCAAATTATAAAACCCGCAGAACATTGTAACTGCCAAAGATATGCCTAGATGGAACTTAAAAGTTTCTCTCAAATGATGCCCAGATCCATGACCGTCCTCAGTGGAAACTCATCTCCATGTTACATGTGTTGAGTTTACTTGGTGTGAACTTTTGAAGGGTAAGATTTAGTGGAAGTCAAGAGCTGAATTCTTGAGTTTTGTGCTCGTCCATATTAAACGAGACCGGTGTCCTGAGAGGTCATTTGTCCCCTGGGATCAAGTACTTTTCTAATTTTGATTTGCATTATATTTGCAGCCATAACCCTAAGAACAACACCTTCACTAGCGTCTACCACACGCCTTTAAACATAACCTTGAAGAAGCCTGTGCCAGCCACAGGTGGGGTAAGTCACTCAGCTTTGCATTTTGAAATAGCTGTTAGGGAAATCCCTGGGCTCAGATTAGGCATTTCTGTCCTACACACACACACACACACACACACACACACATACACACACACACACACACACACACACACACACACACGCAAAGTGCTCCTTAGTGACTAATGCTGCTCTTGTCCTACTGCAAAGTTAGAGGCCAGGACACGGGTCCTCGGTTCTAACATGATCTTTGTGTCTGGCCAGCCAGGACAGAGTGGTATCACTGTATGTGATAATAGGCCTTTCCTACACCAGGTAGTTAATACATAGGACAACATTTAAATAATTGAAAAAGGTTACTAAGAGTCCTTCTTTATCTCCCTCCTCTGCCGTATCTTGGAGTAGAAAACCAACGCTCTCCAGCTCCATACACCAGCACTCCCTTGAACTGAGCAGTGGCTTACAATTATTTATAATCTCACCACCCCCCTTTGTGGAGGATAGCTCAGAGATATTTTGAGAAATGGAGTTTGCTTCGGGTCGTGGGTGAGAGCACTAGGCAGGCGAGGATGGTGTGTTCATATGTCCAACAGCGAGCATTTGTCACCCATCCAGCTGTTGGAGCCATCGCATCTATTAATATGATGAATCATTGACCTTCTCACGCCAGGCCCATGAGACACTGCTCTGCTTCTAAACTTAGGAATTCCCCAGCAGGTGGAGGACTCTCTAGTAATCTCTGTTCTCCCGAGAGTCCCTTCCTGGTATGGCCCATTTGCACCGACTCTGGTGCTCACTGGACTGAATCTGAGAAAGTATGCTAATGCTGCTGTCCTTGCATTTGGCACTACAGCTCCCCAAGTGCTCCCCAAGTGCTCTGCATTGAGTTTGTGTTTGCCGAGCGTGTGTGGCACTGACTGGATAATTGCTTACATCACTCCGTACACACCCAGGGGAGCAGATACTATTCTTATCCCATCCTCCTAGGCAGCAACCTGAGGCTCAGAGACATTATACAGCCAGCACAGTTCCCTCCGATCTCTGTGGACAAATCCAGATCTGTCTGGCCATGGAGCCCGTACTATTGGCCACTTGTGCACACACCCAGAAGGTGGCCAACTACAAAAGCCAGGAAAACTCAAACGTCATGCCTCCCAGATGTGTCCGCAGTTGTGTGCAGGGGGAAGTACTTGCCCTCAGAGTGCTGTTGGTGTGTGTCACACTCTGTACAAAGAGACCTACGCTGTGTGCCATTTCCTAGTTTCCCTCAAGCATCAGCCGCCAGGTTATACAACGAGGCATGCAGTGTTTATCTTTCCCTGGGCGGCGGTGGCCTCGCTGCCATTTAACTGTGCGGGACAGACCTAATCTGGAAGCATGCTTGGGTAACCTATCATTCTCTTTTTAGTCCATAGGCAGGAATGGCAGTTTCCCAGAATGCCTGTGTGTCTATTTATTTGTACCTATATGACTATGTGACAATGTGTACATAGTCATGTTTGCATATGGGCAGTGTGTATGGGTACGAGCAAGTGTGACTAGGCATGCATGCATGCACATACAGACACACGATACATGCACCGCTGTATGTATGCATACATTCATTGTTTGTGGTATGTGTATATATATACACATATGTGTATATTTGTATGTGGTATGCATATATGCGTGTGTGGATCTGCCTGTGTGTGTGTGTATTTTTGTATATATATGTATGTTGTATATATGTGTATGTGTGCACATTGGAATATTGCAGCATGCATTTTTATTTATGCACATGTACAGTTGTATATGGTATATACATGTGTACCTGTATGTATGGTGTGCATAGTGTGTGGGCATATAAATGATAAGTGATTTAGTATTGGAACCCTATTCTCCTATTTAATCATTAGGAAAAATTGAGATGAACAATCATGCCCTTCTAGGCCTCAAATCTTTGAACTACCCTACAGCATGTGATGAATTAATTTCTCCGCATTACCCTCCCACCTCTCAGAGAGACACGACCAATTCAAAAAGAGAGAAATGCATTGCTTATGTGCTGAAATTTTCAAAAGGAAGGGAAATTGTACTTCAGTGGCAGGGAAATCGGGTAAAGACTTTGAGCTGAACTTTGTCACAGATCTATGATTTTCTGATTCACAAATGCCACTCTGAAAAGTAAATTATTAAGCCAGAACTTCCTGGTTTCTCAGAGTGGATGGGAATTCTAGAAACGCCACCTGGCAGCTGGCTTCTGTTCAGGATGACCTTACACAGCATGGCCAGCGGCATTTGCAGCCTTTGGCTGTACCCTCTCTTATTCCTGGGTGTGGTTGTGACTCTCACCCGGGGCTTACTGTGCTGGGCAAGAACGGCAAGGCAGCTCTCTGAAAGTGGCTTCTTGTTCCGGCCACATGTTGCTTATTCCTTCAGTCATGGTTCTCTAGCAGGGTAGTTTTACCCATGTAGGACAGCATTTGCTGATTGGGGACATTTGTCACTGCCACAATTGGGAGGGAGGAATTAGTGTATCTGGTGGGTAAGAACTAAGGTTGCTGTGAAATGTCCTGCTACGCTCAAGGAGTCCCCCAAAGACACAGACTTAACTGGGCCCATGTTAAGCCTTGAGGCTCTGTTCTGCTCAGACAGTCTCTCCAAGCCCAGTGAGGGATGTGTGGAGAGCTGTCCCAGCAGGCACTGATGGCCACCTGCCCGGCTGCCCAGGACGTTAATGACAGGAAACTGCAATTCCTAGGTTTAATTTTTCTCTCTGCCCCTGTTTCTCCATTGCCTGTAAAACTAAGGGTTTAAACTTCAGCTTGTAAAAACTGAAGTTTAGCGGCCCCATCTCTGATCTAACAAATTGTGATATCTTTGCTTTGGACCTAAGAACTTGTTGGTTTTTCTCTTACGGAGGCTGAGTCCTTCCACAGTTCTCTTTAAGAACCTTTGCTTGTCCCCAAATTGGTCTAAACATGGGCGTGACATTTGTACATCTGTGTCTTTGCCATCACAGTCAGAGTCCTGGCGTGATCTATAGATGCCGCCAATCACTTATAACATTGACGTGAAAATACAGAGGCTCCGTCCGGAACGGCTGAGAAATTGACGAAGGCTGAGGAAGGCAATAGGAGATCTTTGTTTCCCAGTTCCCCAGATTCCCTATATGAGTAATGCCTACTCATCGAGTGGGCAGACTACAAAGGCAGACCAGGGGATGAGAACACAAAGTCTGGCAATGAGTTGCCCGCTCGTGTGATCACTTGAATTACAAAAACAAACAGACAAACAAAAACACCCAGTGTGGTTCAGTGTGGAAAGAATACTGTTGTGGACACATGCTGTTGAGATTGGTGTTTGTACACTCAATTACAGCTAAGTGGCGGAAAAGGGATACGACTAGATAGGTGTGTGTGTGGGGGGGATTAACTTGACTCCTACCCTAACACTATACACAAAAAGCAACTGGAAGGGTAGTACCCATCAAAACAGAAAAGGAATAAACTTACATGGAAATACAAAAGGCAGAGAATCTCCATGACATCAGAGAGCCAGTGTTTAATCTACCCCCGTGGCTGGTGAGTGGCAGATTAATGGGAAAAGAGTCAAGTGGAGAGACTTTTCCCTGTGCTATGTTTGTGGAGAATTGAGCTTTAAAAAAATTACATATTCACTTGTTCACGTGTGTGCGCGCGTGTGTGAGCGTGTGTGCGTGGGTGTGCATGGGAAGGTTAGACATTACATATTCACTTGTTCGCATGTGTGTGTATGTGTGAGAGAGAGCATGTATGAGCATGTGTGAGCATGTGTGCCTGGGTGTGCATGTGGAGGTTAGACATTACACATTCACTTGATCGTGTGTGTGTGTGTGTGTGTGTGTATGAGCGTGTGTGCCTGGGTGTGCGTGTTAGACAACTCATGGGAGTCAGTCCCCTTCTTCCGCCAGGGGGGTGAGTGTTGGGGGTTGAGCCCAGCACTCAGACTTGGTGGCCAGTGCCTTCCCTAGCTGAGCCACCTCTCGCTTTTTAATTGCACCCCTCACTAGAGCTTTACACACAGCAGGAGTTCAATCCTCCTCACCTGGCTGGTGTCACAAATAGGCCACAGTGGAACCCATAGCTGGGTGAGCTTTGTAGCTCCACCAAGACTCGGGAGAACTGCCCTGATTTAGCTGCGCATGGCTTGCTTGTTTTCTTTCCCTTCCCTGATGGGAATGCTACTGACCACGCTTTCACACTGTACAGATCAATGGTCAAGAAGATGGCGAGATGTTTAAATCCGTTTTCCACTGGGACATGAAGTCCAAGGAGGGAGCAGACGCGCCCAGCCAGCGACCACTGAAGAGTGGGGTGAGTGGGGAGGAGAGAGGGCGCAGGCTTCGCAAAAGACCAGTGCTGTTGCCATTTCTGAGGGGAGCACTGGCGTTTCTTTCTCTCGCCCTTCGCTCCTCCTGTCGTTAGACCTCGATTAGCCCTGCCCCAGAGCACCCCAACTGTCCCTGCCCAGGCCAGGCTCGTCACCTTCTGTCCCCTGGCCCCAGTCCTTCCTCTCTGCTTCTCTGTCCCCCTCTGATCCAGTCATTTCTGCCTGGCCCTGTGACATTCCCCAATGGCTTCCCCTCTTCCATATTTCTTGTCCCCAGTCCCATGTGCCACACCCACCACACAGTGTGCCACACCCACCACACAGTCCATTGAGCGGCATCAGTCATGCAGGTTCTTGGATGTCCCTGACCTATCTTCTTATGGCCTGTCTATTGATGGCCTGCTCCTTAACTATCCCTAGGCTATTTATTTCTGAGCATTTTCCCAATGTAAAAGAATCTAATGTGCTTAGAGCTAACCCTTTAACCACCATCTCCAATCCAAGTTCACACAATTCCAGTGCCTACCTTACTAATCTTGCAGATATCCTTCTAGAATTTGCCGTGTACTTCTATCTGTCTGATATCTGTTTATAACCATCCCCTATCTGTGTCAATCAATCATCTACCTGTCTCCCAATGTCCTATCCATATCTAACTTCTAGTAGTTACATTTGGGCACACTTACTACCTTCCCATAAGCTGAGTTACTTAGCCACTCTGTTTTAAATTTTATTTTATTTTTGAATTATTATTATTATGTTGTACATACACACACGTAATGAATTTTAATCATTATTATGCCTCTATTATTTCATCCACTGAAAGCCCTCAAATCACCCTCCTACTTTCCTAATTGTGTGTGTGTGTGTGAGAGAGAGAGAGAGACAGAGAGACAGACAGACTCACAGTTTAATTGAGATTACTGACATGGGCATGGGTGGGAGGTGATTTACTGGAATGTGGACTACTTATCGGTAGCTACACCACTGAAGAAAATTAATGGCCAATAGTCCCTCAGGGACGGATGAGGCATCATGGGCTCCTGCATGATGGGACCACTCTTGTGCAGATAACATTTGCTGTGAGTCCTGAGTGCTAGGTTGGAGAGACATCCCCCCCCACCCTCAGACAGGGTTTCTCTGTGGAGCCCCGGCTGCCCTGGAACTTGCTCTGTACACCAGGCTGGCCTTGAACTCACACTGCCTCTGCCTCCGAAACCCCGGGATTAAAGGCGTGCACCACCACACCGGGCTGCAGGAGACTTTCGCTTGCTTGTTGGTTGTTTTATAGCGGCCCGTTTCCTCGTCCTTCAGCTCTCACAGTCCTCTTTTCTCCCCATTGCCTCTGATTTTCCTTGGCCCTGGAGGGGGTGATATAGATGCAGTTAGGGTTATGAATCTACTGTCATTTATTCTTGGAGCGTGGACCAGTTATGAGTCTGTGCCTTAACCGCTACGTGTCTGGCAAAGGCTGAGGGCGTCACTAATGTGTGGTTATTAACATAAATACCAGGTCTCAGTACCAGATCCATGTGTGTCGTAAAGCAATTTTTATTACCTACAAAGGAAACTTAAAAATTGTGTTAGCCCACAGGGCTATTGAGAAGACTAAAGAACAGATAAATGCAAAGGTGTTGGAATAGTGTCGGGTACACGGATGTGGGCTATCCTATTATTGGTAATTATATGCCAATGTATTTTCTTTCTCATTAAGCAATGTACATTATTTCCCTGATGTCTTTTGCTTGCCCTCCCACCCCACAGGCACTTGAGAGCTATTTGTTTATCAGCGTTCTTTTCAGCTGGTTGAGACCAGACGGAGGGTGTCACCCTCTTGGTGGGCAGGGCTGTCTGCTCTTACAAATGATAAAGCTGCACATTGACTCTTCCTTTGGATACAGCGGGTGTTTTCCTAGGGCAGACAATGGAAAAAGCGGGTGTTTTCCTAGGGCAGACAATGGAAAAGGGCCCTGACGTCCCAGTGCACCCTTTTAATTTTCACTGAGGTTGTCAATTGCTCTCTCATATAGGTCACCTTAAAATGCTTTATTTTCCCTCAAGTGTGTGTAAGCACGGAAATGTTTTCTAGTTGTTATTTATTTCCTTTGTTTTACTCCTGAAGTTTTACAGCAAAATATTTTAAAAGAAAAAAAATCTATCTTTTTTTTTTTCTTTTTCCTTTGCTTCCCCTTGGCAATCTTCAGATACAAAGTAAGTAGTCAGGTTTTGAAGATTTCCTGAGCAAAGCTGACTTACCTCAGACCTCTTGCCTATGGGGACTTCTCCCTGCCTAGCCTTAGCGCATAAAGGAGCAAAGAAAAGTTTTATTGCCCTGGAAGGTTTCTGTAACACAGAAGATCTCAGGGGATTCAGTTATTCAAGATGTTAGGTCGTTTTCTAGTCTGAAAAACATGAGCAGTTTGGTTGGCTGAGACCCTGCACGTAGGAGCAACTTGCTTTTAGAGACCAGATTATCTTCACAATATAGGATTGCTAGGGGGTGTGGGGTGAGCTGGGGAGTGTGGGGTGGGCTGGGGGGGGAGTGTGGGGTGGGCTGGGGGGAGTGTGGGGTGGACTGGTGTGTGTGTGTGTGTGTGTGTGTGTGTGTGTGTGTGTGTGTTGGACAGGCAAGCATGTAGGGAATGTTCTGGATGTATGCTCCTGCTTTCTTTATAGAGAGACTGTTGGCCGGGGTATGGAGAAGGAAACACTTGGTGTCCAGGAGCTCTGCCAGACCCTGAGATCGTAAGGATGGTTGAAGCTCAGTCTCTGGGTGAGGTAAGGACTTATGTACCACTTACAATCAGTCGATAACAATCCCTGTACATTTTCCTTTATTTTTAAGATTGTGTAGATAGAACACCTGCCACTTGTCACTGTGGTTAAAAACAAACAAACAAACAAACAAACAAAACACCTGGCAGAAACAAAGGGGTGTGTTTGATTTTGTCTCATGGATGCAGAGGCCTCTGTCAAACATGGCAGTAACTTCTTCACTGTTCCATCAGGAGGCAAGGATATCAGTCTAGAACCTGATGTGGATATAGCCTTCAAAGGCTGATCCCTAGTGAGCTACTTCTGACAGCCATACTCCATCTCTAAAGGCGGCATGCCACCCTCAAATAGAGCCACACGCTAAGCCAGGGAAAGGGCTCAAGGCCAGGAAGCAGGAAAGCGAGCTACAATGCCTCTCTCCCCAAGATCCCCACTCTGTGGATCCCTTTACTTGGTTTCTTCACACATCAGAGACACTGGACGATATGATTGGTTTATGGTCTGGCGGTGACGGGAAGAACCTGGCTTCTGACTGTTGCCCTACACGGTTCCCGCTAGCCAGGAGGCAGGGAGGCCAGAGTCAGAGAAGTCACTGTAGTGACAGAAGAGACCAGAGCCGTGTCAGGCCAAGAAGTGAGGAACAGCAGGGCCTGTGGAAGACAGAAAGGAATGGGACAAATTCTGCTCTTGTTCCAGAAGGAGCCAGTCCCGATGGCTCACAGTAGAGTCCTCACCCCAGGCCCACGAGGCAGGGCTCAGACAGTGCTGGAGTATGTATAAAGTGCAGCTGGTGCCCTAGCCCCTTCTCCACACGGCTCTGTGCAGAGCTCCCCGCCGAAGACCCTACTTGGGAAATTGCTGTTAGTGTTTGCAACTTGTCCCTTTGGAAACAGAAAGCAAGAGGAGCATAAGTGATGCTGTCATATTTCTCATTAGACAAGTTAACCCTCCGGTAGCTCAGACAGTAAGGAGGAAAAATGAGCCATCTCCCTTCCTGTGCCCTAGAACTCTCCCCGGAGACAGGTTCCAGCCTATGGCTGTGTTATGATACAAGGGCACCCGAGAGAATTGTGCCAGGCTCCCCATAATGTGATACAAACACTGGAGGTGACCCCCTTCGCCTTGGGGAGCATGGGTCCTCAGTCTTGATGGTGTCTGTTATTCAAGGACCATGTCCAAACCTACCCCAGCAATTGGCGTGGTTCCCGTGAATGGATGAGTCTAGCATCACTGATATCTTGCAGTTTTGTGAGTTCTGTGGTTCTTCAGCAGGGCTATGCAGAAGACTATGAACAGCCACAAGGCAAGGGGAGCTTCCCAGCCATGATCACACCTGCCTACCAAAGGGCCAAGACAGCCAACCAGCTGGCCAGCCAGGTGGGAGTCCTGGGCTTATTTTTACCCTTGATGATGGATGATGCTAGCTTTTGACATGAATGCAGCCAGCCCTGCAACCCAGGAAAACAAGAAGGAGGAGGAGAATGCTTTAGAGGGTCGTGTGGAAATCACATATTATAACATGTCTTCTGAGTCTTGACTGGGCTGCACTTACAAAATGTGCAAAGAGGGAAGATGCAGAAACCATAGAACTCACCCAAAGACTCAAGCAAACCTTTGCCCAGGTTGCTGGTTTTCTTACAGCGGTCACTGATCCACCTGAGACTGTCCTAGCTTGTAGGTTAAGGGCCCAGAGTTTAGAGACAGAAACTTAGGATTAGAATCCTGGTTCTCCCAAACATTCACGGTGTAGCTCTGGTCAAATTACTCAGCCCCTCTGTCCCTCAGTTTCTCGTTTGTGGTAAATAATCGTCCCATGGGATGTGACTGTTGAAAGGGTCACATGAGTTGTTAGTTGGTGACACCAAGAAGCATCTGGGACTCTGTAAGCTGGCACATCAGCAAAGGTCATGTTTGTGAGCTGAGCACAGACTTGGCTTGTTTTGAGCATGCCTGAAGGTTAGCTTTTGCAGAGCTATAAGTCAGGGTCCTGGAAGAGGCTTGAGGTAGGCGTGTCATGGCTTTGACTCAGCTTCTCCATACCAGGTTCAATACAAGAGAGGCCACGATGAACGAGTCTCCACGTTCACTCCAGTGGCAGATACTCCTGAGCTGCTACGGGACAAAGCTGGGGGACAGCTTCAAAGTGATGTAAGAAATGTTGTCGGAGGGCAGGGGAAATGGGTCAGTGGACAAGCATTAGGACCAGAGTTCAGATCCCCACAACCCTTACAAAATCCAGACAAGTGTGCTGCCCAGCCTGCAAGCCCAGTGCTTGGAAGGCAGAGACCCGGAGTCCCCGGACAAGCTGGCTGGCTAGACTAGCTAGCATTAGAAAGCTCCATGTTGAGTGAGAGACTCTGTCTCAATTCAGATGTGGAGAGCAATCAAGGAAGATACTGACCATCAACTACAGCCTCTCCATGTAAGCACTCACATATGCAGAGGACATGTGTGTACAGACATATGTGTACCCACTCTCATGTGAATACACATATACACATAGACGTGTACCACACACACATACACAATGAACAATGATTCAGTCCAAGGCATGGTGGTCCTTCCTTAAGATCCCTCATCTTCCTCCCTCCCTTCCTTCCTTCCTTCCTTAAGATCCCTCATCTTCCTCCCTCCCTCCCTTCCTTCCTTCCTTAAGATCCCTCATCTTCCCTCCTTCCTTCCTTCCCTCCTTCCTTCCTTCCTTTTGTTATCTGGAGGAGAGGGAAGGGATAATGGATGGGGAACGATGGTCCCTCCTGGGTACCAGAAAGAGCTTTCTGAGGTCACATGCCATACGCCAGTCCTCACAGGCCTTGCAAAAACTCTTTGAACAGATTTCATTAGATTATCCTCACACCCAGCCAGTCATCTTAGACATGTGTCAGAGAAACCTGTCCAGCCACCGCGGACCTGAGAGGCTGACTTCTGAGGATGCTCTGCCATGTCGCCTTTCATAGCCCATATGCTCCACAGTGTGCTAGCTGAGTCCAAAAACAAAGTATGATTCTGATGGAGATTGGGCACAAACCCAGCTTCTTGTTCACAAGTGACACCATCAGTTCTTCGGAGACAGCCTTGCTGCTTAGCTCAGCCCCACCCCTGGCCCACACCGGCTGCAACACAGGGATGTGCTGAACTCTATCCATACTGTGTCCTCATGAGCCAGGCATTGGGGATGAACAGGCAGATAAGATGAATGTGGCCCACCACGCTGTAAGGGCCGTTCAAGGCAGTAGGCAGGGGCTCATGGTGCTCAGATGGTCTGGCGGGACTAAGGTGGGCCTTTCTGTTACTTTCTGATTGTCCAGGCGAGGTATGCTGAAGACTGCGGAGCTCAGAGAGGGAAAGGCAGCTTTCCTGCTATGATCACACCTGCTTACCAGATAGCCAAGAGGGCCAATGAGCTGGCAAGCGATGTAAGTGTTGTGGTTATGTTGCTGTTAAGGAGGAAGCGGGAATTTAACCTGGATCTGGAAGTCCAGCTTCTGTCTGTTTTTACGCGCTTGCCAGAGCCAAGGAGTGCCTTTTCTTCATCGTTTTCCCTGTGACAGTGGCTTGCCACTTCATGTCTGAGTCATGCTCCTTAGACCCACGCAAGTGTGTGTTTTTCCTCTGTGGCTCTCATAGCGGGACTCACGGAGTTTTTTCTAACCCTCTGAACAGGTGAGGTACCACCAACAATATCAAAGAGAAATGAAGGGAAAGGCTACTTCCCTTGGAGCTGAGGGAAGGGCCCCAAAGCAAGGTGCCGACCAGTACGGCCAGGTACGTGACCTTGGTCTTCTCCAAGGCCGGCTCTGTTTGTTCCCTACAGCTGTGACAGCCACAGATGTGTGATCAGGGTCTGGGACTTAGGTCCAAACAACGAACGGGTAACAAATCCCAAGCACCTTGAAAAACAGAACCTATGCCAGTACGGTGACTTGGCCAATAATAAGATGTTTGTATTTTCCTCTGTTCACTGAGGGACAGTTAACTAGGAATCAAACCGATTGTGTTAGTTAGCACTGTATCTGTAAGGAGTAGGGTTTTTCCGCCCTCCGATGGTCTTGTCCCACCGCCGCACCAGCCCCAATTAACACACTGAGACTCTGTATTTGATATAAAGCTGTTGGCCAGTTACTAGTTTCTTATCAGCTAGCTCTGTCTTAAGTATTAACCCATTTCTGTTAATCTATGTATTTCCACGTGGTCTCATCTTACCGGAGAGCAGGCTGGCGTCCTGCTTTCTTCAGACTTTCCATCTTGAATCTCCTCCCTACTCCTTCCTCTCTCCTCCTTGTCTCCTAGTCCCTCCTATCTTGCTTTCCTATTGGCCAACAGTGCTTTATTCATTAACCAGTATGAGAAACATATTTACAGAATGACATCTCCCATCACTGCATGAATATTGAAAGGGATCAAAATGTTATGTCCTGAGGGGTTGAGGAGACAGCTTAGTGGGTAAGAATGCTTGCTGTGTAAGTAGGAGAACTTCAGTTCAAATCCCCACCATCCACATTTATTAACAAACAAACAAACAAACAAAAAACAAAGAAAGAAAGAAACAGAAGGATAAATTTAAAAAAGCTGGGCATCGCCATGTGCAGCTATAACTCCAATGCTATGCAGGGTGGATACTGGGGATCCCTGGGGCTTACTGGCTGCCAGCCCAGCTCCAATTTCAATGACAGACCGCATGTCAAGGGAATAGGGTGGAGCATACTAGAGCAGTCCTAGAAGGCATCCCTTGGCTTCTGTAACATGCATACCCACACATACACATGCACATTCAATACACACACCAAACATCTGCACAGCTTGAAAAGTATTGCGTTTTTCACTGAACAACAGAAATTACTTCCTTAGGAAGTAAATAGCTCACCTGGGTTGCTAGATAAAGCAGTGTGTTCTAGAAATCTCAAGCCTTGTTCCCAGTCCCATTTTTCCACTGGAGCACATCAGGTCAGGGAGCGGGAGGTTCAGTTAACAGACTCAGCGTGATTGGTATTTATACATCTCTGTGTTATTATGTGGTACTGGACTGTCATCAAAGTCACAGGTGAGAAATACTGGAAGAGTGTGGGTGTGTATGTTTCTGTGTGTGTTGTGATGTGTGTGTATGTTTGTGTGTGTGTGGTGTGTGGGAGGTGTATGTTTTTTGTGTGTGAGTGTGCTGTAGTGTGTATGAGCATGTATGTGTTGTGGGGTATGGGTATGTGTATGTTTCTGTGTGTGTGTGTGTTGTGGTATGTGTGTGTATGTTTGTGTGTGTGGTGTGTGGATGTGTGTATGTTTTTGTGTGTGTGAGTGTGGTGTGGTGTGTATGTGCATGTATGTGTTGTGGGGTGTGGATGTGTGTATATTTCTCTCTCTGTGTGTGTGTGTGTGTGTGTGTATCTTTCTCTGTGTGTGTGATAACGATGCATTCTGTGAGGTTGAAGGATGTTTCCCTCAATTACATGGCAGCATGTTTGAATGATACAGGAAACCACAGAGAGCTGATTTATTCTCTGTTGGAAAACCAAGAACCACGGGTCATAAGCCCGTGAGACTCTTGGGATATATGTGAAGATGGGTTTTAATCCTTTTGGAAAAATATCTGCCTAAGCAAATTACAGGCATTTGTTGTTTTAAACTCAGTGAAATTCGTTCTTACTTATCCCATGTTTTAGAAGACTCAGAAAATCTTCTATGAATCAGTTTTATTTAAAAAACAAAATAAGAGGCATGGCAGGAACTAAGTGTGTGATGACTTACATCTGTAATCATTTAACTTGGAAGGATGGGGCAGCAAGATTGCCAGGAATTTGAGCTATGGTGAGTTCCAGTCTAGACTGGGCTACATAGTGAGATCCTGTGTCAACAAACAAAAACAAAAAAACCAACAAAACAAAACAAAAAACCTTTTTCTGTGTTTTGCAAAAAATATCCAGTCTATATTTTCCATACCTTATCCACCCCCAGCCACAGCACACATATGATTTCTTTTGTGTCCACACACATTTGGAAAGCCACAAAGCCCAACTCAAAAGACCTTAGAACCATCCTTCTATCCCCACCCACAAACAGATGTGTTTTTACTAATTATGTTTGGTCTAGAACATTCTGGCAGCCAAACAGGAAGGAACACTTAAATTAACCAATTTTCATTTTTTTTTGGAGGGACTGGGTCAAAAAGAAGCCTAGACACTAAGTTTGGCCTGTAGCTGAAGTGTAATTCTGTAGTTCCTTGTTGTCAGAGCATGTTGACTGAAATTTCCAGCCTTGATGATGACAAGGTCAAGAATCAAAGTGGGTGTCATTGGATGGCACTGCCAACAGCTGTGGAGGGGATTCAGCAGCCCGGCATTGCTGTTTGCTTTAGCATAGCTTGTCAGGGCATGAGTCAGATGGAATTAGAGGCAGGCAGATAATCTATACATGTCCGTAGTGCCTCAAATACCATGCAGTCCATTCCTGCTAATGAGTAAACACATGAAAAAGACTTTGTGTTATTCATAACTGAGCAGTTGTTCCCTAATAGAAGTTAGTACCTCACAAAATGATTCACACACACACACACACACACACACACATGCATGCATGCACACACACACCCATGCACACACATATACACACACACAGAGGCACACACACACACACACAAGCACATACACACAATAAAGCTACCAATACAAAACTAGACAGCAGAAAACAAAAACCATGGAAGTGGCCATCAAAACCAAACAACAAACTTACAAACTTACATCCTTGTCCTTCCTCCCAAACTACCTTTTTTCACTTGCTACATTTGACATTTGACCTAAAACACTCTGGCGAAGCAAGTGAAAAGGGACGCTCCAGCTAGCCTTTTTTTTTTTTTTTTTTGTAAAAAGAATCCTGGCTACTTAAATCTGATCCCAGTATTTTACCTAGGAAAATGTGTGTGCTAGAGTCTGTCATGGTTCTCTGGAAGGTAGGCTCTTGCCTCAGAGGAGGGCCCAGGGAGAGAGTACTGTGCTCCTAAGGGATTCTGTAGGACTGGTGCAAGCCCTGGGCAAAGGGCTGGCGAAGAAACGTTGATTCTGCCCAGGGGTGAAGGGGATTCTGGGATCCCTTCTCACTCGTGGGGTGCCGGTTTTGTGAGAGGTTTTCTTTCTGGGAGCTGGAGAGTGGTGTTCCGGAAGGGAAGGAAAAATGAAAATGAGAGAGACAGACCTTATTCTTCAACATAAATTTACCCCATTTCAGAGATGAATAGCAACACGTGGTTCCTCTTCACAAAGTTACAAAAGGTTTCGTTCTACTGGATTTCTGGTTACACAACACTCATGGCTGACGGGGAGCAGAGTCAAAGCACTCTGAGCATAGATTGCTGTTGTTGGGTCTAAGCAAAGTAATGTTTGAGACTAACGGAATACAACCACCTGTACACTCAATGAACTGTGGGCGTGGGAGAGTCTCTGGCTTGTCTGGTAATGTGATGATTGATGATGGCAGATATGTATGTATGTGTGCATGTATGTGTGTATGTGTGCATGTATGTATATGTATTGTGTGTATGTATTTATGTATGTGTATGCATGTATGCATGTGTGTATGTATATATATGCATGTTTGTATGTATGCTTGTATGTGTATGCATATGCATGTATGTATTACATAGTGGTCCAGACTCCAGGATCTACTCATATTCACCACATGGAACATCTCTGGCAGTCACTGGAATGTCCCGTGTGGATGAGCTTTTCTGACAGCTGTCTCTTGAGCTGTCACTGCTGAGCGCCCATGCCAGGAGGGTCACATTACTGACTGAAGCTTTTGGTTGACTCGTCAGGTTTACTCAGAAGATGAACCTAGGGGAAAGGGCAGCTTCCCGGCCATGATCACCCCAGCTTATCGGAATGCCAAGAAGGCCAATGAACTTGCTAGTGATGTGAGTACTGGCGGAGTCGGAGGTGGAGGTACGGGAGTTCAGAGGGTTGCATTTACTGAAAGCCCGTACAAGTGAAAAGAGAGCCAGCCTAGCCCCAGGTCCAAACTCACGGTGTCCGCTCGCTCTGCTTATAGACTTTGAGTCCCTTTATCTGTGCACAGGGAAATAGAGCTAGATAAGCTGCCCTGCTCGTTTGTCTTTTGAAAAGACACACACTAAGTCGAACCAAAACCCACTGTGAAACCAAACCCGCATTGTGAAATCCAGCCTCTTAGGGCAAAAGCTCGCTGAAAGAATGTAACAAGTCTTTCTCTGTCTCCCTGCCCCCCCCAGCCAGCTCCCGAATAGTGACACGGAGATTGTGATTAATTATGAAAGCTCAGCCTTTAGCTCGGCTTGTTCCTAAGTAGCTCTTACAAATTAAATTAACCCGTTTATTACCTCTCTTCCATCTTGTATCTCCTGTTTCCTCTCCATGTGTCCTGGTGACGTGTGTCAACTACCTCCTTCTTCCTGTCTCTGCCCGGAAGTCCCGCCTACACCTCCTGCCTAGCTATTGACCGTTCAGCCTTTTATTACACAAATCACAACAAATACATCTTCACACAGTGTACAAACATCCCCCAATAAGAGCAATCGTGTGATTATCAAATTGGGTGTGAGCCAGTGAGTGATGAGTGGTTTTTATTTGGAGGATGCTAGGCAGCTGGCAGTCCTTGAGGGGCAGGCTATAATTAAACATGGTAAAGTGTGGTACTCACTGCAATTCTTAGCATGCCAACTTGGGCTTGGTCTCTGACTAGAGCCTCTCATGCATTTCATCCCTTTCCCCTTCTTACTGCTCAGTGAGTACCCAGGAACCCTGGACAGCGCCACCTTTGCTCTGAGGAGGGAAGTGCAAACGTTACTCCTTTCTCTTCTGCAGACAAAGCAGAGATGGGGTTGAATTTGAAGGCTGGGTGGGGTCAGAATTTCTCTTTGCTGCATCTCAAGAACCCCCCTCCCTTTCTCCAGGCAGGGTTGGAGAGCAAAGGGTGAGAGGGTCCAGGAAAAGTTCTAACGTAACTTCGAGTGTTTTCTAGACTTAACAATCTTCCTTTCTTTAGGGAATTCTACTGTGTTAGTGTTAGCATTATCTCTGGGCTTATTTCAGGTTTCTCCTGCAGAGTGCAGCAACCCCAACTCTTGGCTCTCTTTGTGTGCGTTTTCCAGATAAAATACAGGCAGGATTTCCACAAGATGAAGGGCGCCGCCCACTTTCACTCCCTCACAGCCCAGGACAACTTGGTTCTTAATCGAGCTCAGAGTGTGAACAAGCTTGTGAGTGAGGTGAGTGCTGAGCAGAGCCATACTCCTGTACCGCCCGGCTTCCTCTCAGAGGCCCTGTTTAACAATAGCACTGATGCTGGTGGCACATACCCATAACCCTGGCACTTACCTGACAGGCAGGGCTGGAGGAGCAAGGGTTCAAGGCCACTCTAGGCATGCATTGGAAACCAGCCTGTACTGTGTGAAACCCTGCCTCAAAGCAAACAAAATGAACCATGCATACTATCATACTATCTGCATGTGACCAGTTTCCAAATAGTGCATATATATATATATATATGTATGTATGTATGTATGTATATATATATATATATATATATATATATATATATATATATATCTCCTCTGTTGGCTCAAAACTGTCTTGCTGAATATTCAGATGTGCCAATCAATGGATTTGTAGTTGTCAAAACGAGTAGTAGATGATGCAACTTTTAGAGATTTGTTTTAACTTTTAATTTGTGTGTGCGAGTATACACACACACACACACACACACACACACGTGAGTGCAAGGACCCTCAGAGGCCAGAAGAGGGAGCCATGTCCCCCTGGGGCTGGAGCTACCGGTAGTTATGAGCCGTCCAACTTGAGAAGCAAACTCAGGTCCTCTGCAAGAACAGCAGGCTGAGCCCTCTGTGCAGCCCCTATGCTCCAACTTTTAAAGCTGTAAGTTGTTACGTTAGTGTGGAATCAAAGTCTAGAAAGACTGTTGTGAATGCCATATTTCCCTTATCACTGGGGTCAGAGTTCAGAGGAGCTGTGTCTACCACGTGGGCTCCCCTTTCCTTCCAGGCTGGCCTGGCTGCTCTGGGGTGCACATCGTTTGACCCACCCCATATTTAAGCCTTTCTGAACCAGGACTAGTTGGCAAGAACATTTGTCCTCTAGCTCCCTGGAGCTCTAATGTCTCTCCACAGTGAGTGGCTCCTGTCCTTTGAGTGGCAGCTCTGACTAGGGGGAAGAATTGTGGCTATGGTGACTCAGATGCTGACATGCAGATATCTTAGAACACCCTGTTACTTCTGTAAGGCCTTGACCTCAAACTGGACTGACTGGTGACCCTCTGACCTTTGACCTTTGGATGTCTAGAATCAGACTTCCCTGAGCCTTGTCAGGAGCCTTGGATGCTTTGATGTGGTTGGTGGTCTGGTGCTGAGAGCTTAGAAGTTCTAGATGATTTTGCTCCAGAGCAGATATCAGCACACGGTGGCCTTTGTTTCAGATCTGGCTCATGGCCTGAATCTAGTTCAGGGCCTATTTCTATAGATGAAGTGTCTAGCACACAGCCACAGAGTATCTGACTTCATCTTGCTTTTGGTTGCCATTAGGCTGTCATGGTAAATTTGGGCACCTAACATAGAGACAGTGAGGAGGACAAAGCCTGAAATATTTGATCTGTTTCGTTAGCCAAATGGCATGATAATGGTTATATTAATATATAATTAATATTGACATATCATGTCATATATGATACATATAATGTGATCATTCTGTTAGCTCTGGTAGGAAAGTATTGTGATATAGAGATCTCAGGGATAAAAGTAGACTCATAGACCGCTGGGTAGGTGGAGGCCAAGGACAGTCCAACCACCCAGGAGTATATTCACGTAGAAATGAGCTGTAGATGCACAGATTAAGATACATGGGACAAGGTTAATAAATGGGTTATTATATTTTATTCTGGGAGAAGTCACTTATATAAGAAATCCATGACCTGCAAGTTCCCACTCCTAGGATCCACGCCCAGGCTGCTCTCAGTGACCCAACTGGAAACCAAGAGAGCATGAGCCTTACTCCCCCTCCCCCTTCAGGGCTGCACAGTCTGTGGCCACGCCCACTTGGGCGTGGTCAGTGCAACAGGTGAGGGTGGGGTGGATATCTCACTACAAAGGGCCACTGCTTTTTCTGCAGATATGACTATGAAGACATATATTTATAGGGCTGGGAAGACGGCTCAATGTGTAAGGTGTTTACTACATAAACATGAGGGAGTAAGCTTAGATCCTGAGCACCCTAAGTTAAAGTGGCGGGGTGGGGCTGGTGGATCAGGAGTAGGTATGGCCTAGGAGCTTGCTCTCTAACCAGTGTGGCTGAAACAGCAAGCTCCAGGGTCAGCAAGAGACCATGCTTCAACAAATAAGGGGGCGAGTAATGGAAAGACACTCAGCACACACCTGAGCCTCCACAGGCGGACTTGTGAGTGCATATGGGTGCATACACACACGCACACACACACAATTAAACATTTTTTAGTCCTTAAATGTATTTTATTCTATGTGGACATGCACATGCCTGAGTATTTATTTATGCTCAGAGAGCATTGGGTCCCTGGAACTGGCGATCCCCTATGTGGGTACTGGGAGCTGAACCCAGGTCCTCTGCAAGAGCATTGACCCCTTAGCACTGAACCATCTCTCCAGCTCCCTGCTTTCAAATAAGGATGCATCCCTAGAGCTAGGATCCAAATGCATACCAGGGTTTTGTATTTTTAACTATACGTCATTTGTCAGCATTAAAATGCACCTTGCATGCTTTTGAAAGGCTTAGCTCTGCCACATAGTTTTATCAGGCACTGTAACAATTTAAATTGTATTTCCCTCAGTGAGTGATCCCAAGGGCACTCTGTTTTGTTTTGCCTTTATGATTATCAGTAAGGCAGGCCAGCTCTGCCTCTCTTTGTGGTGCTCACCATTAGCTGCAATTACCGGGGACGGACTGCCTATCTGGTAACAACAGGTATGCAACACCGGTGGGCTCCAATACCAGCCTATTTTAAATTAAAGGTGGCCTGCCTCAGTGGGATCCTCCATCGAATTCCTTAGTAAAGCATCGTTGTAAAATCCTCTTGCTGTGTTCACAGAGAGATGCATGTGGGTCTACAGTGGGAGGAATTTCTCAAGTGGATTTGTCTGTGTGGTGGGCTCTCAGAAGAAACAGGGCGTGGCTAGAAGTCTGGGTATCACATACAAGGCATTTTAACTCACGCCATTTCTAAAATCATTTTTGCCACTGTCATTATTACCATTGTGTGATACTGCAGAGCAAACCCTGAGCCCCCACACTGGGAACACTCACTGTCCCTGAGCTACACCTAACTCTTACAGTTCTTCATCTGTGTGGGGCGTTATGGTACGAGCTATGGAGAAGCCTACATACTTGTAATTTTCAGAATGAAATAACTTGTTTTATTATTTATTTTATAAAGTAAAAAATACACTCACATGCATGCATGCATGTGCGTGCACACACCTGCACATGCACAGGCACACACATACCCCCCCACACATACATACACCCCCACACACATTCACACACTCATACCCTCACACGCGCGTGCGCGTGCGCGCACACACACACACACACACACACACATATACGCGCACGCGCACACACTTTTAGTATCCCCGGTCCTACTTAGATCTTGGGTTGAAGGTTTTCTAAAGGATATCCCAGTCAAGTCTTGGGAGTGTTTTCAAGAAGGAATTCAGGTTTGTTTGTGTTAAGCATCTGGTGTTTGGTTCCCCAAGGTGGAGTATAAGAAGGGTCTGGAAAGCAGTAGAGGTCACAGTATCAACTACTGTGAGACACCCCAGTTCAGGAGTATGAGCAAGATCTCAAAATTCACCAGTGACGTGAGTTGCTACCTAAGCATCTTTCTGGGCACATTTTGTGAGTTGAGCTTCTGGCTCTCCTGAGAGATTGTCTTTGTGACTGTATCCATGTGTCTTGGAGAACCATGCCCTCCTGGGTGCATGGTACCTTGAATTTTGGTTAGGAGTGTCTTCTTATCAAATGATGTCACAACCCCAACCTTCCCTGCTTCTCCATATGCGACTGAGGCCTCAATGTACTTGTGCATTCCATCTGTGTGCACAGTGTCTGTTCCTGGGTGCTGAATGCGAGCATGGGAGCCTGATGGAGCATGCGGTGGGTGGCCCCTCTCGCTATGACTGTGCTTCTGAGTTAATGTATAATCTCGCTTCATAGTCAGTCTGAGAGCCAGATAACAGTTCCCTATTTTACACATGACCAGAAACCAAATGCTAGAGTGTCACAGATTTGGATATCCTCAGAGAAGGTTTGAAGACATATTCATTCCATTCTGGCTCTCCTTTTATTTGATAAACAGCATTTAGGACATTATTCATTATTTACATGGTTGCCATAGCGATGAATTTTTTACATCATAAGATTTGACAAAGATCAGGTTCTATATTTCGTGTGTAACCATCCCTCTGTATCCACAGGGGATTGGTTCAGGACCTCCTTGGTAGATTTTACAACCCTAAGATTCCAAAGGCTCTTATGTAAAAATGGTGTAGCAATGGGGGGGCATAGCCTTCACATACACGTCAGGCCATCTCCCGAGTTCTTGTAATTCTCAGTGTATCAACGCTACATAAATCGCTTTTCTACATTTTTAAAGAGAAAGCTGTAAGAGAACAGCTCATACATGTCTAGTACAGACACAACCTTCTTTTCAAATATCTCAGTCTGAGGTTATTTGAATCTACTGATGTGGAGGGCTGACAGCATTTCGACAAGAAGGCAAGCCTGTGCAATGACTTGGCCATGACCACACTATCAGGACTTTGTCCACTGCCAGCTTCTCAGTCTCATGGATATTTGCATACTGGAAAAGTCTGGTACATTTAAAACTAAACGTGTAAAAAGCGAACAAACAATCAGTCTGCTTGGTGTTTCCCACGAGCCGTGTTCTCTGAGCTTGTCTGCCTGTCTTTCAAGTTCTTGTGCTCTTTTGAAATTTAAGTTGTTTTTTAAACGTTTGTATTTCCCCCCCCCCCCCCCAAGTAGTGGAACTGTGCTTAGTTTTAGACTTAGCTTACCTGCACCTAGTTGGAAAATTTTAATCAAAAGTTTAATATTTTCATGTAGAATAAGTATAAGGAAAACTACCAGACCCATCTGAGAGGCCACTATGAAGGAGTCGGTATGGACAGACGTATGCTCCACGCTCTCAAAGTTGGCAGCCTGGCCAGCAATGTGAGTTGTGTGTGTGAGGTTAAGGGGCAGTGGGAGTCAGCTGGTTGGGGCATGAAGAATTTGGCCAACTCTTTTAAACTCCCCTTTAAAAATATGTATGTTTTGATATGTAAAATCAGACCTTTAAATGTTAACCAACACAATAAAGAATGTCTAAGAACTTGTAAGGCTTTCGAGGCTCAGCTAAGCCTTGGTTAAGTCTCAGTTGAGTTTTTGGCTTGAAGGCTTTATTATAGTTGGTCCAATATGACAAACTGCTCAGCGACTGAAGGACACAGTTTGTGTTCAGTGTGATTCCTGTGTGAAACGCTGTGGGACCTCAGAGCTTCGTGACTTCCAGTTGCTTAGTTAGCTGGAAACTTGGTTTCTGTTTTTTCAGTCATTGAAGACACTCTGTGACTGAAAGAACCACAGAGTGGGAAGAACCAAACTCCAGGGGAGGGACAGCACAGCAACGCCTGCTCCCCCTTTAGAACCAAACACCAGGGGAGGGACAGCACAGCAACGCCTGCTCCCCCTTTAGAACCAAACACCAGGGGAGGGACAGCACAGCAACGCCTGCTCCCCCTTTAGAACCAAACTCCAGGGGAGGGACAGCACAGCAACGCCTGCTCCCCCTTTAGAACCAAACACCAGGGGAGGGACAGCACAGCAACGCCTGCTCCCCCTTTAGAACCAAACTCCAGGGGAGGGACAGCACAGCAACGCCTGCTCCCCCTTTAGCTCTATCCATCTGGTTTCACAGATACACAGATACCGGATTCTAAAGCCTGGAGGGAATAAGCGCTTAAAGAATACCGAGTTCACACTCAAACCATCCAAATGCTGGGCTTCCTCTGCCTCAGGGTGCTGACATTGACTGTTATAACCGGAAACTCCGGAATAAAAACTTTTTATTCGCTTTCTTAAAGCTTGCCAAGAAGCACGCTCATACTATACCTGTGTGCAAGTGCTCACTAAAAATAACAACAACAAGAAACCAACAAAACAAAACAAAAAAGGAGGGGGTCTCACAATTAAAAAGAAAGATAAAATAAATATATTACACATGGAAGCTGACTGATTTTGGACCAACTAAGAATAATTTCAATTAGTTAAAGGCTGTGTGAACGTAAACGTGTGAACATTATAATTTTTCTTTTGAGGTGATGAAAGTGAATTAATTCTGTTCCTAATTATGTTTTAAAAATATTTATGATATTCAGAAAAGGTCAGGGGAAATTAGAAGCTCATGTCTCTTCGCTTTGGGTTTCAGGTTGCCTACAAGGCTGATTATAAGCATGACATTGTGAATTACAACTACCCAGCCACCCTCACACCATCCTACCAAACAACGATGAAACTTGTTCCCCTGAAGGATGTGAGTCCTCTACTCCCCTTTCGTATTATGACTCGCTGTGGAGCAAAGCTTAAGTAGCAAGATGGGAAGGAAAAAATCCCACCGATATATAGGAGTTTGGAGGGACTGGGAAAGGGGCCTGCCCTTCCTCTGGGAAGATCATGCATGCATGACTTAAAAACTCACTTTCTGTGTAAAATATGGGTGATTCTGCTCTTGTCTTAAAAGCATCCTGAAGTTAACTTATCCTTGTAGAGTATGGAGAGTTAAATCTGCTGGATACATAATAATCATTCCACAGCAATGATGACCTGAAGAAATTAGAATATAGTATGCTAAAGATCAAGTAGGTGTAAGTTAAGAGTGAGTGGTAATGTTGGCTATACCTTTTTCTCAGGGTTATATTGGCAAGCATGGATGGAGAGGTGGATGGATGGATGGATGGATGGATCACTTAGTACAGGAATAAGCCTACTTATGGTTACACCCGAACAAATAATACAATTAATTAAAATTATTGTTTTGCCTCCACAATAATGTTATTATATGACATTTTAGAAAATATAGAAAAAGGCATAAACAAAAAGATAAAGTAATTTGCTCTCTTAAAGAAGAGTTGACCTCTTAGTTTTCCAGCAAAGGTGATCTTCAATTTACAATCTAATAAGTAGATAGAGCCTAAGCTCATAGGGCGTGAGCCATACCCAGGGTCATTGCTTGCTTGTGCCTGTGCAGAGTAAAATCGAAACATAGCATAAAAAGTGCTGCTACACCGCATGTCTCGGCAATCAGCTGGGACCAAGTCATGGCTAATATAGGTACGGATGCATCTTAACCTCCTTCTTCTTACTCTCTTGCCTCTAGTATGTATTTGAGCAAATTATTTCCAATGTATATTATTAGCATTCAGGAACTTTGGGAAGTGTTTTTTTTTTTTTTTTTCAAGAGAATTGAGAATTTATGGTCTTGCCATCTGGTAGCCTTAAAGGTGGTAAAATAGCCATGAAATGAAGTACAGCATGGGTCCTTAATTAGAGGGCATTCCTTTACATGGATTTTTATAAATACTAATAGAATTAAAATGGGACTCAGTGTTTAGCATAGAGCCTTTTCAGAATGTAGATTGAAGCCGTGGCCAAACGTTAATGGAACTGGGAGGATGTGATTAATCATGGAGTCTGTTAATTATGTCCTGCAGAGAAAAGTAATTGTGTTCAGCGGCATATTTAGTGCAGAATTATCAGGAAGGAATGTGCTATTTTGAAATTACAGTTTTGTGACATTTTATCATGCATAGTCCTGAATTCTAATAAGTTTCTATTATGAGCTGATAATTTCTTCCTTCTGAATTAGGAAGTCACAGCACTCTAATCTCATTAGTGGCTGACATTGAAATGACTTCACAGTCTCCAATCTTCTCTGTATACTCTGGACATACAAAGTTTTTTTTTTCTCCTTGAATTATTAATGAAAAAACACTTAAGTGATGGTCTGCAGGGTAGCCAGCTCTGTGCTGTAAGCTCTGCCGTGTCCATATGTGCTGTTTGAGATACAGATTTATCCGTCATTTGCTTGCACATGGAATACATTTCCTGGTCTAAACGTACAACGGGGAATCCTTGTCCGTCTGCAGTACTCCCAAGCACTCCAGGTAAACTGGGCTTACAGAGCAAACCCCCAAGGGAACAGCCGAGGACCAATTTGCCAGTTGGCCTGGGATGCCAACCACAGCTCTCATACTAGCTGAACAATAACTGTGGTTCCTCATGCTTCTGTTACCACATGGTAAGGTGTGGGTTACTGCAGGGCGACTGGGGGATTAAATATATTAGGATGTTTGGAGTTCTTGGAGCCGTAGGAGGTATACAGGAAGCACCATAACCGTGGCCAACTGATACTGGCAGGAATGGATCCCTTCAAATGCAATCAGGAGGCTACAAAAGTCAGGCATGGCGGAAGAGATCCGGGGATCCCATCTCTCTCTGTTGAACTGTTTGCTCCTAATGGATTCAGGGAGAATCGGAGGAGAATTCAGGGTCATTGTCTTCAATTTTGCACCCACTGGGGACCGCACTGGAAGCCAACTGATGGTCCTGACCTGGTGTATGCTCTGGAGGCTGGAGTTACCCCCATTCATGAGCCACTTGATGTGGGTGCTGGGAACCAAACTCTGGTTCTTGTTGAGACCTGTGCACACTCCCAACCATCTCTCCAGCTCCTCACTTGTTTTACAAAGCGACCCTGCCTCCATTTTCTCTGGGCAGAGAGATCTTGTGTTTGTTCTCAAATGCTGCTCTGGATTCCATTACCACAGTACTGTCAGATGCCATAGCTACCTTGTCCTTGCCAACACTTACTATTGCCAGTAACTGTGTGTGTGTGTGTGTGTGTGTGTGCGCGCACGCGCGCAGAAAGGCATTGCTCTGGCGGATAGCGTGAAGAAAGACGCACGCGTCCCGTGTTCACTGCTCAGTTACCTGATGACCTTGCATGCCCTACTTCCGTCTGTTGGCTTGCCACACCCACTGGTATCACTTAGGAGTTTCCATTCTTGTCCTAATTCCCTGAGATCCACTACACTAAATGGCAAATGACATTCCCTGTGCCTGCTTTTGCCTAGGTCAACTACAGGCAGAGCATCAACAAACTGAAGTACAGCTCAGTGACAAACACACCGCAGATTGTTCAAGCCAGAATCAATGCCCAGCAACTGAGCCACGTATGTAACACGTCCCCACCCGACTGGGAATTCCGCAATTGCGGTGAGGCCTCTGGGTAGCTAACCCCAAGGGTTTTACTTTTATCGATGCTGGGCAATCTACTTGCAGTCATGAAATGTTGCCCCTCCTTCCAAACATTTGAGTATAGGGGATGTCAGCATATGCAAGAGTAGAGTATATTGTATTGTACCAGCTTTGATTGGTAAATGTCAGTCAACTCACAGATGGCATTGCCGTCTCCATCAGTTTGCCATCTCCATCAGAAACCACCTGTCTTCCCGGCGCTGGTGGCGCAAGCCTTTAATGCCCCCACTCAGGAAGCAGAGGCAGGAGGATCTATGAGTCTGAGGCCAGCCTGGTCTACAGAGAGAGTTCTAGGACAACCAGGGCTACACAGGGAAACCATGTCTTGAAAATCCAAAGAAACAGAAGAAAGGAATCACCGTTTGTTTATCTCTTTTGCGCACATAAGATTTAAGGTGCATTTTCTGAACTGTGCGTTTGATAGCTACACATTATCAATTATTACTACCGATAATGTTGGGTGTTTTGTTTGTGTTTTTGATTACCATCGAGTGTGTGTCTAGCCTGCTTGTAGCAAACTTTCAGCACAGCAGCAGGTTAAAAATGTCTTGTAAACTCACACACTTGAATGTGCCTGTGAGCTGCTTCATTGTTTTATTTGGCATCTTCAATCTGTTAAATAAACCATCCCACCTAATTACAGGTTTCCTTATAGAGGGCCGTTCTCAGGAACCCCCTCTCAGTGACGGGTAATCAGAGGAAGGCGGGAGCCAAATGTTCTCCCCAAGGCTTTGCTCCTACCGTATACAAACCTTGCAGATGTCTTTTAAATCCAACAGGTTAATTACCGTGCTGACTACGAGAGAAACAAGCTGAACTACACATTGCCCCAGGATGCTCCTCAGATGGTCAAGGCCAAGACCAATGCCAAACTCTTCAGCGAGGTCAGAGCAAGGTGGAGGGAGCTCGTGCATGCGAGAAACGGTCCAATGAGCACGGCCAGCTTCCTCCCAAGGAAGGGTCTTTTTAGGGTGTTCATCACAGTAAATTTAGAATCTCATCATCTTGACACTTGGTCAGACCCTGGGGATGCTCTTTGCAAGACTGCTCTATGTTGAGGCCGTGGTTTCGGTGACAAAAGCGTGATGTGTCACGCGAGACAGCGTGGCATTAGCGTAGCTCCTACCCCTTGGTAGGATGGGTTTAGACATGAGACAGATGGATTCAGAAATCACAGTGGACTCTTTTTATCTCTGTGACCCTAGCAAATATCTTCAACTTCCTGCTCCTCAGTTTGTGCGAAGATTTGTAGTTAGCGCCTACAAAGCATGTAGGAAGGGACCACACACAGTAGCTGTTGCCAGGCAACATCAGTCCCGTGCATATTGGCAGTACCTCACCAGTTTAGGGTTTGTCTTCATGCTCCCCACCCCAACTTACCTTTCCAGCAGCCTAGAGAATGATAATGCCCATTTTGCGATTGCTTAGCCCTGGGCCAGAGAGGTAATGGCCCAAAGTCACAGGACCAGGCAATGGGGGTCCTTTCTCCATCCTGTCCCTTGTGAGTGGTACCAAGGATCAGTGAACTGTGCCAAAGATTACTGTGACAGTCTTGACGATACCAGGCAAGACTCTCCTGCACTCCAACAATGGTGGAAACCAAGCTTGCTTTAAAGAAGAAAAACCTCTCAACTTCCGACAGATGGCGGCCAGCCAGCGGGGAAGGCGGGGGTGGGGATGGGGGGGCAGCTCCCACTCACCTGTGTTTTTGTTTGTCAGGTGAAGTACAAAGAAGGCTGGCACAAGACAAAGGGGAGAGGATTTGAAATGAAGCTGGATGCCATGCCTCTGTTGGCCGCCAAAGCCTCGGGGGAGCTTGCTAGCAATGTAGGTTCCTCTCGTTGACTCAGAAATGTATAAGGAGTGGTTCCGATGTGATGCCAGCTGCCAGCTGGAAAAATAATGACTGTTAACATTGTAAACATCGCAATACTTTAATCTTCTCCGGGTTTGAGAAAGGTGGGGGGGGGGCTTTTCCCCCCAGAATTGTTCTCTTCGAACTCGTTACAGCCAGAGCTGCCTCTATAGCTACTCCCTTGCTCACGCTAGATGTTCTTCCTCCTCTCAAGATTAAATACAAAGAAGAATATGAAAAAACAAAAGGCAAAGCCCCGGGAACTGCAGACTCTAGGCTTCTGCACTGCCTGCTGGTGGCCGCGATGAGCAGTGAGGTAAACTCGCCCTGCCCCACCCGGCCCCAGACTGTTGTGCCCCTGGGCATCTTTCTCCTCCTTTGTACAGACTTGCACCCACAATGCTTTTCTTTCTGGGCTTACATGAGGAACGTGTTCGCTTTCTTTGTTTTCCCAAAGCGTGATGTTCTTTAAAAGTGTGAGGTGTATGGCCCCGAGGATGACAGGAGCTACTGATCAAGGCACACAGGCGCTTGAACACATCTACTTATGCCGCAGATATTTGCCGAGCAGTTACTATGGCTAAAACACTGCGAGAGATCCGGGAGCTATGAGAGCTGAGAGCTCACAAGTTCGGCTCCCCTCCCCCCGAGAACTTAGCACAGATGGGAGAGTGTCTTAGTCCACTGCCCTGCTGTTAAGACAGAATGCTAGAGATGGCGCTACATTAATAACAACTTGTTCTCGTGATAGTGAGTCCAGCCCCGCAAGAGGCGTTCATGAGGACACATTATCTGCCCCAAGAAACAAACACTTCTACTTGCCCCCCCCACCTACTGTTGAGGAATTACACCTCAATGTAATGTGGGGGCAAATCATATCTAACCATAGCAGAGGGGTAAACAATAACCACATAGTTTACTGTGATGATGCTCTGGGTGAATCCTGTGGTCATAAGCGTAGAGCGTTCAAGATATTTTCCAGGTAGATGGGGCATCCCAGACTCCAACCAACTTGAACACTGTTGTCTGTACATAACTGGAGACTGACATTGCTAATGCCACCCAGGAAAGGCATGGTTGCAGGGGCACTGGGAAAGGAGAGTGTGGCTGGAGACTCTTGTGGTCTCCAGTTATGTCTTCCGCCCAGTGCAAAGCATTCTCCAGGGACACACGCTCTGAGTTCCCGCTTTATCCCTCCCTAGCCAAGCCATGGAGCCAGGCAGCTCTGGCCTGCAGCTAAGCATCATTGCCTGACAGGCCATTAAGAGACCTCGGATGCAGTGAAGTAAGGGAGCTGGCGTCAAAGTCACTCGTTTAGACGTGTCACAGGACATGGGTTGTAAAGTGCATGCTCGCTCGCAAAGCATAAAGAGGCAGTAAGAGTTACAACCGAGCTTTGATTCAAATGGACAACTAATTGTTATATTTGAGTAGCCGCAATCCAAAGCCAATGGTGGCAAAGCCATACAAGAGTAGAGAGCTAGACCCCAGAGCTCTCACCACCTTGCATCACCATATTTCCTCACCGTATAACTGGTGTCAACACCACCATCACTGCTACCGGCAACATCACCACCACCCTTACCACCACAGCCGTCACAGCCAGTGCTGTCACCATCACCGCCGCCACCATCACCTTACTGATCACTAACACCATGAGCACATCCCCACCATCATCAGTCATCACCATTGCTTCCGTGGATACCATTCACTGTTGCCGTCCATCATCCTCACCGCCACCGCCGCCGCTGTAGTCTCGTCATTAACGTGTGTTGTCTGCACGCGGCGGTCCATTTTCTACGCACCTTTCTGCCCCTATATCAATATTCATCACAACAGTTTCCTTAAGGAGAATGAGCCCTAAGGGAGGTGCTTTCACCTTCCAGAGGCTGCCCAGCTGGCCAAGGGCAGGTCAGGGTTGAGTTAGGTTTGTTTGGCTCTGTAGCCCACGCTTTGTTTTGCCTCTGAAAACCTCTGAAGAAGGCATACATGGTGTCCTCTCCTGTGACAGCCACGCACAGGGTGAGTTTGGTAAACGATCCTAGAGAGACAAGGGGGTAGGAAGCAAGGACAGCGTGACCTCGGTGATAGTGACTTGGGCCGCCTTTGTAACAGGTGGTCTCAGGCAGAATTCGGCATTTCTGAGAGCCCGAGAGTCTCTCCCATACTTTCACATAGCTGCTACAAGAACAACTTCTAACCAGCGAGTCCTGTTCATTGCCTTCAAGGTGGAATATAAGAAAGGGTTTGAAGAGAGCAAGGCTCATTTCCACCTGCCCGTGGACATGGTGAACCTCAGGCATGCTAAAAAGGCCCAAGCTCTCGCCAGCGACCTCGACTATAGAACGAAACTGCATGAATATACCGTGCTGCCTGAAGACATGAAGACCCGATGGGCCAAGAAAGCCTCTGGGCTCCAGAGCGAGGTGAGTGTCCACCAGCTGCTGGCTCCATCGTGCACCTGGCCTTAGGTGCCCTCTCAGAGTGATTTGGCCTTGTTCGGGGGTCCATTGTGTAACACAGAGAACTAGGAAGAACTCTAGCTGCTCCAGGTCCAGGGAAGACAGGTGAGAGAAAGAGCCAATCAAGGTAGTAGAGACTCGGGATGGGGCGGGACTCAGAGCCCGTGTGAAAGTCAGGATGTACTGGAAACGACGCGAGTCAAGGAGAAACATGTTGGAAATGTTGGCCAGACAGTATGAGACATTGTTCTAGGTCAGCCCAAAGTGTTTCAACACTAAGGTAGAACCACAGCTCAATCACAAGGGGGACCCCATTGACTTTACCACCCAAAGAACCACCTGCTGAGGATAACGGCAGCAGCTTTCTGGGTTTTCCTGACTTTCCCATCAGCTCGGTCATGTCTGTGTGTGTCGGGTGACAGCTTGGTGACATTTCTCTTGCAGCTGCAGTACAAAGCTGACCTGGCATGGATGAAAGGGGTCGGATGGCTGACCGAGGGGAGTCTCAATCTAGAACAAGCCAAGAAGGCTGGACAGCTCGTCAGCGAGGTAACTTGCGTGTCTGCTTCCTGCAGGAAGCTTTTGTTTAGTTTTTTTTTTTTTATTGTTGTTTTCTTGACACAAGATCTCCCTGTGCAGCCAAAGCAGGCCCTGAACTCCAAATCCCTGTTTCTTCTTACCTGGTGCTGGGATTACAGACTTGTGCTACCATGCCCAGCTTCTTCAAAAAGAAGGAGTCCTGTTTAAAGTGGGTTTTAGAGACAGGGCTTTTCTGCGTAGCCCTGGCTGTCCTGGAATGTCTCTGTAGAGCAGGCTGCCTCTGCCTTCTGAGTTGTGGAATTAAAGGTGTGTGCCACCACCATGCTATAAGAAGTAGTCTTATCCAGGGAATAATTTAGTGTAGAAAGTGTAGTGTAGAATACAGACAGAGCAGCTGAAAGCCTGGAAAACTAAAAAGTGTCCCAAAATTCCCAAGATCACAAACTCACATCATGAGAGTTTGTATCACACATTAAATTATTGGAAACATTAGATAAAGTTGCCTTGAAGATATAGCTATCACAAGGTATATATGAAACATAAATAAATCAAAAGCAGAGTCTCATCCCAACACATACACACACACACACGACAAATATAGACACACACACACTCACACACAGACACATACAGAGACATACTTACACACACTTACTCACACACACACACACACACACTCACACCAACCAATGGGGAGAAAGTCCTCTGAGATCTGAAAAACTTTTCACCCCAAGAAACCAACCTGTGATGTCTTTCTGACACAAAGGGCATGGACTGGGGGTCTGGTATTCGTAGTGCATGTTTGCTGCACTCTCTGGAGACTTGGGCATGGTCACTACGCCGTGTGGGCCCTCTCCTCATTTGAAAACGAGAAGGAGAGACACTTCCAGGCCCACGAGAAGGCCCATGACCTAAACCTGTGCAACCGATTATGTCTTGGGGAGCTGCTTTGGCAGCAAGCAGAGGGGACTTGGGAAGGACATTGCATGCTGCAGTGTGACTATGTCAGGAACTTTGTTTGGGATCTTCAAGGGGATTCTTGCTCCTGGGCCAGGAGGGCTGAGCGGACACATTGCAAAGGGAAGAAAGAGCCGCCATTTATAGACACGCTAATTCAGTCCTGGTGTAGTTGACTGAGCACTCGAGTGTGTCCACTCACAGTGACTGCATTGGTCACTACTGTCCCGTGTGCACAGACGCTGTGGCTGTCATTCCAGTCTTAAACAGTTGCTTTTCCACTCACAAGCAGACCCACCCAGTCCTCAGAGCCTCATGTGCCTCGAGGACTCCCTGATAATATCTCACGCATCCCCAAGCACATGCTTTGTCATTTATCCTCATTTTCCACCTTACTTACTCTCATAGAAAGGTATATCTGGTTTTAAAAGATGCAAACCAGGAAAACGGCAGGGAAGGAGCATCACCTCCTTTGAGACCCGCTGAGATCTAGGTAGAGCAAGAAGAGCGCCATCTTGGATCCGAGTGCAGTGGGGGAGGGGGTCCAGGCAGTTGTCCTTTCTGTCTCAGAGACTTGGGTGTTTGCTTCGCTTTCTCTGTCCCCTGCTGCTTTGTAAGCCTTTGAGAGGCAGTGTCTTGTTTTGTTTTATCTCTTATTCTGGTTTTTGTTGTGCTCCAATATAGTAGAATGAACTCTCAGCTCCAAAGTAAGTGCTTAGGATTTGACCAGGGCCTGCACTAGGGTGACTGAGAATTTCCAGAAGCAAAAGGGTCATGTGACTTCCCTCAATTACATGGTGAGTTTTCCCATCTGACACAGAAACTAGGGAGGACAGTCAGCAATCTCTTTGGAATATTGTCCCTAGATTTTTTTTTTTTTTTTAAGACAAGAAGGGTTTATTTTTGCTTTGAGTTTGATGGCCCAGTCTTGTCATGGTGGGGGGCCATGGTGTCAGCAGCTTAGGGTTTATGGTCCAGTCTGCCACGGTGTCAGCAGCTTAGGGTTTATGGTCCAGTCTGCCATGGTGTCAGGAGAATGGGGCAGCTGGTCACATGACAACCACAATGGATTATTGTTATTATTACTGTTATAATTGATAATGATAATGTCTGGATCCATAGTCCCTGGGATGGTGCCATCACATTCAGGGTGTGCCTTCCCTTTCCATCTGAACCCATCTTAATAGCATGCCCAGAGGCTCTGCCTCCTGGGTTGACTCTGCATTTCAGCAGGTTGAGCGTCTTGTTGCCTGTGTTGGTGTGTGTGTGTGTGTGTGTGTGTGTGTGTGTGTGTGTGTGTGTGTGTGAGAGAGAGAGAGAGAGAGAGAGAGAGAGAGAGAGAGAGATTTTCTTCCTGCACTGGGGTCTGGTGCTTGTAGTAAGGCTTCCCTTACATCTGTGGTTTCCTTTCAAACGAAGAGGATTTGAGTGTCCAATATTTCTGTCACTGTTCGGTCCTCAAAATACTGGTTCTGATAATGGCACTAAAAGTTCTGGCGGCGCCAGCTCTTAGCTCCCTACACTATCGCTTCAACAAGCCACAGAATGAGGCCACGTTTCTCATCCACTTTGGCACCTCCAGTGGAAAAGCCAGAGGAAATAATCCCAGCAAAGACAAGAAGTCCCCGTGGGGAGACAGAATTGGAACACGTGAAAATTTGCCAAATAGTTACTGGCTGTGGGACAAAGACAGACCTCAGACCAAACAGACCTCAGAGAAACAGAATGACGTAGGACCCCGTGGCTTTGCTGTTCCTCTTTAATTAGTTCCTTGGAGTCATAGGAACAGCTCGGGCAGTGGTGATGGAGACTCACCAGTCCTGTATGCCTTGCTCTTCGGTGGTGTAGAAAGAATGTGGTTGAAGTATCTGTTCCACCTCAAGGTGACAGAGCCTCCTGCCTTGCTGTTACCGTTATGCAGCTGAAGGAAGGGTGTCTTGGGTCTGTTAAGTGACAGGCCAAGTCAGGGAACTGGAAAAAGGTGGAGTTGAGATTTGAACCTGCCTTTGTAGTTTTTACCAAGTTTGCCCCACTTCACCCCTCTAGTGTCAGACCTTGGCTTGGGAGATGCACCCTCAGTGTGCACAGTGATGTGCAGGGTTTGCTGAAAGGCACAAGACTCACCAGCCATCACAGCAAAAACAAAACAGGCGCAGAGGCAGGAGGAGACAAGTTCTAGGTTCAGTGAGAGACCCTGCCTCAAAGCATATGGTGGAGAGGGAGAGAGAGAGAGAGGGAGAGAGAGAGAGAGAGAGGGAGGGAGAGAGAGAGAGGGAGGGAGAGAGGGAGAGAGAGAGAGAGAGAGAGAGAGAGAGAGGGAGGGAGGGAGGGAGATGCCCAGGATTCCAAGACTGACCTCTGGTCTACATGCACATGAAGTCACACATATTTGTACGTGTGCTCTCTCTGTTTTTAGTACTTGCAAGAACACCCCTCCTCTCAAGGAAATGCTTGAGCCATTAAAAAGTACAAAAGTGTGTGTGTTTGAGCGTGTGAGTATGTGAGTGTGTGAGTATGTGTGTGTATGAATGTGTGTGTGTGTGAGCGTGTGAGTAGTATGTGAGTATGTGTGTGTGTGTGTGTGTGTGTGTATGAGTGTGTGTGTGTGTGTGTGTGTGTGTGTGTGTGTGTGCTGGAAGAGGGCATGTCCATCCTAACGCTACGGGGTACCTTTTCTTTGCAAATAGAGAAACTACCGGCAGAGAGCTGATGAGCTGAAGTTCACCAGTGTGGCTGACAGCTCCCAGATGGAGCATGCCAGGAAGAGCCAGGAGCTGCAGAGTGGGGTGAGTCCTGGGTTGCCCTCTCGACACCGGTTTGCTGTGTCATGGGCCTGGGATCTCTGCAGACAACAGCAGATGCTGCCCGGGCACAGCTCAGGAGTCTGGACCCGGCGGCGTGCCTCAGGCCTAAGTCTGCAGATCAGTCACCAGCCTCCCTGGTCCACACGGTGCTTCTCCCCCAGTCACTAAGATGGACTCACATGCCGCTCTTTCGCCACCAGGGTTTCTTAATCCCCCTTTCCTTCTTTCTCTTTGTTCTGTCCTTTATCTGAGAGTATAATTGTGGATTAACAGAGACTCATGTTGGAGGAGGATTTGCTTTTGGCCATGTGCTACTTGAGTTCAGATAAGGAAGTCGGGACAAGCAGCTACCATTTGTATGCTTTGCTAACCTCTGTCTACCCCAGAGCCACTCCGTTAACTCCCACCGCCTGCTCTGCCTAACCTTCCTTCTCAGGGGTTCAGCAGATGCTGTCCCGGCCCCCAGAGGGCTGTCCGAAGCAGGAGAAGCTATTGCTTACAAACACATTGTGAGGGAGGGGAGAAAGGGGAGAGAAAGCAGAGGTCTGTTTCCATAGATAGGCTGGCTTGGTCACTGCCCACTTCCTGGGGTCACTTCCTTCCAGAGTATGAAGGTTGATCGTGGGGTGCAGGAGGAGTGTGCTCCCTGCCTGGCCTCCTTTGGAGCCCTCTGGGTAGGGTGGTGGTGGTGGTCAATGTTTGATGTTCACAGTGAATGTAGACGACAATGGATTTGTGAGGACAGTGGTGATTCTAGGGAAGGGTGTGGGACCCGAAAGCCTGGAGGAGAATGTCTACATTGGTCTCTGTCGCTACACAGGGTTTTCTTAATGTCTGTCCTGGCATTACACATTTGCTTTTTTTATGTTTGCTTTTGCTTTTTGAGATGGGGCTCTTGCTCTATAGCCCAAGCTGGCCTCAAACTCTCAGCAGCCCTCCTGATTCAGCCTCCCTAGTGCTGGAGTTACAGGCATAGGCGTGTACTTACTTTAACTGACTTACAATATTTAAACTTAGTTATGAGGCATAGTATTATGATCTGATAAACAAACACAATGTATAGTGATCAAAACAAGGTAATTAACACTTTTGATTATTAAATATGGTTTGTATGTGTTGGGGAACCTTGCACGTTCTTGGTATTTCTCTCAAGACTGTAAAGTTAATTGCTGTAGCCCATGGACTGTGTACTTATGTGTGTGTATACACACACACACTTAGATATACATATACATATGTACATGTATATCTATACGTGTGTGTATACACATATGTATATATGTGCTATGTAACAGAACTACCTCCACCGTCTGTATTTTGTACCCAGGACACACCCCCTCTTTCTCCTTGACTCCTGTCCTCTTTCTTGCCTTTATTTGCTAATTTTCTGAGGTCAGCTTCTTCAGCTCCCACAGATGAGTGGCATCATGTGGCCTTTGTCTGTGCCTGGCTTATTGTATTTATCTCAGTGTCCTTGATTCCATTGATGTAGTTCCAATTGTGATGGGTGGCCCACCCATATCCCTCACCAACCCTGCGCTCTCTCATCAGGTGGCTTACAAGGCTGGCAATGAGCAGTTTGTCCATCAGTACACCATCAGCAAAGATGAGCCTTTCTTCTTGCAAGCCCGGGCCAATGCTGCTCAGCTCAGTGAGGTACCACAGGAGGGTGTGGGCAATGCTTCCCTGTGTCTCTGGAGTCAGTCATCGACCCACCAGCCACATTGGTAGTGTATGGTTCAACTATAGCCTATCTGCTCATCCCAGTGGCTCTGGTTCCTGACCCTTGCTTTGGGGAGGAGGTAAACAACTTTCCTAGCAATGTCTGGCAGGGCTCTTCAGTTACTGAACAGATCACGGTGGGTGGAAGAGTACTTATGCCAAGAGTCAGAATCGAGTGGTGGAGAGAGACACCCAGATGCTGACTCCAAACTTTGGTCCTTAGCTTTACCACTTACCAAGCGTGTAACCTTAGACCGGATCTTTACAGCTGGATGCCCGTTAGTAAAGTGAAGCTAGCCCCAGCCTTTGCCACTAGGCTGTCACGATGCTGGGTTGTCCCGGGACTTCAGCGAGTGTATGTGCGTGGTGATCTTCAGGAGCGTGCACAGTGTGGGCTCCCTGGTGTGACAGTGTCCATGGTTGACCCTTCTGTCCCAGTGTGCCTGTCCTTGGCTCTCAACACACTGGGAATAGGCGGGAAGGAGAAACAGAAGGCAGAACTGATCCCTGCTCTGTAAGGAAGGGAGGATCTTCCAGAAGGAAGACCTTAAAATTGGAGGCTGGGGTTTGGGTTAGGGGACAAAGAAAGACCTCAGGGACTGGAGGCTGAGGGTGGAGGGGATGGTGTGCAGAGTCCTGCTGCTGGTGTGGGAGGAAAACCCAGGGAACAGACCTTCCAGTGCTGTCAGTGGAATGTCGCTGCATCTCAGATGGTTGTGAGACTTCTGCGTGACACCAAGGATATTATTTTTTAAAGCATTTTTGAGGTTTAATCCTTGCTTCTTTTGATGGAAGTGCAATGCACTAAGAGACCTTCAGGCAGGACAGAGAGCCCGGCCTCTCAGGCTAGGTGCCACTGCTGTAGTGTCTTGGGGTTTTCAGAGTCTAGAGAAACTGCTTCACGAAGGATGACGGCTGCTCTCTTGCGTCTCCGCAGACACTGTACAAGAGCAGCTGGGAAAGGCAGAAGGCGAAAGGGTTTGAGCTGAGACTCGACTCCTTGGCATTCCTGACAGCCAAAGCTGGGAGAGACCTGGCCAGTGAGGTGAGTCCCGCAGCCATCAGGAAGACCGCACAGCTCTGTTGCTGTTTGTCTGTCCAGGCTCTTGTCTCCCTGGGCCTCTGGGCTCCTATGGGAAAGTGGGATCATAGCAAACCCTTCACAGTGAGACCATCATTCCCATGGGCAGCTTGCTGTTGCCACATACCAATTTTCCAGCAAGTAGAAACCACAGTGGCAAGAGTCTTCCATGCCCCTCCTTCATAGGTGACACGGTTCCGATGTCTTCTGTCAGACAAACTGTGGATGGAATCCTTCTATGCCGTGTAGCATGCCATAGTGCTCTTATTTAAACAGGTTGTTTAACCTTCCACATCCAGTTCTGGTGACTGTAAAATCGCTGTGAGCACGGGAAACGAGTCCACGCACACCATGCTTCCGTGATGTGTGCTCTTTTCTGACTGAGGCCAGAGTGTAAGCAGAACTTCGTTTCCTACCTTGAGAAAGCCATGCTTGAAAGGCAGAAGGAGAAAAAAAAATGAGAGAAGGAAAGGAGAGAGAGAGAGAGAGACAGAGAGAGAGAGAGAGAGAGAGATTGAGAGAGAGGAGGAAGGGCTATGCTGGCACATTTCTGTAATTTCAGTGTTCTAGATGCAGAGACCAGAGGATCAGAAGTTTAAGGTCAGCCTCGCTACCTGAGGTCGTCCCAACTCCCACCCCCAAAGACAACCAACTAAACTGAATTAAGCAACAGAACAAAAAGAATAAAACACAAAAAAATTCAAAATAAAACAAAGCAGAGAGAGAGAGAGAGGAGAGAGAAAGGGAAGGGAGAGACATCAGGGTAGCAGCTTATCCAGTGGACTGCTGATGTGGTTGGTTTAAATTCTGCCACGTAACATGTTATAACCCAGCCTGTGGGTACACGAGGGACGTGGGATTACCCCATGTCCCATCCACAATAAATAGAGACGGGTATCAACGCTGTTGCTGGAAGATGAGAGTAGAGTTTCCCACAATGCAACAGTGATGGCATTGCGGATAACACCACCTGACTGGATTCGTTGTCTTCCTTCCGTTTCCCACTGTGCTTTGTGTGGCATATTTTGTCTTCAGGCAGCACACCCTCTTCTGGCTCTGGGACCCCTTTCCCAGCTGGGGCTGCGTCTGGGGTGCTCTGTGCCTTTTGAGTCTTGTGACTGCCTGCTTTTTAGTTATGATGCTCCCGCTATTACCCTTAAAGATTCTAAGTCAGCTTTTGCGGAGGACAACAGGTCACTTAAGAAACAGAGGGTGTGGCTGGGAAGTGATGCAGGTTGAGATCACTTCCTGCTTCTCTAGAGGAACCATCTCAGGTGTCTCACAGCTGCCTGTAACTAGCTCCAGGGGCTCTGAAGTCCTATTTCAGTCTGTCTTAGAACCTTTGTACATGTGCACGCGCGCATACACACACACACACACACACACACACACACACACACACACACAAAGCCTTAAAAAGAATATGAAAACAGACTGAGTACAGGTAACAGACAAGAATTATGAAGGAGGGTGCACAGCTAATTGTTTTTCTGGGTTTAATTCTGCCACGGATTTTTGTTTATTTGTTTCAGTGATGGATATGTGAACAAAATATATTCAATACTGAAATAAATGTAAAATTTAATACAAAGCTCCGCAGCTTCTATTCCAAATGCCTGTTCTAATTGCACAGAAGCACACTGAGCTCTGGATATTTTGGTGTGTGATATTTTTACTTAATAGTAAATTTTTTTATATATAATAAGGTTTAGAAAAATAAAAAATAAACCAAAGCATCACACACATACACACACACACACATACACACACACACACACACACAGGTGATTTTAAAACAGGGATGGGGACATGGCTCAGCAGTTAAGAGTACTTGCTGCTCTTCCAGATGACCTGGATTCAATTCCTAGTAGCCATGTGACTGCCCACAGCCATCTGTAATTCCAGTTTCTGGGGACCAGATGCCGCCTTCTGGCCTCTGGGGGCTCTGCATAACTGTGATGCAGGTACAACAGCCATACACGTGAAATAAAAATAAGTAAGTGTTAACAAACAAGACAAAGTCAAGACCAAGAAGTCTCAAGTTGAGAATGTCTCACAGAAACGTGAGGTCTATCGTGGCATTTAGCACCCAGGGGTGACATTTCATTCGTCGGCTTGATTAGAGGGAGTGTACCGTTGTCTAGTAGGATCCTACCAGGTGGCTTTGTGTTGACTCATGCCTCCCAGCATGTGGAGGACACTGACCATGTCCCTGCTGTGTGTTCACATTTAGGTGAAGTACAAGGAGGACTCCGAGAGGTCCAGAGGGAAACTCATTGGCGCACAGAGCGCACGGGCGGACTCTCGGATGAGCCACTCACTGCAGATGTCCAAGCTACAGAGTGAGCTGGAGTATAAGAAAGGCTTTGAGGACACCAAGTCTCAGTGTCATGTCTCCCTGGACATGATCCACCTCGCCCACGCCCGCCAGGCGCAGCACTTAGCCACCGACATAGGCTACAGGACGATATCACACTACTTCACAGCTCTGCCCACGGACATGAAGGTGGAGTGGGCCAAGAAAGCCTATGGCCTGCAAAGTGATGTAAGCTGTGTATATATACATTCATGTGTGTGTGTGTGGTGTGTATGTATATACTGTGTGTATGTATGTACAGTGTGTGTGTGTGTGCAGTGTGTGTATGTATATAATGTTTGTGTGTGTGCAGTGTGTGTATGTATATAATGGTGTGTGTGTGTGCAGTGTGTGTATGTATATACTGTGTATGTGTGCAGTGTGTGTATGTATATAATGGTGTGTGTGTGTGCAGTGTGTGTATCCATATACTGTGTGTGTGTGTGCAGTGTGTATGTATATAATGTGTGTGTGTGCCGTGTATGTATGTATATACTGTGTTTGTGTAGTGTGTGTATGTATATAATGTGTGTGTGTGCAGTGTATGTATGTATATAATGTGTGTGTGCAGTGTGTGTATGGATATACTGTGTGTGTGTGCAGTGTGTATGTACATAATGTGTGTGTGTGCAGTGTATGTATGTATATAATGTGTGTGTGTAGTGTGTGTATGTATATAATGTGTGTGTGTGCAGTGTGTATGTATATAATGTGTGTGTGTGCAGTGTATGTATGTATATAATGTGTGTGTGTGCAGTGTATGTATGTATATACTGTGTTTGTGTAGTGTGTGTATGTATATAATGTGTGTGTGTGCAGTGTATGTATGTATATACTGTGTGTGTATGTACAGTGTGTGTATGTATATACATGTGTGTTTGCAGTGTGTGTATGTATATACTGTGTGTATGTACAGTGTGTGTATGTATATAATGTGTGTATGTGTGTGCTAGGTTTTGTGCTTGTTATTTTTGAAGTCTTTGTTTTACCACACCCTTTGGGGCGACAGTTCAGGCTTCAGGGGTACATATTTCTGGATCCCCAAGGGGAAACACTCTTACTTACTCCTGGTTAGCTCTGTTCATCCTGTGCTGACTTGAAGTTATATGCCAACAGCCAGAGAGACAGAGCTACTTTTTTGGAATTCTGGTTGACTTACGTTTTTGATTTCTCTCTGATGCTGGAGTTGAATGCATTGGTGTTATCTGCAGCTATGGTCAATGACGGGAGTATCACTGACACCTCATCTCAGCTCTAAAGGTCCCCAGTTTTTGAACGAGCAGCTTGTGGATCCTTTCGACAGCCTCCTCCCCTTCCTCTTTGTACCCTTGCTGGGTTCTGCTCCTGCTCTGCTTTAGGTTGATTCTTGGAAAAGAATATAATGTGAGGGCTCAGCTATAGCCAGGCTGTTACACACAGCTCTCTCTCTCTCTCTCTCTCTCTCTCTCTCTCTCTCTCTCTCTGTGTGTGTGTGTGTGAGAGAGAGAGAGAGAGAGAGAGAGAGAGACAGACAGACAGACAGACAGACAGACAGACAGACAGAGACAGAGAGAAACACACACACAGAGAAGGTAGGCTGGTTTAAGATAAATTTTTCCATTTCAATAATTTCATTAAACCCATTCATTCATAGCTAGTGAAGACATGTCCTCCATGCCCCTCAGTGACAGGAGGAAGGAGTTGGCTCCAGGGGAAGATTTTGTGTGAGAGTCCCTCCAGTTGCTCCTGCTTGGGTCCAGTTGGAGGCCATCATTGTCTCCTCCCCTGCCTGCCATTCCAAACAAGAAAACGGGTCCAGCACAATGAGGGCGCTTTTGTCTGCAGGGAAGACGCCTGTCCCTAACGAGGGCCCAGGTTGACTTCTGTGGACCCCAAGTAGGGTTGGGTAGGGCCAAAAGCCACCATCTACAGGGAGGCCTCTGATTAAGGGGGCTAATTTGCATATTTGGGGCCTCACCCAGGACTCTTCAGAAGCAGTTGAGCAAAGTGTCATTTAGTCTGACTGGGCTGGCACGGAGGGCACACTGGGAGCTGTTAGCAGCTCTTTCCATGTCTGTGCAGTGACAGTGGCCTGCCTTCCCCCCGTCTCTCTCCTTTGTCAGAACCAATACAAGGCAGATGTGAAGTGGATGAAAGGCGCAGGCTGGGTCGCCACCGGGTCATTAAATGTGGAGCAGGCGAAGAAGGCAGGAGAACTCATTAGTGAGGTGAGATCTCCCGACAGTGTGCGTGGTGGGGCTTGGCTGCATTAGGCGTGCGACGTTTCTGTATAAAATTAAAATAATCTCCACTCAAAAGGCAGAGCCACATGAAAGGCCTCCAAACCCGGACTAGGTCTGGTAATTAGAGAGAAGCCACATACCAAACACATACCAGTAGGGGCCCACGGAGTCCCGGCAAAAACGAAGTGGGTGACAAGCGATGTTGTGTATAATAATGACAACCACACGGAGCTCGACCACTACCCAGCCCTTACCTTTTAATGAAGCGGTATGGGAGAGACGATGAAAAGATACATCCGTGGCACCCAGGAAACCCTTTTATACCTTCACACGTTTCACGCTTCTCCCTCTGTGGCTGCAGTGTAAACAGTTTGTGAATGTTCCCAATGTCGTCTGACATGGCGACATGGTTGGTTCTTTCTTGTGACAGGGATATCTCCCTTGTGCTGTTTTTAAATCTCGCTTTTGTCATGGTCCAGCCACCCTGGCTGACCTTCCGGTGGTTCTGATGATGAGAAACGCCTTTCCCCAGGCTCTGGGCAGCCTCACCAAGCAGCAGTTTTAAAGACTGCATGGCCATCGACATGCTGTTGATTCCCGCAGTGTCTCTCTGGTCCCTAGAAGTCAGCACACTCTGCCAGTGTCCTAGCAGATGCCCTTCGGGGGCAGAATCGCCCCTGCACACACAGAGCACCTGAGTGCCCAGCACCATAAGACTTCCCAGATTCACCCCTCTAAGTGACTGTTGTCAAGGACTGGCTGTGTCCAGAAGGCACGTGAGCATTTCAGGGCTTTAGAGTGGACTGGTCTTTCTGGAACTCTCTGTGCATACCTGGAAGACTTTAGTTTTGGCAGTGAGGCTCCTGAGATGTTTCAAAAGAGGGTTTCTTATGGAATCGCATAGTGGATTTCCAGATGGTTCCTTTATGTGTCTAAGTCTGGCAGCAAAGAATTGCAGAGGGAATATTTTGCCCTGCACTGATATAACTTTGTCATATCACTCTTCTCATTCTGCAGACTTTCTCAAGAAATTTGCTTATTTCCTTAACATCTTTGCCTCACGCTGGTTTTCAGACCATATATTAGGCAAAATATACTTTAGCAGCTTTTCCCAACTATGAGATGTTTCTAGGTTCCTGTCAAATTGGGCTGATTGACTTTCAGAGAGAAAACCAGACAGTGTAGAGAGAGTCATGGGTGAATATAGACTTGCTCACACTCACACACACACACACACACACACACACACCACATGCACTTATACATACCTGTACAAATATGTTCACTCACACACATACACATGAATTCACAAATGAATGCATATCATATACACACATTCACACATGTATACATGCATTCACTCACACACTCATACACACATGTGTGAGCATACATGCATTCACACACTTATGTACACACATTCACTTGCACATGTGTAAATGCATTCACACACGCACACATGCATTCATACATATGCACATACATGTATTCACACATGTGTAAATGGGTTCACACATGCACACACATGTATACATGCATCACATACATACATACACACATACACACATGTATGCATGCAGACACACATAGACAAACACACACACACACATACGCACACACGCTATAGGACAGGAGTCACCAGAACTATTCTGTGAAGTTCCACATAGTTAATATTTTTAATTTTGCCGATTGCATAGTCTCCATCACAAGTAGCTGAAAATGGTATGGACAACATGTCAGTGAATGTTACAGTAAGACTTCATTTGCAAAGCACAGGTGGCTGGCCGCATTTAACTGTACCTAAGACAGTACAGTGCAGCATGCACAAATCCAAGCAGACAAATGAGGAGCAGGTGTTTAGAAAATAACATGACTTTTGGGGAAAATAAGCTCCATTACGCCATTAAAATTCTAATACTTCAGGCCACGAAAAATGTGCTTTGAATGAAAGGAAGGAGAATGAACTTAATCATGTTACCCAGAGCTCCTCGATATGAGTCGTCTACATAGATCTTTCCAACTTTACATTGTTTTGTTGCTTTGTGTTTTGCTTAATGCATATATTCTAGTCCTTCGTGATAACTCCTTTCAGTGACGGAAAGGGTCTCCTTTTCCTTGTTGTAATATATTTGAGGATCACCGTAGGCTAGAGTGAATACACCTGCATGGTAACACTTGCCAAGTCCTGTGGGGGAAGGAAAACAGAAAGCTTCAATCGATAAATGAGACTGGGAACGCACTTCCCTGCCAAACTAAGATATGTAAACAACTGAGACGCACCATTTGAAGCCCTAGAAAGAATGACTTTGGGAGTATGTACCCTACGGTCTTTTACTGGTGTAATCTAATTTTGAGATGTTGTCTTTGCACCAGGTAGAAATACTTTAATGTTAATTGACATGAGGTTATTCTTAAATTGAAACAAATATTAACCTGAAGGTGCCTAGGATATAAAGATGGAGGAAGCCGAATAATAATTATGTTCACAAATTCACTCTAATCTCAAGCAACCTGTGATTTTCCTCTTTCAAATGGCATGAAAGAGCAGCACAAAATTCACAGCTTTGATCTTTCCCTGCTCAACAGAGGAAGTACCGTCAGCATCCAGAAGCTTTGAAGTTCACCAGTATTAAAGACACTCCTGAGATGGTCCAGGCCAGGATTAGTTATACCCAGGCAGTGGATGTGAGTGGTAATGTATATACATTATGACTCTGAGAGTGGGCTCTCTTTCAGCCGTGTGATTGAAGCGGAGGGGATCTCGGGCCTGCTCCTTCTGTGGTCCTGAGGATGAAGGGTCCCCTTGTCTTTTATGAAGCTTCCCTGGCAGGGTTGCTTCCTCATTAGGATGCAAATGGGGCGTTCCTGTACTGAGTGCCAAGTGGGGATCCGCACCCCACTGCCCCCTGGATGCTCTCCTTCCTTGCGTTACCCCCTTTCCCTTTTGTTCCAAATGTTGTTTCCAGAGCCAGAACTTTGAGTAAAAATCTGTCTAATTGGGACGAAGAAGCTGCGCTCGGGGCTGTCTGGGATCCGAGGGCAGGGACTGACATTGTGTTCTTATTTCTCCAGGCTTTAGAAAAATGACTCGAGTCTGATTTGTGAATATTAGCCTGACTTTTAAGCCACTTCCAGAATTCTGTATATTGCAGGAAACCAAGATTTGACCCAATGCTCAGTTCACTAGAGACTAAATAGAACATTGAGGTCTTATAAAACCTTCCCTAAGCTCAGGAATTAACTGGCTGCCACTTCCGAGCGAAGTCCTCAGATCTGTGTATAAGGCAGACTTGGCTTTGAAATATCTTAAAATATCCAACTTCTGACACACAAAAATATTTATAAACCCTGGGGATCCAGCTTTCAAAATTCCCTCTATGGTTTTATAAGAAAGTCTGGTTGTATCTTTTCTTATAGGTACCCCCAAAAGGGCCTGGGTATTCTTCAGGCTGTGGGATGGCATGGGTCTTATACTTTGGTTTAGGAATAGCTTTCTCGTATACCTGCTGGTTAGCATCACATTGAACTCTGAGAATCAGCCAGACAAGAATTAAGTCTCCAGGAAGAAAAACGCTTGCTGTGTCCTAACCATGACCAACTCTAGGGGGCGCTGCTGTGACATGTAGAACCTTGGACATGTCTGATAGGGGTTGGGATGGAAAAACACTATTTAGACATTTCCTTAGGTGGTGTGCTAACTCTGTGCATCATCTAGCAAACTTGTAGGCTGCCCGGAGCTCACTTGGAACTTACTAGGGGGGTATTGAGTAGGCCAGGGATCCTAGCTGGTAGGGAAGGAGACGAGAGTGGGAAGTGGGTTTGGGGAATCTCCCCGCAGAGCGGCCATTGCCTGTGCGTTTCCTGGGTCCCTGGTCCCTATTGCACAGCCTGAGGTGAACAGCCAGATGAGGCAAGCGTGGCCGGACCTCAGTGTCTCAGTCAGTGGTGCTTAAGAGTGTAGCATCAGCGGTGGGCGAGGTTTGCACCTGTCATGCTCTGTGCTGGAAAGTAGAGCTGAGCGGAGATTGCCAAAAATGTCAGCCAGGCTGCTGTGGTCATGTCTGTGCTGCGACATAGCAGCTGCGGGCCCTCTGTCCCCTGGCGTGCCTCACGGCTGCTGCTGCATGGGGAAGGCTCTGGGTTCAATGCAGCGTCCTCTCTTGACCCACAGAGACTGTATCGCGAGCAAGGAGAGAGCATGAAGCACCACTACACGCCTACTGTGGACTTGCCTGAAGTCCTGCTTGCCAAACTCAATGCCATGAACATCAGTGAGGTGAGATTCCCCTGGGGACACTGGGTTCAGAGACAGGAGGGCTGGGTGCCTTCAAGGCATGCACGGCGCCCCACACTGTCACTATGGTGACTTCATGACTGCTCTGAACAAGGGGATCCACTTGTGTCTGCACTGGGCCCTGTAAACGATATAGCCGACCCTGTGCAAGGCACAAGCTCACTGGGAAGAATGAGGCAGGGACTCGCCTTCCTGACGAGGCCGTTGTGTGCTGGATCCGTGCAGGAGCGCCCCAGTAAAGCTCCATGTAACGGGTGACTTTGCTGAGGACACATTTGGGGGTTTTAACTCTTCCCCTCTGTAGTGTCTATAAGAACTCTTCTCCCATCATTCCTGGACTTTGGTTGAGGCATTTGGCTATTCTCTATCTTGCATAACGAGCTATACAAACAGCCTTAAACCTTCTTAATCCAATGAGTTTGCTGCTCAGTGAGATCTAGGGCTACCCGGCTCCTAAACCTTGGCTTTTAACCAGTCCCCTCTCAGGCTTCACCTGCCAAGGGTGGGGATGGGGGCCAGGAGTTGATTCTCGGATCGTCTGTTCTGAGCCACAATGATTTCTAACCCCCAGATGGGGCTCTGGGTGGGAAAGAGAAACCCACTGCTACCCAGATTATGTCGGAGAAAACCAAAATTTAGGAGAGACTGTCAGATTTGTACCTTCTTCCCTACCAGACACGCTATAAGGAGTCCTGGAGCCGACTTCGGGATGGGGGATACAAGCTGAGGTTGGATGCCCTTCCATTCCAGGCAGCAAAGGCGGCCAGTGAAATCACAAGCGATGTGAGCATCCAATCCGGTGACATCTTGAATCCAAACCTGTTTGCAGTTCTTTTACCTCTAACTCTTGCCTTCTTTTGCCTGTGGATATAAAATCCTCTCCTGTCCAAACTGACTGTGTTAGGGCAACTGGATTAATGACCAGTGAGAGAGAGTGCATCTCACACAAAAAAATTCCCTAGCCCAGGGCACAAAGCCCAATGCCCGGCTGTAAACATGGCACCTGGGTAGATGAAATGCACCCTCCACCCAGAGTTTTCATAAACCCAGCCTATGAAGAGCTGGCTAACAATGCCTGCACCTTCTCCCAGCTTGGGCCGCCCAAGTGCTAACGCTTCTGCCGTTTCAAATCGGAGCCCTTTAGTCATTGGGAGTCTTGCATATGAAAGAATAGACTTTTTGACGACTCCTGCGCGTTTTCTTTTAACTCACCCAGTTACTGTCAAAAGAACAAAACATTTTCTCCCAATACCCACCTCTTCCATTCTGTGTCCCTTGTCCCTGAGCCGCTGCTCTCTCCCGCTCTCTTTCCCTTTAGTACAAATACAAAGCAACATTTGAGAGAATGAAAGGACAGATGCTTGGCTCCCGGGGCTTGGAAGGTGACCTCAGCCTCGCACACGCAGTACACGCGACCTCGCTGCAGAGTGCTGTAAGTGGGAGGGGACGGAGGGAGCTGTGGGACCCACTTGACGATGCCCCTCACACAGCCAGCTCAGGGGGCCAGCTCCTTGGAAGTGGATGATGCCTTCTGCTGCCAACTTGGGTTGTAGGTTCTCCCATAAAATGAGGTTGGCTTTGTGGAGCCCCCTAGTTCCTTTCTGGGATGTGAATTCTTTGAATTGGATTTAGGTGGTCTGTGGGATGTGTTTGGTCTGCAAAGATTTTTTTTTCTTTTGGGGGGGGTATGTGTGCTCTACAGACTGAGTTCCTGCAAATGTTTAGAAATGGAGAAAAGATTTATATGAGAAATTCTAGATTGCTTGTTAGAAGGTAGTCTGGATCCTGGAGGCTATAGTCCATTGTAGTTACTCACAGTGTAGCTGTATAGATGGAGTGTGTACTTATGTACTTTCCAGACATGTGTGAGTGTGTGTGTGTACACACACTCACACACACATACACACACACACGCATGCACACACACTCACACACACACACGCACACACACATGCATGCACACACACTCACACACACACGCACACACACATGCATGCACACACACACACACACACACACACACGGCACTTCATTCTTATTTGTGCACACATACATGTAGGCACCTGGTTTGCTACTGCCCTCTGACAATTGGTGTGGTCCTGTGGACTCTGGTATACATGTTCATACACAACCTCCTTGCACACGTGTGAGGGGTGAATGTCACATGTTATAGAGGTCCAGCCTAAGCATTGTCTCACCTAACCGTCTTATTGATAAGAAGGTCAGTCCCTCGCCCAGAGTCAGCTAGAAAGAGGGGGTTTCAACGCGGAGGTGGTGCAGCTCTCTCTCTCTCTCTCTCTCTCTCTCTCTCTCTCTCTCTCCTGCCCTTCTGTCCCGTGGCTCCTTTGTTCTCTGCCATTTTTCTCGATCTGTCTCACTTCCCCTTTTTCCAACTGTGCTCTCTGTCTTGGGCTGCTGGCCTCCGAGTATGGAATTAGATGGGAGGCCTTGTCCTTGTCCTAAGGATGAGAGCACTATCAGTGACTCCAGAGTGGGAAGTTTGGGCCAGGGGGTTGGGTAGAAGCATCAGAGGACAACTGGCAAAAGGAAAAGGCACCGACTCTGCGCCTGGATTCCCAGGAGAACCGCCAGCCTCACACAGTTCCTCCCAAGGCTGCCGGGGCATTTTTCAGGCATGCGTTGGGCTTGAGGGATGAGTATCTGTCCTCAGAACTGGCTTTTCAAATAGCTGTCTACTCCTACCAGCTCTAAGATTGGCCAAGGCTCACATAATGCTTGACGAAGCTCTTTGCCGGGTGGGGTAAGGAGAATCTGTGACCGGAGCAGACATTGGGGAGAGGTACGTTACGTTGGGCGGAACACCGATTGCCCGGGAGCATTCTCAGCACTCTGAAGTGGGGCCACATAGGAACTTCAGCAAGGGAGTAATTGGCATAGACAGGAAGCTCGTCTGTATTTTCGCCTGGTAAGGGGGCCATGGCTCCTGTACCCAGGCTGGTGACTCCCAGGGATCAAGAGTGGCTCTGAAATAGTGGCTGTTGATCTGTCTGCCTCTCCAGGTGAATTACAAGAAAGCCTTTGAACACTCAAAAACTCACTTTCGTCTGCCGCTGGACATGGTGACCCTGGTGCATGCCAAGAAGGCTCAGAACCTGGCCAGCAACCAGGACTACAGGCACCCACTGCCCCAGCACACATCCTTGGCAGAAGATCTGAGACTGAGCTGTGCCAAGAAAGCTCACAAGTTGCAGAGTGAGGTAAAGAGCCCGAGCCTCTCTGTAAGGGCCTGTTCCTGGCATTTCATGTCGCAAAGCAGGGACCCTCAAATTCCTCTTGGCTCCGTGGAGCCTCCAGAGGTCAGGAGTCCCAAACTCTTCTTAGCCCAAGAGCTCCCACACAGTACGGATGCACAATTAATTACAGTGCCCTAGTGAGAACAGTCACTGCTCCTTGAGTGTTTCTGCTGCATTCAAAGCATTGGAATTACCTCATCTAAGCCCCACAATATCCATGCATCAGCAGCCCCTATTGTCAAGAGAAATTGTACAAGGCACAGGGAGGATGGATTAGTCACCCCAGGTGAATCAGCTGTACTTGAGGAACATTCTCCAGTTTTGCCCCTGGTGTCAGGTTGGGTGGAAGCCCTTCTTGATGTTTTGTGGGAAGAACAGAGAGCAGGCCCAGGCGGTTAGGCCCTGGGATGCCTCTTAGGGTCGTCTTGGTCCTTGTGAGGCATCTTCACTCCTCTGGTATCATGTCCAACCCCTGAAACCTGTTCTGCAAAGCATGGAGGCACAGGGGAGTTAGGCAGCTTCGCATTCCCTTAAGAAGTGAGGCGTGTCCTCCCCAAAGGCGGCAGGAGCGGCCCTGGACCTGCCTTCCTTCCCAGCCTGCTAGGTTCCAGACCTGTGCAGGCAGCAAGCCGTGTGGAGGAAAGTGAGACCCCTTCTTGGTTCAACAGTGTGCGCAAATGGAGCAGTGCTCAGATTCAGAATCTGTCCTCTCTTGGAACTGTGCCTGTGGACGATGACTGCTGAACGACGTGAACTGTCAGGGACCTGAGCGCAGCTGTAGGGTTGAGGGAACGGCTGCACTAATCTTGGCCGTTTGTCACCTACCCACCCTGGTGCTTATCCTGTCCAGTGCTGTGGTGACAACTGGAAGGCAGGAAACTCAGGGGGCGCTTTGCAGGCTGAAGGGAGCAGATCCGGGGATCCCCTAAACTGTCATTCCCAACCACTCAGGTGTTCTTGCTCCGTCCCACGCAGGCGTGGACCCACGTGAGTCTGTGTCAAGTTATTCTGGATTCACCCATTACTTCTTCCTTAACCCATGATTAATTAATACTTCCTGCCATTGTTGGCCTATGTTTGAAAGATCAGTTAAACCATTTGTACATTTGCCCCAAGACTCCTGACTTTCTAGCCACCATCCTGTCCAGCATTTATGGTTTGATAGCCCCCAGTAAAACAGAAGCCCATCTGGTATCTCCATCGCATGTCACAGCTATTCACAGAGAAGTGGCAGCCGAATTACTTCCTCCTGGCCCACGTTTTTCCCAGATGAGTCTTTATTGAGGAAACGTGTGCATTGTTGTTGAGCGGCACCATATCTATACAGACAGACAGACACACATCCATGCAGATGCTGCTTGGGGTTCTAGACGCGCGCTTCCGGACAATGCCCGAGAGCCTGGCTGCTCCTGCTTCTTTGTCGAGTCTGGCTTCCCTGATGTCTCTGTGTCCCTTGTAGAATCTGTACCGTTCAGACTTGAACTTCATGCGTGGCATCCCCTGTGTTATTCCTGGCACACTGGAGATTGAAGGCAGAAAGAGAGCGTCAGAGCTCATCAGCGAGGTAACGTGGGACTCCAGAGTGGGTGATGGAAGCCTGGGATCCCAGGGCAGATGCCCCAGGGGATCTCTGTCCCCCTGCTCAGGCAGCTGGAGGTTAAGCTGTTGCCTCTTACCTGGAGCGTTTATCCTTATTGCGGTTCTACTCAGGTGGCTTAGCGGATGGAGCCCAGTGAGCAACACTCACTGAAATAGTCAGGCACCATGGTGCATGTCTGTCATCCCAGTTATCCGGGGGTGGAGGCGGGAGGATCCCTGGAACTCACTGGCTAACGAGTCTACCTGAAGCAACGAGCTCCGTGCTCAGTGAGGGACCTGGAGTGGAGGGCGATAGAGAAAGTCACCCAACATTAGCCTCTGGCTTCATGCACACACATACATACATATACACACGTGCACACGTGCATACACACGCACGAATGCACACACAACAGGAATATCAAGTCATTTCTTCCATTAATACATAAGACTGATTCATGAGCTCGTAAGTTGCGCTTTTCCTAGGTCCTTTGAAGGGCAGCCATATGGTACAATGGAGAGCTGGCAGGCTTTGGAAACCAACAAGTAAGGGATTGAAATTCCAGGTCAGCTCTCACTGACTTTGTGACCTCAGCCTAGTTACCTGTCCTTTCTGATCCCCGGCTTCTAAATTAGTCACATGGGGTTATACAGAACACCTCGGTTTGGCTTTGTAAGGTTCGGTACCGACTCAATCTCAGGGTTTCTCTGACGGCTGTGTTTGAAACGGCAGCTGCCGTCTTGCTGATTTCTTGGTAAAAATTAAGTAGTCTCTGAATCCTAAGCTGTCTCAGTGCATGGGGAGCTTTGCGTTGATGCTCATGGCAGACTCAAGGGCAGGGAATGGGAATCATGGGTTACACGTTTGCTCCCAGACTGCATGCTAAGGGGACCTGGGCTCTGCGTTCTCAGAACAGTCTGCATCAAACCTGCACAACCCATGCCCGTCAGGGCCTGTGTGGCTCTTCAAAGAGCAGAGAGGATGGGCTCTGCCAGGGCGGACAGGTGGGGTGTTTGTATGCACACGTGTTTGAGTGTGTACCCGGGGCCACTGTGTGAGTGCGTGCGAATGTGGACCCAGGGTCCCAGATGTTCTGCGGGAGTCATCAACCTTGCTCTGTGAGACAGGGTCTCTCCCTGACCTGAGACTCACTAAGCAGTCTAAGCAGGCTGGCAGCGAGCCTGTGTGTGCCTCCCCAGAGCTAGGATTACAGATGTGGGCCACATCTGGCCTTTCTCGTGAATGGTGTTTTGAAGGGCCCAGCTAGCATTTGTGCATCCTCAGTGCTGAGGACAAATCTTGTCAGGCACAGATTGTAAGTATAGTTGGTTCTGTTCACCTGGAGAGGGGGCTGGCCAGCTGGACTCTAGAATGATAGGCTGGGCAAATGGAGGCTTTAGTGGTGATAGTGGCATGCACTTTTAATTCCAATGTGGGGAAAGGCAGAGGCAGGAAGATTCCGGGGCTCATGTCCAGCGACAGACCTACCTCAGAAAGCAGGTATTTATAGTGTTTCTGAGGAGCAGTGCCCCAAGTTATCCTCTGGAATCCACATGCATAGATTCACACATGTGCATATGCATACATGTATGCACGCACACGCACATACAAACCACATGCACACAGAGATTTAATTAAGATTTACAGCATTAACTGTTTTCCTTAACCTTACCAAGCCTTTTTTTTTTTTTTTTTTTTTTTTTGTCCTTAGAGTAAATACCGCCAACATCCTGGGTCATTCAAGTACACAGCTGTGGTAGATACTCCTCACCTTCTGCAGGCCAAGTTCAGCAACCAGATCACCAATGAGGTGAATTCTCCAGTGGCTGTTCAAGAACAGCTACATTTAAAGAGAAAAGGGGGATAGGGGTGGTGGATTTTTATAGGTTGAAGAGGGGAAAGGCATTCAAATTTATGGGGGGATTTGGAAAGAAAAGAACATTCCGTACAGAACCTAACACACCTTCCAGAGGAAAGGAAGGAATCGGGCATCTGCTGCAGGCTGTAGTCCGGCTCCCCTGGACCAGGGGCAGGCTGGGATCCCAGCCTCAGGTCATACCATGGAGTGGCTGGGTCCAAGGCCCCACCAGACAAGGCCCTCAGCCGGCTCCTTTGCACATAGGAATCTGTGGCTCTACTCCTGGCAGGAGTGCAAACCAGTGCAGTAACGCTCATTTATGCAGGGCTTGCGTCTGCCCAGAGGCAGGTCTAGAGCATGGCATCTGTCTGAAGGAAGGCCTGAACTTCTGCCTGTCTTAACCTCGTTCATTATTCACTCAAATGTATTCATCCCCAAATCTACTATTCCCCATAAAAAAATGAAGAGAAGGGTTCTCTTCGCCTCCGCATCCAACCCAAGCCTTCCGAAGCTGGAAGTGACGCCTAAGGATAAGGGTGCCCCAAGGGGACAGAGTTCCTCATCTTGCACACGAGAGAGGGCATCAAGTTAAAGTTCTTGCTTGCCTTCGCTCCGCCTTTCCAGACTGGGAGCTGTGGGGTGACTGTATTTTAGGCTGACCTCTGACCTTTCAGAAGTCCGCAAGCGCCCACCCGTTTCTGAGCACAGGGACAAGTCTTCCAGGGAAGCCCCGGCTCAGCGTGCTCTCAGAAGGGACCCTGAGGTGCCAGGGAAGGGTGGAGACCGGGCTGCCTCTTTCCATCAGCAGCCTTCAGTTACTACAGGCTGAAGCTGTGTGCCAGGAGGCGCCCTGCCCTCACGCCTTCCCAGCTACACATGCAGGACTCACACATCGTGTGTGGTGTCTTCTCCCTGATTTTTACTTTTGATTGGGGTGCAGCGTCTCTATAGGGCAGCTGGTGAGGATGCGCGGCACCAATACACAACCACCCTTGGTTTGCCTGAGTTCATCCGAGCAAGAGCCAATGCAGACAACCTGAGTGAGGTAAGCCTTCCTCCCTGCTGCAGGCCAGGCGTGTGCCAAAGCCAGCAGCATTGCGCTGTGCAAGTGATCCACCATTTGTTGAAGCTTCTGGAAAGGCGCCCGTTTTAGAAGCCCGTGTAGAATGTATGTGTGTTACAGATGCATGTATGCTCAGAGCCGACCACAGGGCACGTGCTGATGGGAGTTTGCTCTGTGAAACACCCATTGTTTGCTGCTCACAAATGGGTTCCATGCTACAAGTGAAAGGGCATGCGGCCTTTGTTCATGGATTCATGCGTGTGTGTGCGTGCGTGCATGTGTGTGTGTGTGTGTTTTAAAGATGTACATGTGTTCCTGTCTCAGGCAAAATACAAGGAGTCTTGGTATAATCTCCGTGCTCAAGGCTGCAAGCTGACGATGGACGCTCTCCCCTTCCAGGCTGCGCGAGCCTCCGGGCACATAGCCAGTGATGTGAGTAGGTTGCTCTGACCTTCCATCTTGCTTCCTCTCTGTTAGCGTAATGCAAAACAATGTGTGGGGCTGATTTTTCCCAAGTTCACGCAAATCTACACCTGTGCGAGACGGGACGTCACCTGCGGAATATATTAGCTCCGAACGAGGTCCTTCAGCAAAAGGCTAAATCCGTGCAGAGGCCTGTGGCTGGAGGAGCTGGTGACTCGGGTGTCACTGCAAAGTCCAGGCAGCGGTCATGCGACAGCCGCCTGTCTGTAGCCCCACCCAGAACGAGCAAGGACGAGGAGGAGATGACAACCGCCTCCCTCTTTGGGCCTCTCTCACTCCCCGCCACAAGCCACCAGCTGCGCTTCATATGCCCATAGCTCTGGGACATGAAGGTGACTTTCTCTTTCCGACAAACAAATCACAGGAACCGTGGACTTCAAATGAACAGAGCCTGTCTTTGGGGTTTAATGTTTTTCCAAACGCGAGTAGATAGAATACAAGTGTCTTTTTTGCCCTTTTCTGATGAAATTCCTTTTGGCCACAGGGTACACAAGGGGATCTGATTTTAATTAGACAGAAAGAGAGGTCTGATGTTCTCACCTTCAGCCCTGAGGGAGGGAAGTGGGGAGAGAGGGAGGCAGGCATGCTTTGGGCCAACTGCCTGTGGTATCTCTTAGACTCGCCACTTCCTAGAAGAAGAAGAGCTGGCCCCTCCCCCGGGGCCTGTTACGCAGGTGGACACACACGGGCTACGCGCTGCTGTCCAGTGGGTTTGAGTTAGCTGGCCCTGACCAGCTGGCTGCCCTTCCAGTTTCTCTATAGGCACGACTTCGTGAAGGAGCGGGGGCAGCTCATCGGGGTCCGGAGTGTGAGTGATGACCCACGGCTGAGGCACTGCCAGCGGATGGGCCAGCTGCAGAGTGAGAATCAATACAAGAAGGAGGCGGCCAGCAGCCAAGCCCAGTGCCACCTTCCCATGGATATGGTACACCTGGTCCATGCCAGGAAGGCCCAGGCCCTGGCCAGTGACCGTGACTACCGGACACAGTGCCGTGAGTTCACCGCGCTGCCTGAGGATCTGAAGATGGCCTGGGCCAAGAAAGCCCATGCCCTACAGAGCGAGGTACGGCTTATACGGTGCCGGCTAGTCCCGCCCTCTTTCCGCTACACCTTCTGACCCTCTGGACCCTCTCCATCCCAAATGTGGCCTATGACCCCCAGGGCAGGATTATTTATTCTACTGACTTTTAGTGAGCAGCTACTACATGGCCAGCACTTTTGTGGTTTTGTTTCTGTCTCTCTTCACCTGAGCCCTGCTCTGAGTTTCTGACCTTCCCTCTCCCCTCCTCTTATTCCTCTCCTCCCTTCAACGCTTCTCTCCTTCCGAGAGAGTGCTATTGTCAGCAAGCGAGTGAAAATCATCTCCAGTGCGTGTGGAGCTTCCACCGCCTTGAGGGAAATTAATGGTGTTTGACATGGCAAATGTCTTATATCTCAGATGGTGATACCCGCTAGGGAGATAAAGGAACACATTAGTGGGGTGGGAAGGGGTGTGTGTGTGTGTGTGTGTTCATGCATATATGCCATGTTTATTTATTTATTCATTTACTTTTGAGGCAGGGTCTTGCTATTTAGGCCAGCAGGGCCTCAAATCTGAAGTGCTCTGATTAGGGGTGGAAACCACATGTGTGCCATTTACAGTAGGGCATTGGTGTAGTTGTCATTGGAAAGGTGGCATTTGAACAAGGGCCTAAGGGAGATGAGGAGAGGGGGTAGAGAAATCTGGGCAAACAGAACAGTAAGTTGCGAGGCAAAGCCATGAGCAGGAACCGTCACGGCATGTTTGGGGACTAACGGGAGCCAGAGCTGGGGGGATGGCTCAGTGAGCAAACACTTGGTACAGAAGTGAGAGGGCTAGAGTTTGGACCCCCCCAGAACCCACGAGAGAGCCAGATAAATACGGCAATCGCCTGCAAATACAGCGCAGGTCAGCCGGATCGCTTAGCTAGCCAGAAATCAGGAGACTTCAGGCTCAGTGAGAGACCCCGTGCCAATCCACAGTGGACAGTGACTGAAGAACGTGCCTGATGCCAACTCCCACTTTGTACATGCACACACACATATGTACTCACACACACACGTGTGCCCACACATATGTTCACATGCCTACATACACCATGAACACCACACACACACACTAAGACAAGGATGAGTGATGTGGTCTCAGTGGGGGGGCAGGGCTGGGGCAGGAAGGGTGTGGATACGGCTAAGGCAATGCAGCCGTGGCTGGCACTGACTGTAGCCTTTACCCCTGCTGCAGCTCTGGGAGCATCGGGGAGGGTAGGCTTGGTAAGATGCGCTCAGACGCTGCCCTCTAGACTCTGACTCTCTTGAAGGACCTTAAAGCAGTAGGAATCTTGGGTCAACAGGTTTAGACCCCACAGCTCTCAAAGGTGAGATGCCGCCCTATTCAAGAACAAGAGCAAGTGTGTGTGTGTGGGGGGGGGTAGGAGCAGTTCCACTCCACGTCATGGAAGAAGGCTCTGGAGTCATAGCTCTGAGGTGTACATCCTATCCCTCCATACTGGCCATGTGAGCTTGCACTCCCAGCTTTAATAATAATAATGCTATAGCCATTATTAAAATGTCCATCTTACGGCTAGGTTATATAGAAAAGGGAACATGCTGTTTTAAAAATAGTTGTTTGTGTGTGCATGTGTATGTACACGGCGTGAGTGTAGTGCCCGCAGAGACCACAAGGGGGCATCATATCCCCTGGAACTGCAGTTACAGAAGCTGTGAGTTGGTTTGTATGGTTGCCAGGTGCTGGGAACTGAAGTTCGGTCCTCTGCAGGAGCAGGAAGAGCTCTTAACTGCAGAGCCCCTCAACAGGAGTTCATTGGTTCAGCTGCTTCTGTATTTCCCTGTCCTGGCCAGGAAGAAAGCATTGGGCTGTACTCGCAGGCCTGAGAGACGCTCCTCACTTGGGCTAAACCCACCGGGCCCTGATTACTGACGTCATGTCAAGTTCTGCTTTCCTTTGAACGTCACTTGAGATGTGCAGGCTAGCCTGGGGGCATCCGTCATGAACACGTGGCAGTGACCTCCATAGCTTGCTTGGTCTTTTATGAGTCTGCTGTTCTCTGCTCCAGCATAATCTCATACCAGGGCCGTAGGAGGTCTTGAAACATACTGTGCTGTTTTTTCAGGGTGGTAACTTTAGGTTGACTCTTAAAGCACCCCATCAGAAACAACAACAATGATGGCTAAAATGTACAGAACCCCTACTTCCTGGCCCAGGTATTAGTATTCGCACAGGCGCAAAGGCCCTCATCATCTCAGTCATCTGCCTTGGGCTCAAACTGGCAGAGAAATGTTTTCCCCAAGACCCAGAACTAGAAAGAGACGGGGGCAGGGCTTCTGAACTCCTGACCCCTGGCCTAGTCTCTCTGGTTTCCATAGGTGGCTACATTATGACCCAGGCACTCTAGTCTGTATTCTTGATGACTTCCAGTGTGGCCTACCCAGAGCACAGCGGCCCATAGTTCTTCCCACTCTCCAAAACATCATTTGATCACAAAAACTATTCAGTGGGTGAGAACGAGAACCCCTCCTTTGCAAGACATTCTGTTGAGATAATGAGTCTAAACAGTCCTGCTTGGGTAGTAAGGATATTACTTCTGATCCACATGTCCGACATACCCTTTCCTCCAGGTACCACCTGGGTACCTACACTCATTATCACTTTGCAAGAGATTGCTCCAGAATGGGGATGTTGTGAAAGTCTCACCCCTGAATTCTCAAGTGGCCTTAGTATAAGGGAAAACAGAATCTGCCGTTGGGGTGAGTCAGACTGGGGTGGGCAGTTTGCGAAGGTTTATTCTTAGACTCTTTCTCTGAAGCTGTCTTTGGTTAGCTGACTCTTCTAGGCTTCCCTCCTTTGATCATGAAGTCTGGGGCAGGTGTGTTGATTTTAGGGTCTGTGTGAATAGTCAAAGCTGGGCTGGGGAGATATCAATAGATGATGTGTTTATCAGAGTCAGAGGCACAGCCGGATCTTTGGGGACCTGCATCTTGTTTCCCAACTTACCTGTAATCGTACTGTTCAGCTCAACAAAAGACAAGTTGAAAGAGTGCTCCCCACCTGATCTCTCTCATGAAAGGAGCAGGGCCTAGCTGTGAAGAGGCCCTGTAGGATTATTCTCTCCAACTTAGAAATTTATCCAATTTTCTCTGCTCTTTATCAGAGTCGAAGGCAAAAGCGTTGCCGGTGTAGACTGAAAAGACGCCGTATGAAAAGCAATCTTACTGACGTGGGGTTTTGAAACCTGCTCCTGAGCCCGAGTGACGCCTCCCTTCACCAGTCAGAGAGCAGTGTGGAATTGGCGCAGGGGCATTAACCGGCAGACAGTAGATCAGAAGCAGGCCTGCTTTGAGGCCAGCTGTGAGGAGCGCCGTGCACCCCGAAATGAAAGAGAACTAAAAAGGCCGAGAGCCTGGCGTCCGGGGCGATGTTTTGCGTTGCAGCAGGACTTATATCTAAATTAGAGAAATGCCATCAACTTCACTTAGATCCAAATTTCAGATTTCCTTAGAGACCCTTTTGCCACCTTTAAAAAAACACCCAATTTCCATAAAGAGGAGAAGAATGGCGTTCGAGTGATGGTGTCATTGTAGGCGACGCAGGCAGATCAAGGACTCCTAATAAGATCTGACAGTTTAGGGGCTCTAATCAGAGCCGCGGGTGTAAAGCTTCTATTTATTTTCTCTGGGAATTGTGCTGTTGGCCTAATCTTCAGAGCCCTAAAAATGAAGAAAGAGGCTAAGGCTTTGCCTGATAAGTTACTGCTGGGGGATAGAGGGTAAACTGAGGCACGGACGCACTAAAAGGTGCTTACTCGCTGCTAGCCCATCATATTTAAATTGGTTTTAGTTTTTAAATGTCTGCTGTGGCTGACGCCTGCCCCTCTGTGCCCGCTATCTGAAGGACAGAAATCTAATGGCCTCTTGTCCCTGGGGTCTCTCAGCTTTTCGCAAGGGTTGTTTTGACCTTCAAATGTGGCAGAGAGACTGAGTTGTGTGTTGGTAAGGTAGTTTGCTCTGAGTCATGGCAGCTTTGATCCAGGGCTCAAAACCCTTTCATCAGCTGAATGGTGTGTAGATGGTTCTTGGCTGGCAGGTGGTAGATTGCCTCACTGGCAGAATGAACCCGAATAATCCTGGGTGATCCTTGGATTTGAGCACATAGATCTTTCTTTAAATGCTTGTCCATGGATGTCATCGTTGTCGGCTTCAAGTCTCGCTAAGGGCAGGGGCGCTTCTTGTACCTTTGTTGTAACTCCATTACCTTATTTGTGGAAAATGTGCAAACTCTAAACATCTGGATATAGAACCTTCTCTCAATGCAGTCACTGAACTGTTGGGATGAAGTATGATTGCAAAGCATGATTTATTATTCTTATTACAAAACCAGGGCCTTGCTGAAATGCCCTCAGGGTACTGTGCATGGGCCTGACAGAAGCTCTTAACTTCCTTTCTGCAGTTTCGCTACAGATCAGACTTGATGGGCATGAAGGGCACAGGATGGTTGGCTCTGAGATCTCCCCAGATAGAGAATGCAAAGAAGGCTGGAGAGCTCATCAGTGAGGTACCACCAGCTCGACCTTCCTGAGTGACATGGGCAGTATTTCCTTTGGAACAGAGAACCTGTTTATATACTGGGGGTCATGCCAGCGTGGACCCAAGGCTGATGGACACCCAGCATGTTTTCTTCTGGAGATACTTGCAACCCAAACCTTAAACAATGATATTTACCTGCAACCAATTCACTGCTGAGGTGTTGAAGGCGTTCAACACATTAGTAGCTTCTTACATCTATGGTTTTCTTACTAATAGAACTTGTTTGCAGAGGGTCTAGGCAGGGTTGCATGGATGCCAGCCACTCCCTTTGCAGTAAAGAATCCCTTCTTTAAGAAACTAAATGTCTGTCAGACGTGTCCTTCCCATGCTACTGGTTGTCAGGTGTTTATCAAACAGAGTGGCTTGTCTTCTGATATGCCCTTGTCATTTACACATTTGGTTCCGAGGAGCCAGCATTGAAGATGGAAATGACATTTAACCATGTATATGGAAATCTTTTCTTTCACAGACCAAGTACCGTAAAAAACCAGACAGTATCAAGTTCACCGCGGTGGTAGACTCTGCAGACCTTGTTCATGCCAAGGACAGTTACAGGCACTGTAACGAGGTAGGGTCTTCCTCTAACCCTGGGCATGCACTGGGACGCTGTGGCCTGGTGGTGGGTGGGCTGCATGCCGTCTGGGTGCCTGTGGGCCTGTTGCTGATCTCTTGGTCTCTTCTCCCTCCCCTTTATTTGAAGGAGGAGTGGGCATTAGAATCGTGAGGGCAACCACCCCTCATACAGTTGAGGGAGTTAAATAAGCGAAAGCAAATAAAGTTAAAGTGAGAACCAGGAACAGCAAGCACTCTATAAATGCCCTATTATGGTTTGAGTTATAACCATAGTATTATTGGTGATCTCACCAAACTTGAGATCAGATGCATCTTAATTGCTGATGGATGCAATGGAATTAAAGGCTTCATAAACCCTGGGGGGGGGGAAGGAACGGTTATAGTCAAAGCCCCCGTCCCCTCCTTTGTTGCCTGTGTGCTTTAGGCCTGTTTCCTATTTCAAGACATAGGGGGCTGCATGTGTTTCCTCTGGATTGTCAAGGGTTTCCATTCTTCATGCCGTTATAGGACCACCCCCTCCTCCCACGGCCCAAATGCTTCCCATTTTCAAAGCCTACTTGGATTTGGGAACTGAAGGGAATGGATAGTCCACACCTATAGAAATACACAGGACCCAAATGATTCTTAAGGTTGTTGGCAAGGCTTAAATTCTAAGGATGGAAACAGACAAAACAACCTTAAAATCGTGTCTTTGTGCAATCTGGGTAAACCATGAAAACCTTAAGGCCTTAAACACTAGGACATTTAATAAATTTTATAATAAAAGGGCCAATTTGTTTTTTATTACTACTATTTGCGTTGAACAACAGAGCCTCAAAGGCCTGGGAGTTGTCTCTTGTAACCAGTGAACACACAGATTGGGTTGCAGAGGGTCTGAAACAGAGCCACACAGGCAGAATGAAGTACACAGGCATGGCCAGCCAAGGAGTTGGTTTATGGTCCATTTGGAGCAGATCATGGTAAATATTTTAACTGTTCACCATCACATGACCCTGGCCACAAAGGAATCTTCTACTCACCAGATGCTCCTAGAAGGATTGTTTCTAACGGGGAGAGCCAGGATAGGGCATCAACCACTTTTCTCTTGAGCTTTACGAAGTATGATAGTATCTAGGCTCTGTCTTGACTGTTAGTCTGTCTCCCCCACAGCGCCTGTACAGGTCAGGGGATGCAGACTCCATGCATAGGTACACCCCAATCCAGGACCACCCGGATTTCACCCGAGCACGGCTGAATGCAATGCACCTGAGTGACGTAAGTAGGGCTTGTGTGGTGTGTGCCCGCTTCTGTAACATTTCTGGGCCCCAAATTGATTTTTTTTGATTATTATTATTTCTAAGTCCTAAGAAGCCAGGACCCAGAGCAGGAAAAACTGTCTGTGTGACTTCCTACCACATCCCTCACTTGGCCTCAGTTTCCTTACCTGTAAAACAGGAGGGAACGGAGCTGAGCTAAATGGAAGTCTCTTGCAGCTTTAACATTCTAATTCTAGGCTGGGCTGTGAAGACTCCGGTCATGTGCCAGGCAATGGCCAGGGGTATGGTCCCCAGGCTCTGATAGGTGTAGACAAACCCGTTCCCTTGATTTCTTGAACATCTTTCTTTAGCCGTTCAGAGGAGTATGACTGAGGAGATAGGATGTCACCATCTCATTCCACAGTTTGAAAAGATGTTCTCAATGTAGCTGGTTCCTTTGTGCATGGAACCATGCCTGCCAACACTCCAGCTTCCCCCGGACATATGCCCTTTGCGTATGTAAGCAAGACACTGTTTCCTAAACTCAGGCTTGTTGTTGGCAGGGGTTGGAGGCCCCTGGTTGTAATAGAATAAGCAGCCACTCAGCCAGCAGTGCTGTGATCCCCAGCTAACAGGTAGAGAAGCCGTGCAATCAAAAGACATCGTAGGATTGGAATAACACAGGCTGAGTGTGTCAGCCTGGGGCAGCGAGCGGCCTCCTAGAGTCCAGCCATTCTTCCTTCTCTGGCCTGCCCATTGTGTCCTGGGGCTGCATGTGGATCGACAGCTGCTGCTGTTCACCCCAGAGGTGTCTGCCTCGCAGGGGTTGGAGAGAGGCGCCTTCTAGTTAGCGTGTGTATTAGTTTGTTGCTGTTGTAAAGCCCTGTGGGATCCCACATGGTGAATGCTCTTGTGCTTTGTAAATATGAGTTATTGCAAGCATTTGATGCTTTTGAGGGATGAGCGAGGGATAATTTTAGAACAGCAGCTCTGGTGGGCTGGCCTCCATCTGGGGAAGCTGGACCGCCCCTTCTACAGAGCTGGCACAGAAGGTCCAGCTCATTAATTCCAAGGATGGGGAGGCCAGGTCTCCACTGGAGTTAACCCTCTGAGGACCACAGCCCAGACACAGGGATGAAACAGTTAGTTCATGGGGGTGTCAGCTTAAGGGGGACAGCCACCCCAGGCTGGTAAGGGCAGTGTGGTCCTCTCCCAAGGCGGGGGACAGTGTGCAGAGTCCTGGAGCTGAAATTAGCCGCCAGGGCTCAATGGGTATGAAGAGCTCGTGGACCTCCTTTGAAAGAGCGCTCCTTCAGGGGCGTGTGGGACACGCACAATTGCATCAAGTGCTCTGTGAGGAGGATGTGGCGGGAGAGTGACCTTCCTGAGCAGAGGAAGCCGCTGTTGAGATGTGCAAGGCAGCCGAAATAACTCAAAATCAAATGACTCTAATGTGTGAGGACGAGGACAAACTGTGATCAAGAGGAGGGATGCCCAGGGTTCCGAATCAAAGCAGAATCTAAAGAATTCGAGAAGCGAATCAGAAACCTCAGCAGCACAGAAAACACGGGAGGAAGCCGCCATAAGCAAGCAGTGTGTGTGTGTGGGGGGGGGGGCGCTAGGAGGCACACTGGGGACAACCCCAGGTCAGGCCACTGTCTCTACAGCTGTCCCCGAGTTACCCAGGCTCCAGGGATGAGGCGCCTGGGCCACCCACATGGTCTGGTGTTGGATTTGAAGTTTGTGGGTGTCATTAACTGGTCCAGGAAGGAACTGGGTCCCCGCATAGAGTATTTAAGGGGTATCGCCATCTCCATTTCCTACTCAGAGATCTTTGGAAGCCACCAAAACAGGAAGCAGACAGCTAAAAGGGATTGTTGATGGGTTATTGTCTGACGCCTCCATCTCTTGAAGACCTTCCAGTCCTCACAGTTAAACTAGGTACATCTAAGCATTTGGTGATGGCTGGCTGTGAGGCAGCAGCTGGGCAGATTCTCATGCCAGGCTTGGGCCTGTGTTCCTTGGCCCTTGTGTATTTGGCTCGGTTGTTGGAGTTGGAGGTCATGGTGAAGGTCACACAAAGATGTTGATATCTATGCTGCTTGGCCCAGGCACTCCACGGTCCCTTCCAGTGCTGGGCACAGAAGGAATGTGGGTAGAGAGCTGAGCTTTTCATCTGCCTCTGTTCAGTTCTCCAAGACTCCGCAGAACAGAGACCCAGCCCCGACTTCCCCTCCCAGGCAGCAGAAGGAAGGTTCATCCGGGGCCCTTGACTTGCTATAGCCCTCAGAATGTGCGAGCGGCCATCACAGTCTGGGGCTGGATCTGTTGACTCTGTGATTCTCCTGCCCTCCTGCTCCTCTTAGACTGAATAAAGAACAGCTTCTGCCGGGGCCCCCGAAGACGCCTCTCATGGAGGGACTGCCTCATCTTGGAAATAAATAGTTAGCTGCACAAAGGCACAGAAGCCTGTGGTGCCTCCATCAGTGGTGTGCAGAAGACCTGAGAGGGTGTGGTCACAGACCCCCAGAGGGGCTTGGAGCAACTTGAAAGGGGGAGGGGATAAAAGCAAAGGAGAAAGCATGGGGGTCAGGTGCCCTGCCAGGTAATCCGTTTAGTTTAGGTGAAGGCTCTGGAATGCATGTGGGCTGCAGCATTTCTCCTGGTGATGGATGGGGTTAGGCACGACAGCTAGACTGAATCCCCAACCTCGGGGAGTCAGAGGGCTGAGCAAGCCCATGGATGACAAGACCCAGGGAGGAGAGACCCAGGCATGAAGGAGCAACTGGCTTCTGGAGCTCCAGGTTCTGGGGTCAGGAGTCTGAAAAGCTGAGACCCAGAGAGGGGTTGCAGACACAGGAAGATGGTGCAGCCCCCCCCCCCGAGAATAGCAGGGTGCAGCAAGCCAGCTAGACTCGCAGACCACAACTCCGAAGAGCCAGTTCTTTATGGCCAGTCCCTAGAGCCGGTTCTTTATGGCCAGTCCCAGGAATGCTAGAGCCGGTTCTTTATGGCCAGGAATGCTAGAGTGGGGGAGTCCCCAGACACCACAAAGGGCCTGGTCCCTGCTGAGGCCAAATAGCCTGCAGGCAGTGGTTACTCCTTACTCACCAGCCTTTCCTTTTCCTCAACCAGAAAGTCTACAGAAAGGCCTGGGAGCAGAGCCGGGCTGGTGGCTACGACTTCAGGCTGGATGCCATCCCATTCCAGACTGCCAAGGTGTCCAGGGACATCGCCAGTGACGTAAGACTCCAAACTCTGTGGCTCACACAGTTCTTACCGGCTACCCAAGCAAAGGCACAGGACAGCCTCCTGGGCCACCAGACTGCCTTTCTCCACACTCAAACAGAGTCGTGTTTTAAAGGAAAGAGAACACAGGCCTGTGTGTTGGGGTTGTAGTCATGAAATTTGAAAGGATTTTTTGTTTTCTTTTGTTTGAATTTTCCCCAGCAATTCTTTTTAGGAGAGGTACTCAACAGTTGATGGCTAGAATACTAGAAACCAAGGAACCTGTGGTTCTGTGGTTGGCTGCTTAATTTGTAGTAAAGGACCATTTCTGAAATGGCTTCTGTGTGAATGTGAGGACTTATTCAGACTTGCAGATGCCATGGAAAGCCAGATGTGGTAGCATGCATCTGTAATCCCAGATGTAGAGGCATGCCCCTGTGACCTCAGGTGTGATGGCATGCACCTCAGATGTGGCAGTGTGTAACCACAGCTCTCCTATGGTAAGATGGGAAACAGAATTAGGGAAATCCCCTAGAGGCTCAACAGGCAGCTAGCCTGGCCTATACCATGGCTAACATTAAACTCCACCTTAAACAATGTAGCAGGCCAAGACAGACAGACACTCAATGCCACCTTCTGTCCTCCGTAAGTTTACTGTGGCACACATGTTTTCCTACTCACACACAAGAATTCATACATTTTCTTACACACACACACACACACACACACAAACACACCATAGAAACAAGAACAAATGTAGCTATGTAAAATGAACCAGATGCTTCACTTTAAGTAATTTGAGAAGCATTAGACTAGGTGCCTGCATGCTGGGGGAGGGGAGGAGGAATGGACTCTTGCATTCCAGTTGGAGTTGTCACTTGCAGCAGCCATACAAATGGACATCGCCCGTGGGAGCCTGCTGCATTCCAGTCCTATGCCATTGACTTCTCTCAGTATCTCTCGGGGTAGAGATTTAGTCTCCTGCTTTATCAGAGGCTCAGAGGCTCAATAGCTGCCCCCAGGCCACGCCCCTGGCTTTACTTGACTCTGAAGTATATGCCCTTACCCACTCCTGAGCTTCCTGGGGAAGTCCGGGGCTGGTCCCTCTGGGGAAGCTGGCTCTGACAGAGAGGGGCAACCCCACTCCTCCCTGCTTCTCTGACTTGCAGTTCCGGTACAAGGAGGCGTTCCTGAGGGACCGGGGCCTGCAGATTGGGTACCGCAGCGTCAGTGATGACCCAAGGATGAGGCATTTCCTCCGTGTCGGCAGGCTCCAGAGCGACAATGAGTACAAGAAGGACTTTGCCAAAGGTTGCTCCCAGTTCCACAGCCGCACTGACCAACCTGGTTTCCTCCAGGCCAAGAGGAGCCAGCAACTGGCCAGTGATGTACACTACAGGCAGCCACTGCCCCAGCACACCAGCGACCCAGAACAGCTGGGCCTGAAGCATGCCCGGAAGGCCCATCAACTGCAGAGTGACGTGAGCCGCCTCCACATACTCCGTTACCTTCTGGGAGAGCCAGCTGAAAGGGCACAATGCAGCTATTGCCACTTCTGCCTGTAGCGAATGCTCTCTAAGGATCAGCTACTAAGCCCTCCAGTCCTGGGACTGCCTTATCTAACATAAGGGACCCAAGATATAGGGGAGTTAAACTACCTAAGATCACACGGGAAATAAGTAGCAGGTGTGGGGTATCAGACATGAAAGCTCAACTTCTTTTCCTCCTTTCTTTCTCCTTCCTTCCTCCTTCCTTCCTTCCTCCTTTCTCTCTCTTCCTTCTTTGTTTCTCTCTTTCCTTCCTTCCTTCCTTCCTCTTTCCTTCCTCCTTCCTTCCTCTTTTCTCTCTCCTCCCTTCCTTCCTCCTCCCTCCCTCCCCCCTCTCCCTCCTCTTCCCTTTCCCTCTAGCTAAGGATTGAGCCCAGGGCCTTATGCATACTAACCCCTGGCGCTTAGCAGAAGTGCAGTCTGAGAGCCCAAGCCCTTGGTGTCTTTGCCTTATTATTTCCACGGCGTCTAAAGACTTATGCCAGTTTTGTTCTTTGCCCAAACTCAGAGAGGGGAGGTGAGTCTTCTGAGGGCGCAGGGTTCATTAAGACAGGAGCTCAGACTGGAGCCAGGTGTCCCCAGTCCACTTTGCCCCACCGCATGGGAAGACTCCAGGAGTGGCTGCCTGGAGGCCAGCTCATTATACCCCAGGCTCATTGTGCATCACGTGACTGCTTGTCTTATTAAGGATGCCCATGTGGTCCATACCTCCTTGCTGCAGTTTGAACCCCACTCGCTCAGCGGTCAAAGCCCCCAGTCCCCACTATACTGACTAGACTAACCCTCTTGCTTCTTTCCTCCCTCAAGGTCAAGTACAAATCTGACTTGAACCTGACTCGAGGTGTTGGCTGGACCCCTCCCGGCTCCTACAGAGTGGAAATGGCTCGGCGTGCTGCAGAACTGGCCAACAGGAGGGGCCTAGGTCTCCAGGGTGCTTGTGTGAGTAACAAGCTGCAAACTGCACCCTGCCTTGCAAGACCACGGGAAATACAAACTCATTGTTGCTTTTCAAAGTTTGTTTTTGGGCAAAGGTCAGCCAGTTCTAAAGAAGTGTGAAAGGCAGCTGAACAAGGCGCCTAATTTCATGGGTCTGAGATGACCGGGCGGGTGACACAGGGGTTAAACTTCCCGCAGGCTTCCTCTGAAGTCACAGCCATTAGTTCTGCAGAGGCAAACCTACCAGGACGACATCAATCCCGGGCCGGGGCAGCCCAGGCTGTGCTGAGTGCTTGCTCGTTATATGCAGGGAAAGGGTCAGGGACTTGCTGGCTCCAGCAGTCTGCTTTTTGAACCCTACTTTGTTCAGAAAAGAGACATCACATCTAAATGAGACACGGGCTTTGCTCCTTCTCATCTTTGCCTTGAGGGTCCTTTTCCTTGGGCAGGGTGGAGGAGAGGACAAAGAAAGGGAGGTGAATGTGTTGGATGTTTGGCCGGCATCTTAGCAGGGCTGTGGGAGCTTCATGTGCACTCAGGCGGGGCTATGTGTGATTTCTGCAGGCAGGGCAGGAGGGAGTGGGGCATGGAGATCATCAGAGCCGGGAGGTGAACCCAGATGCCGCGGAGATTCTGCACATTAAGAGGAAGAAGACGCTGCTGATGTGAGCAGTAGCCTCCAGCTGCATCCCCGAGAGACAGAAGTACCACGGAGGGTTGCAGGCCAGAGGCAGCCTCCCACGGCTTCAGTCTGCACGAGTTGTTAAAAAACGGAATGCCCTCCCCATCCCCACATCGGCCTTTATTAAAACAACAGCTCTGAAAGCAAACACTGGAGCTCGTGTTTCAGGGCCTCTCTCTGGCGGCTGGGTGAGGTCGGCTAGTTCTGCACAGGACCCTGGCTTTTGGTGTGGGCTGAGGAGTAAGAGTCAAGGTGACATCCCTGGAGCTGGCGCTGGGCATGCGGGAACCTCACATTTGCAGTTGTCCGGGGTGAAGACAGTCTCTGTGAATTCTGCTTTTCTAGAAGGTGCACTTGTCAGAAGGGGAGCTGAAGTTGTCGTATTTCTCATTGGCTCCCAAGGGGAGGCAGGCAGAGTGGGCCTCAAGAAATGGTGCCGGGAAAGGCCCAGGCTGGGGGCACCGTCTCTGTCCGGAGCATGGTCCTTCCGCTACATGGTCTTCTGGGATGGAAGGGGCATCCCTGGCTGCCCAGGAAGCCCCTCTTGTCTTGTGCTAAAGAAGAGGGAGGGACACCCAGGCTCTGGAGGCAGCGCCTCAGAAGCCGGCTTCCCTGTGCATGGTGGTTTTGATCCAGTTCAGGAACTTGGTGACTTGAGTGTAGACTCCTGGCTTCTTACCGCATTCCTGACCCCAGCTCACAATCCCGTAGACGAAGTAAGTGCCATCCTTTTCACAGGTCAGAGGGCCTCCAGAGTCACCCTGAGAGAAGAGTCATAGGGTATCAGCCTTGTCGACTAGATTCAGAGATGTCCCAAACTGCCTACAAGGGGGTGATGGAGTCACCTGCTAGCTACCCTGAGCTTCTCCGGAAATCAGGGCCAAAGCTCTTTCTGAGCTTCCTATGATGCAAAGCTCCAAAGGGAGAGAGGAGCTAACACCAGCTTCAGTGTCTGTTTGGAGAAAGCTTGAAGCCCTGGGCCGCAGCCACGGTGCCGTGGGCAAGTGATGATTCCCGGCTTTGAGTGCTAAGGGCTGCATTGCCAGTTCCTAGGGGCCCTCGATGTCAAGTAGCTGACCACGGTAGGCAGGGACCCAGAGGCAGCCTGTGTGTTCAGTCTGGGGCCTGGCTTTTAGCGGAGAGCTGTGGGTAACCACACGGGAGCCCTTCTCCCAGTCTTTATGCAGTGCGTAGACCAGGCGAGAGACAAGCAGGAGGGAGGCGGTGAGGAAAACAGCCGGCTTAGCCGCCACACCTAACATCTTTTGTCACGTGACCTTGTCCTCCTAACCTAATCATCGCCTCTGCCTTGTGATCTTATGGTCACATTGACACCCAGGCCCTATGATACAAGGCAGAAGCAGGCTTCAAAACCATGGCTACCTATCAGCTTTGAAGTCCATTCAGGATAGCCCTGGAATTATCTAGAGAACCGAGTAGCCTGTGGTTGGTCCCACTCATCTTCCAAAAGCTTAAGAGAAACCACATCCACTTGTCTTTCCTGTCCTGAGTTTGTGGCTTTCCATGCATAGCAGAGCCACAGACTCTAGAGAGAGAAACTCCAGTTTCCCAACCCAAATGGGCTGTGGTTGGCTTGAGTCCCTTTGTAGGTAGGTTTTTATCATGATATAGGATGAGGATGTAGCCATGCTGGATTTCTGAGGACAGTTGGGCAGAGGGTAAGGACAAAGAAACAGCCTAAGAGGAGCTGATCTTGGGAGCCTCGGAAGGATGTATCCCCCATGGCAGGAGCCCTGGACTGAACAGAGTATGGGCTGTGCTTTGGGGCAGGGACTTGAGGTCCCCTTGGCATAGGGTTAGGGGAATCACCACCCTTCTTTGTCCAGGAGCACCACCGAATCTCCGCAGATGTCAGCATCTGGGAGTATGCCAATATCACAGTGGAGCAAAGTAGCAAAGGTTTTGGTGTCCACACACCTGGATTGTTCCAATCCCAGTCCTACCACTTAGTACACTGCTGTTATTGGTCTTGATAATGTCTCCAAAGCCCTGCAATATATTGATGGTGACATCTCCTTCAGAGGATGCTGTGAGAGTTAAATCAGGTAATGCAGCAACATGGCACTGTGGTTATTATGCCAACTCACCCCAGCTTGATGGAGGCTTAGACAGGTCTGCCCACCTGTGTCTAAACCATGAAGAAGGTAGTTTGTAGACCCTGGTTCCCACCCCAGAGCTATAACAGGCCCCTCTTCTCAGCTCTGTATTCCGTAAGCCTCTATCTCCAAGGACTACTTGGAGTTTCTGACCTGGCAGGTGTCTGATCCAGGCTTCTGCAGGTTTCCTGCACAGATCATACTGTCATCAATTGTGTGGTCATAGAGTCGGCGGGAGTTGCACAAAGGGTTAGAGATCAGCTTGACCTTAGCATCCAGGAGCTGGCGGGACCCTTCCCCTGTGGTAAAAAAGCAGTCAGTGCCGTGAAGACTGGAGTGATACCTACTCTACTAGAAGTCACCGTTAGTAAAAGGGAAGCCACTGGCTCTCAGTTGAGGGAGAAAGGTATTTTAATAGAGGATGGGAAGGAATGTGCCACCTTCCAATGCATTGCCACTTTCCCACATCCTCGTCACCCCATGCTTGCACAGACTTTGAAAGCTATTATGATCACATGTGAACAAATCAATCGCTCCATTCTCCACCTTCTGAGCTAGATCCTGGATCCTGGAAAGTAGGGATGGTTTGTTTCCTACATTTAGCAGAAGGGCTAAGACATAGTAGGTTCTGAAGGATTGGGTGGAGAAATGCAAGGTTGGTCTCATGGATGCATGGATGCATGGGAGCAGACGGACAGACAGACAGATGGATTCATAGATGGATGGTTGATGCACCCTGATATATTAGATTGTCTGCTTCCCTGAGAAGATACCCCTTTCTCAAAGATAATGAAATTTCTCAAAGCGTCTTTGACTTTGAACATAGTCTTAAGGACTATTTGCGGAAAATAAAGACGTTTTAACCTAAGGCCCTATAGGATTCCCAACTAAGACACCGCCTGCTGAGCGGACCCTTTAAGGACAGCAGAAGTGGAAAGATTACAACAAAGAGCTGCAGAAACTTTCCTTGTTGACCTTAAGTCCAATTAGGCAGAGATTTTCTTTCCCCTGAGCCTCTGGCAGATGCGTACATACATTCCATTCCCCTCTCTCCATGCATCTAAACCTATTCAAAGTGGTGTTTGCTGTCCGTTATTAAGTATATTATTAGTAGGGGCTGACATATTTTGAGTATTCGGCAAAGACTTAAAATACTCTTCTGAACTTATCTGTATTTAAGAAATACTTTTGGTGCACATAATCCAAGCCCTGGAGGAAAAAATGACAGATGACAAAGTAAAACTGAGCTGCCTGCGGGGGGAGGAAAAAACCAAGAATCTCCTGCAAGAATACCCCACACTGAGGAACCATCCAATGCAGTAGCTTAAAGCAGTGCTATCTCTATCCCCGAGCTCACACATGCTGTGCACCCAGCATCCTGCCAGGTACACATGTGCACACATCTGCTATGCACCCAGCATCTTTGTAATTTGCTTGGAGAAAGAGAGTTCTTCCCTGATGTACAATGAGTGCTTGGGAAAAGGTCACACATCTAGAGCAGGAGGCCGAAGGCCACTATGATGACCACAGGCTCACAGGGAATGTTCCATGTAAATGGTTTCATTCAAGTAGAGCCTGAACAATGAGGCAGATGCATTCTTTGCTGGTTCATCTTGAGTTTGATTCAAGAGCAAAGAAGGCAGATGGCATTGGTCCTTTATTCTCTGGATGGTGTAGCTCTCCTGTGTGTATGGAGGGCGCATCGCCAGACTCACCTGTTTCTGTTACACCCCAGCCGGAGATGTGGCACTCAGTCCCTGAGGGAAAGGAGTCACTGGGCAAACATATGGTCTTCACATACTTGGACTCCAGAGCGCAGTGACCATCCACTGGCTTTAACTTGAGCAAAGCTGGATGAGAGAGAGGGGTGGGGTATTGGCCTCACCTTGCTTTGGAAGACAAGTTAGCAAGCCACAGTACTTCTCCCATGACAGAGAAGCCTTTTCATCCACATTTGATGGTTTAAATGTCCAGAGAGGGTTAGCCGAGGTTAGCCAAACACAGAAAGAATATCAACAGTTAGCAAAACTAATTAGACTCTCAATCATTCTTCAAAATCAGGCTGAATGGGAAGGGAGAGTGTGAAGGAGAGAAGAGGACCCCATATTGTGCAGGGGGTAGGACACAGCGCTGAGCATCCAACAGCCTGAAACAGCACCACCTGTGTACCCGAGCACCTATTAGGTGTCATATGCGTGCGCGTATACATTGTCTCACAACACACAGTCATCTGAAAGCTGTGTGACAGTGCCCTAAGTTTATGGAACAGAAAACCAAGGTTCAGGAAGATGACCTGAGTCCCAGCTAATGAGAGAGCTGGAATTCAAGGCTGCGTGCTTTTCATGATACAACATTCTCCACACCTCTTCCCTTCCATTGAAAAGCTTTACCCAGCAATCAACAATGCTATCATACACTCCCTAGACATAAAAAGCTTTGAAATAAGTGATACACCTTGCAGGATCCCTAAGGGATAAAAAAACTATCAAGGGGGTCTTCTGTAATCAAACCCCAGATTTCTATCATTGGAGAAATCCACCCGGGACGAGGCCCGCAGGAGACTGGGGGATACTTGCCAATGTCGTTGTGAGGAATCTCGTCTTTTTCAATGTACCGACTGTACTTCAGTATCTTTTCCACCCTGAAGGTCTGCTCATGCGATTCTGCCTTCTTCAAGTCCTGGTCCCCTAGCACGACCTTTAGATGTCGGGTGCTGATGCTACAAAATAAGATAAGATGGTCGAGAAATCGCCCTGAGATGTCAGAGGCAGAGCTCTGCCCCTAGGAGACCATGTGACCTTGGTGAAACCCTGATCTTCAGCTTCAACATCCTTATCTGCCGTCCTTGGCTCCCTTGCAAGACTCTGCTTGGGTTCCAAATAAGACAATGCAAGGGAACTTCTCCATCAGTGGATGGAGAGTCCAGACACACACTTGTGGAATATTCCTTTATGTTGTATGAATATGTGTCACTGTGATTGGTTTAATAAAAAAGCTAAATGGCCAGTAGCTAGGTAGGATTTGGGGGGCAGAGAGAATGCTGGGAAGAGGAAGGGTGGAGTCTGAGGAGTCATGAGCCAGCCACACACAGAAGAGGCAACATGGGGGAGTACACAGATGAGGTAAACGAGCCTCGGGAAGCACATAGATTAATAGAAATGGGTTGATTTAAGTTAGGGCTAGCTAAGAACAAGCCGAAGCTATTGGCTGGGCTTTCGTGATTAGTAAGAAGTTTCCATGTGGTTATCTGGGAGCAGCTATCAGGACACAGAGAAACTTCACCTGCACACACTCATTTTATCTTACTGCTCTGTCTCTGGGCTTGGCTAAAAGTCAGCCTTGAAGTCTTGAACAAATCTGCAGCAATTCATGGGTAGATGCTAATGTGTGTGACTTCTCTTAGGGGACCACACCAGATTCCCAGAGGATGAGGTAGACTAGAAGACAAGCAAGCTGCCTCTCAAGCCAGGGCTCACGGGACCATCCCTGACCATGGACTTAGGGAATGTGGAACAGGTGATAATTTCTCGGCTCCCAGAGTGTAGGTGAGGATGCCTGACCTAGAGGTTCACTGGCAATGGGCTGTTTTGCCCTATTCGGCGTAGACTAAAGAAGCAGAAAGACCCAAGGCCATTCCCACTCGCTGGCCTTCTTTCCCCGACACTTTAGACGTCAAACTTTCCTAAGACCCCTGTTCCCTTTATAAAAAGGGAGGGACAATATGTCTTTCCTTCCACTAACACTTACTAAATGCTATGTGGAAAGGCCGCTGTGCTAAAGGCATCACGGACATCACAATTAACCACTCTTGGTATGGTAGCTGACTACGTGGAACAGCTGTTGTAACCCATGGCTGCTATGTCCCCACTCATTTCAAGATTCCCTTCTTTCCCCTCTGGTGCGTCTAGTCCCAGTCCTGTGAAAACTTCCAAGATACCACTTAATGGGAAGAGAGCCTGTGTGCACCCCAGTCACGCTGCCCCCCTTCTTGTGGGCACCTACTCAGTACAGTGGGCTGCGGTGAGTACCCAGCAGGGGTGAATCAGGGCGCCCCCACAGAAGTGGCCTTGGGGCATGGAGGTGGTCAGCGGCAGTGAGGTCTGCAAGGACACCTGCCATGGGTGCTTGCCTGCAGTGCTCTTAAAGCCCCCATAGATACGCTTGACCGCGTGCTCGGCTATCTCTGTCTTCCCACAGGAGTCGAACCCTGGCAGCTCTATCCCGGGCTCCAGAAGGCTTCCCTCTGGGTCAGGAGTATCTGCGGGGCACATGAAGATGAGTTACATGAGCCAGCCCCCCCTGTTCCTGCAGAGGTCACAGCTAGAGTCGTGACTCTGGCCACATTCTAACCAGGCATCCAGAGCCAAGACACCAAACACCTTCAGGGTTCTGTTTGGTGAGGGACCGAGGTTTGTTGGACAACTTAAGTTAATATGAAGCAAGTTCTTAGAATTCACGATAAAGATGTTGCTGTTTTTTTTTTTTTTTCATATTTTGGAGCGCTTGCTCCTAGGATCTACAAACGCACATGTAAAATATACAAATCCATCATGTAGCAAGCCTAGTTATGGCATCATTATGTCTTGGGGCTGTTTTAGTAGAATAGGGGAATAAGCGGCTACTCGGAAAGCTGTGGCAATGGTTTGTGAGGCTGTGACCTTGTTCCGTCCCTGGAGGTTGTTCAGAGAGAGAAATGACACCAGATTCAAGAGATCAAGAGGGGTTGTCAGAGGAAGGGCTGCTTGGGGTCAGGTCCCAAAGACTGCCCAGAAACAGACAAAAGCAGACATGACAGATCACAGACAGATGCCTCAGAACAATGAGAAAGGCATTGGTCAGATCGATGGGGCGTGCCATTTCAGATGTGGGCGCAAAGGTGAGTCGGGGAGAATGAGAAGCTGGGCTTCAGACCGTCGTTCATCCTGAGAGGCCACGAGGACCCAACAGCGATGGCCACTGCACACATCTGACACACAGCGAATGACCACCAGCAGGTGACGCTGAGGATGCCGACTGGGGGTGGGAGGGGAAGTTCTAGAGACGACGGAAGGGTCCCTCGGGCTACAGAGGAGTAGGAGTGATGTGGACGTCACTGTGGGATGGGAGTGGTCAGGTTCCGGGAATGTCACTTCATCATCTCAGGGCCCTCTGGATAGCCGTGGACAGACTTACCTGGGGCCGCACAGACTGTGACATCACAGTATTCCCATTTCACCTTCTCACTGTTAACCTTAACGAAACACCAGGGCTTGTGGTCTCCATCTGGGTTTCTAAAGCAAAGAAATCAAAGTGACTGACTGTCAAAGCTTGGAGGCCTAAACACTGTGAAAACACCCTAATCAGGGGACGCCCAGTCCCCGCAGTCTGGCTAACAGTCTTCATTTGAGTCCTCTGATAGGTTAGCAAACTTTGGCATGCGAGCGTGGTCACAGAAGTTTGGCAAAGTCTAAACTTCCAGACGAGTATCCCGAGGACCAGGAAGTAGTTTCCAACCTTTATCCTGGACCAAGGGACATGGGGACCCTTTCATGGGAGAAATGAGAATCCCATTGAAGAGCTCTTCTCCACATGCTTAGAAATGGACTACAGACCGAGAGACAAGATGAGACCTGGAATCCTGCCTGGCCCCAAGCTCTGAACTCCAGGCACGAGAAGCCTTTGTGAAGTTGTCATGGGGTTTCCCCATGAAGACTGGACCACAAGAAACCATCTCACAGTGAGCATGAGGAGAACAGGAACCATTCAAAACCAAGCAAAACATCCCCACTCTCTATATGCAGCTCACTTTAAGTCATTGGCCTTGGTTAGACAAAAGGTTAGAACAAGGAAATGGGCAAAGTGGCCGGAGACAGAGGACCAGGAAAGTCTAGTCATCTCCAGGAAAGGTCATTACACTCTCCTTACTAGAGAGCACAACCATTCTGGGCAGGATTATAATGCTCACCAGACACCCTGTTTGGTCCTCAGCCTCCTCAGACACATGCAGCATTAGTAAGAAATGATCTTCCATGCATGCAAGCCCCTGAGACTAGGGGAGTTCTTGCTGTTATAGTAGTGCAGCCATGCCTATCCTGGGAAGGATAATCTCCTGCTCAGAAAGGCTGCAGGCTCGAAATCTTTTCCTACAGGAGACAGTGATTGTACCTGCAGAAGTTGTGTTCTGCGATCCCGTGGGCCCCAGCGTCCTCCATGAACATGTTGTAATTCTCCTGCAAGAGGAGGTGTGAGTTCCAGTAAAGGCATGGGTTCTGGTTGACTGTCCTGCTCACTTTGCCTCGGTAAGAGTAGCCGTCACCGACATAACAGTCGTCCGGACCTTGGAGAGAACAGGCCGTCTGTGAGCACTGTCAGTCATGGACACGTTTCCCCAATAAGCGTTGGTGGGAATACCAAATGGGTCACGAGACTGGGCCTGACTATGTATTGTCTTTGGGTTTCATCACAAAGCTCCAAAGTGTCCCACATTCAACCTGAATTAAAAACATGAAATACCCCAGTTGAGGAGGTGGGTGATTACAAAATGACTAGGGGAGGTGGAAAGGGGCCCCGATGAGGTCCTGACAAAGAGGTGATGGTCTGGGGTGTGGTGCGTGCAAATCAACCCTCCACCCGGACCTCCAAGCTCTGTCCCGAGGTTGGAAGAGTGAGGAGTTGCAGAGCTTGGGAAAAAGAACCCTATGCTTACGAGACACTTGAACAGAAAAGGCCTCTAGGTCTCGCTTGTCTTTGATGACATGGTTGTGAAGATCCCTACCTATTTCACAAAATTTCCCCCTGTAGTGGTCCGGACAGGCACAGCTAACCCTGGACCTCCGCCTGTGTCGGGAGCAGATCCCCCCGTGCTGGCAGGGATTTGGTCTGCAGGCAGGAAGCACTGTGAAGACAGGAAATGGAGCCCCGAGGGCAGGTTAGGAGGAGACGTAGCAGCCATGATGGTGGCACACTTCTGGGGTCACCCTCTTCCAAAGGATGGTACGCCAAAGGCACAGACAGATCATTGACACACTAGCAAATGTCACAGAAACCCAAAGGACATAGAACAGTGTGGGTAAGCCATATGGATGGGGGCCAAGCAAGGGAGAAAAACAAACAAAAAAAAACCAACCCCTGTCCCCACAAATAAGCTGTGTATATGGGTTACCAAGTAAGGAACAGCAGCCAGAGGCATAGGCAGATCTGGAAGTTTTCAAATAGTCTGAGCTGGGCAGAAACTTGTATGTGCCGGTGAGAGCTGCTTGACTATGGACGAGTTAATGTCTCAGAATTGCAGGTTCTTAACCTATGAATTTCCTCCTTGCATAGAGGAGTGAATCTCTTGGGATGGTGTCCTTCTCACAGCTGAGACTCAGTGTGTGACTCCCTCACACAACCCATCTCAGGAACAGATCAGTGCTCAGTGTGTGTGTGTGCATGCATGCATGCGTGTGTGTGTGTGTGTGTGTGTGTGTGTGTGTGTGTGAAGGCGGTGGTGGTGGTGTGTGTGTGTGTGTGTTTAGGAATGCAGATACTAGTGAATTCTCCTTTAGTTCTCCAAGGAAGGTTACCTTTTTTTTTTTTAAATCATAATTAAGAGTGCCACAAAAACTTCTGACCCACTTCCATACAGTAAGATGCAGACGCCGTGGGCACCGGTTACGGCAGAGAAAACATTTCGTGTAGAAGACCCCTGTCACCCACCTTTGGAGCAGTTTGGCCCCGTGTAGGGGTATTTGCAGGCACAGCGGTAGTAAGGAGGCTTCTGGGTAATGAGGCATTCGCCCTGGAGACACGGGTTGTCCTTGCACTTGTTTTGGGCTGTATGAGATTTGCAGAAGTAGAGAATGAGGGTCGGCACTATTTGGTGCACATTTGACTTAGAGGGGCACATGTTTACCTCAGTTTTAGTGGTGGGAGCAGCTGACTGTGTCTGTAGCTTTGTCCACAGTTCTGAAATGCCAGGCTGTTCCAGGGTAAGGTTTCTCCCTTAACCTAAACAAGGCTTCTTGCTGTACCTTTATTTACAGTGATGCACAGCTCTACAAGAGTTCTAAATGCAGACACCAGGAGGGTAGCGGATGGAAAAGCTCAGAGCAGGAGTCAGGGCACTGCTCACACCCTAACTTGTGTGGTCAGGGACATGACTGCACCTTCTGTCCACCCCTCTCACACTGGCCCTGAGCCCTGAGCCCTTCCTGCCATCTGATTTCTGGATCGTATTTCTCTGTTGTGGTTAGTCTAGAAGCAAATTTCCCAGTGTGGGCCGTCTTTGGGTTAGATGCTGTGTCTCCCGTCTCTTTCTCTGCAGAATGGACCCACGAGTCCACGCCGAAGCATGGCGGCAGAGTGGACAGAGATGGAGGCCTGACATTACCATGCATGGTCACAGATGCAATTGTAACCTTTGCTCCAGCCTCATCCAGTGCCTCCCCACCACCCTAGACAGGGGCCAGGGGGCTTCATGCTTCACCTGTAGGGAACAGAAAGGAATGGACTCACCATTCTGACACCGACTTCCCGAGAAGGGGGCTGGGCAGTTACAACGGAAGGTGTCCCCTCTGATGAGACAGTCCCCACCATGCTCGCAGGGGTTGGACTGGCATGGATCTAAGACACAAAGGCAGAAGTCAAGGTCAGAGAGACGGGAATCGGCAGAGAGGCCTCACTTCTCCCCTAATGTTGGCCTCCTGCCCCAAACGAAAAGTTAACAATAGAACTGTTGCCTGGACAAAGGGGAAAACATGTATCATCCTTCAAGATCAAGGGCAACTTCAGTCACATGCCCGGGAAGAGGGATGCAGGGGAGCCCGAGGGGAGGCAGGCAGACACAATTGTCACTGTGTCCCTCAGCCCCGCTTTGGACCAGGCTCTCTCATTGAGAAAGTTCCCTTCCTCTCCTGAATGTGCTTCTCCCCCCACCTTGCTGGGAGTACACTGGGGTCTGTCTCTCTGATGCTGAAGGCATTTCACAAGCCCGAGGACCTCCCCTACTTACAGTGCCCAGGGGTGGAGGTCAGGCAGGAGTGTGCAAAGCTAACCCACCCCTCACGGAACACAGGCTTTCTGAACATCAGGAGAGCAAAGGCAAGAGGGTGACAGAGAATTGACGGCACAGAGGAAGTGACCCAGTGGCCTTCATCTTTCTTCAACTCCTTGTTCAGTGAGATTTTGTCACATTTCATCTGTGCCGTTGGCTTTTTCATGGCTGTCTGAATGGATCTTCCCTTGGGGAATTCTTTGTCCTTTGCTCACACGCATTGTCCTCTGGTTCAGGAAGTAGGATCCTGGGGCCCGGCTCCTGTTTTGATGGTCTCTCTGATGCTCTCCTGGTACCCTGTATCTTGGCCCTGCCTTCCAGGCCACTTTGCAAGAGCGCAGCTTTTATGCCAGCTGCTAAGCGCTTTCCACGCCTTCTCTTGGCTCAGTCACATGGCTTTGCCTGGACCCAGCTTCTTATTTCCCTTTTTGCCCTATTGGTCAGTCTAAGAAGCCATATACCAAAACCAAGCATGTGAATACATGCACATGTACACAACCACACTCACACACACACACACACACACACACGCACGCACGCACGCACACACACACGCCCGCAAAACAGACACACCTATACTCATATGCATATACACACACAAAACTACATTCACACACACACATATACACACATACAACCACACTCATATACACATAAAGCCACACTCACATATATACAAATACACACATACAACCACACTTACACATACACATGCAACCACATTCACATATACACCCAGATACACATACAACCGCATTCACATATATACACACAACCACAATCACATATATTAGATATATATTCAGATATGCACACAATCATACACACAACCACACTCACATATGCATACACTATATACAGTCATTTTCACTCACACATACATATAAACATACAAATTCATATACACAATCATTGATACACACACTCTAAAAGCTGTGAAAACATTCTGAATAAAAAGCTGGGCATGGTAGCAACTACTTACAATCCCAGCACCCAGGAGGCAGAAACGAGCAGAACCCTGGGGCTCACTGGTCTCTGACATAGCGGGACCCCACTGGTCAGCCCGCAAAGTTCAATCAGGGTAAGCTCAGGCCAGTGAGAGGCCCTGACTCCGAAATCAAGGCAGATGGCTCCTGAGAAAGAACACCAGGGGTGGCCACTGGCCTTTATATGTACACATGCACAAGCACATTTACACATACACACCCCAACATACACAAAACTTACATATACACACACACACAGAGAGAGAGAGAGGAGAGACAGAGAGAGAGAGGAGACACACAGAGAGAGGGAGGAGAGACAGAGAGAGAGAGGAGAGACAGAGAGAGAGAGAGGAGACAGAGAGAGAGATTATAAGTAGCAAAAGGAGAAAGGAAGAGAAAGGAAAAGGGCTAAGATGGAGAAGCAGGGGAACTCTCAAATCCACACTGTGGATGCTGCAGTCTAAGTGCTCAAAGAAACCCTAGGTTCTTCTGCACCGTTAGGACTTAGCTTAGGCCAGACACAGCGCTGGCCTTTGGACTTTGGACTTGACTTCTCCTCACAGTGCTGGGGGGAGCCAGATGATGGGCATTGCCTTACAGTGTGGCCTAGGTCAAGTCTGTTCCTCCCTTAGCCTCCCTTACTTCACTTATCACTCGAGGGTAGACGCTTCTTAGCACCTTCCCTGTCCTGAGTGTAGGATGCAGCAGGAGGAAACCCAGCCCATGAAGCTCTCCCATGCCTATTTTACCATGTGGGCAGAGAGGAGGGAGGGGGAAGCTCCTGCATATGGTCACATATAAATTCCTTCAGTCATGGTGGCTCCCTCCAATCGGCACCCACCATCGTCTGCATAGTACCAATCAGGGTTCTCAGGGGAGGTCGGCATGACCCTGGGGACTTCGTCTGGGCTGGAAAGCTCGTAGCTGTAATAGTCATCCGGCTTCCAATCTGCAGGGCAGGGAAGGACAGAAGACAGCCTAGTCATTAGGGCCTGAGGAAGTCAGTCTTTGGCTTAGGGGACACCCCAGAAAATGCAGTATCTTTAAGGAGGAATTACACATCCCCAGTGATGCAGGAAGACAGGAAGGTCAGGCTTGGGGGTGTTTAATTTGGGGGGTGTTAAGGTTCAGCAACTGGTCCAGTGCTGATATTTGGCATGTCAGTACCTGACTAGAAATAGAGAAGGAGATCAAATCCCAACTTCCCACCCACTGATTTCTCCATGCCTTGGGTTCTCAGCTCTGAACACAGCAGGAAGCATCCAATGGCCCTTCAGGCCTTCATAGTTCTGCATAGCCTCTGCCAGGGCTGGAGCACAGGACACTGCCATGGAGCCTCCCTAGCAGCTTTGTGGATAGTATTTCTCTCGAGGCTTCATTAGTCACCTCAGCTTAGTGAAGTCCAAGACCCTTGTCACTTCCCTCTTCCGCCAAACATCTCTCAGTGGCATCTACAGAGCATTTAACCGCTATTCTTTACTGAGCCTTTACAAGGCCGTGTGCTAACCACTTGCAGGTACACTTTCCTTGACCCTCATAAAAGTCCGAGAAGCTGTTCCAGGGATGTAGCTGCTCATTTGGTAGAGTGCTTGCTTGCCTTTGTATGCAGGGAACCCTAGACTTGATCCCAGCTCTGTATGAAATGGCTGTGGTGGTACACACCTGTAATCCCAAATGTCTTAGTTTCTTTCAATGTGCTATGGAAACACACACGCACGCACGCACGCACACACGCACGCATGCACGCACACACACGCGCACACACACACGCACGCACACATGCACGCACACACGCACACACGCACACACGCACGTGCGTGCGCGCACACACACGCCTCAATCCCAACAAAGTCATCTTAAGAAAGTGGGTTTTATTCTGGCTCATGGTTCAGGGTCTAGTCCCCATGTCGGGGAAATCACAACAGCAAGGCCCTGAAGCACTGGTCTCGCTGGATCAACGATCAGAGCACGGGGATGAATGAATGCTAGCGCTTGGCTCACTGTCTCTACTTTAGACCATCTAGGTCTAAAGCAAATGGTGTCACTGTCCTCAATGAACGCTATCAACACACTCCCTCATATGCATGCCTAGGCAGAAAACAATCCCTCACAGGTGGGCCCCGGGCTTTGTCTCCTAGATAAGTTCAGAAGTTGTCATGTTAACAATAAACAGCATCACAGCAGAATCTAGGAGGCAAAGGCAAAGGGTCAAAGATTCAAGCCATCATTGGCTGTAGAGAGAGTTGGAGGTCAGGCTGGGACACATGGGACCCTATCTCAAAAAAAAAAAAAAAAATTCTGGGAAGTATATGTTGGCTATGCTTTAAATTGTGGGAGCTGATACTCAGAGAGGATAAGCAACACACTCAAGGTCTCATAGCTAATTCACAGCTAGATTTAAACTAAAGTCTGTCTCTGTGAATCACCATGTCTTTCTAGTTCAATGATAGTGCTCCATTGATTTAATTAGCTCCTTCCATTGCTTTACACACACACACACACACACTCATACACACACTCACACACATACTCACACACACAAACACACACAGAGACACATTCACACACACTCACATACTTACACACACTCACAAACACACTCACATACTCACACACAGTCACACAATACACACTCACACACCCACATACACTAACACACAGTCACACAATACACACTCATATACTCACACACACTCACACATACACACAGTCACATACACACACCCACAAACACACACACAATCACACACACACACTTAAGCAAGTATCCCCACTGAATGTCCAGCCTGCTACTTAACAACCACCCAAGTACAGCCCTCAGACTGTTCTGGGACCTTGGTTACCAATGGAGACAGAATGTGGTGATGTCTACAAGTGGAAAGTTCAGTTAGACAGTCAAACAGGTGTGTGTATGTCTGAAGTCAAACCTTTGGCTGTGTGGAGCCTTGGAAAGAGCTGGAGGCTCTGTGAGTGGTGGAGAGAAGTTTGCAAGGGGAAGAAAGTTGAGTTCACTCTGCCCTTTGCTGCTGACGAGAGGATGGCAAGTTGGCAGCTGTGAGGAGACTCTCCAGAGAGACAGGATAATGAGGCAGGAACAAACGTGACACCTGGCCTGAAAGGCCACCCAACAGCGTCAGTGCTGGCGTGGAGGGCGCTCTCTACCCAAGCCTGCTTACCCCCAAGCCTGCTTACCAAGCGCACTGTCTCAAGATCTCCCCAACACTCTTATATATATAGTCTTTGCATCCATGGTTTCTGATAATTTGACTTTTGCACAATGGCCGTCTTATATTTCCCATTAAAATGGAATTATCTTTTTATTTCTTTTTTGAATACACCAAACTGGTTCCTTGGCAAAGTTTCACCTCATTTATCACAGTGTCAAGACAAGACTCTCTTTTCTTGCTCATTATTTGTCCCTGGCTGCTTTCCCCAGGATGAAAATGTTCCCAGAGGAGGCCACCTCTCCAGAGATGAGGATCTAGGCTAGAGATGAGGCCACAGTCTCCCTGGAGCAATGAAGTCTCCTTCCATAAATACGATAAAGCAGAGAAAGGGGGAGAGGAAGGAGGGGGAAATGTTTTTCCAAGTTGGCCATGGAAGATTTCCAACTGACATTTGAAGGAGACAGAGAGCTGATTGCAATGTTGATTTATCTCTGTTTTCACTGGAGGACTTACTTTGGCTTTTCCTATACATGTTTATAGATAAAGGTCTTTCGGGGTTCTAGTCTTTCCTAGACCCCTCTCAATAGTCCCATGGATTGAGGGCACATTGGCTAATCTTGAGTATTGTTGAGGATCCCCTCCCACACCCCTGTTTTGTGGTTAGGGAGAGGGCTCAGTTGGTAGAAGGCTCTCTGCTCAAGCTTGAGACCTGAGCTCAGATCTCAGAGGATCCGTATGGTCCTAGCGCTGGGGCAGGGGGTGGGGGCGGAAGATCCCTGGAGCACACAAGCCTGCTGCTCTTGCTGAAATGGTGAGGGTTAGGTCCAATGAGTCCCGATTTCAGGAACTAACATGCAGACACAAGTGAATAAATGCGTGTGTGCCTACATACAAGCACACACAATCACATGAAACACTCAGATCTGTACATGTACACTTTGCAACCATACACACATGGGCATGTACACACAAACATACCACCCACACATATAAAAATCAATGAACACAAACCTGTACACATTCCCTTACCAGTCTCTCTCTCTCTCTCTCTCTCTCTCTCTCTCTCTCTCACACACACACACACACACACACACACACACACCTTAAACAGAGGACATGCTTACACATGTGGAAGACTGTGACATTTTAGGGGACAGGCAAAAGGCCTGTCGTGGGATTTGGACTTGAGCCTAGTCCTATGTGCAAGGTGCGCTCATTTTTCAGTGAGCTGAAGAGCAATGGAAACATGCCAGCCCTGGATCAAATCCTTCAGAGCAAGGCAAGAAGTCCCTACAGGATGTGAGGGCCCCAGGTCCTAGGCTGAAATGGATTCAGTGATAGAAGGCTTGGCAGGTCGTGATCTCCAGGAAAGAAGAAACCATTCATGGGGGAGAGAGGCAGTGTGGGCCTGCTGCCGAGGCCTTTCCAGTTGGGCGGATTCCCATCCCTTGTGTCCTGTGTGCACTCCGTCCTACTGTGTGTGAACAGGGTGTAGCAAACCTGCAAAGGAGGAAGTGTTGTGCCAAGGAGCGGAAGGCACCGGTGCCAGCCATGGCATACTATGACACGAGTATGGCATGGTCATAGAGGAACCTCCAGTCGGAACGGCCTTGAGGAAGAGAGCAGAACGAGGAGACCGAAGCGCGGTGTAGAGGGAGAAGTCAGGTGTGCCTACATGGAGCCTTGGTGCCTTCACTTTCAGGGTTGGACACTTGGCTTGAACCAATCTGATGACAAGGATGCCCCCGATTCTCTACCCTACACGAATCTGTACTCTCTGAAATCAGGACTGGACTCCCAGTTCATCATGTCCCTCCCCTTGGTCTGGGGCGACCGGGACTTGCTTCAGCATCTATGGTTGAAACAGTGCACCTGTTCTAAGGCTGACCCCGAGAACCTTCATGGCTGCCTTCTTGCCTTCTCCTTCTCCTTCCTCCCCTCCCCTCCTCCATCCTTTCTCCTGCTCTTCCTGCCCACTTCCCTGGACCCTCCTGACTCCTTAGTCTGACCAATGTTGTCACATGAGTCAGCAGCATGACCAGAAGTGGCCTTAAACATGAGAAAGCCAGCCAATAGCAAAACAAGATGCCAGACCAACCTCCCACTGGCTGAACATGCAAGGAAATCCAGCTCAGATCAACTAACTAAACCTGGTATAGACCAGAACTTCCAGCAGAACCCAGACTCACTGCTAACCCAAGGAATCAACATCTAAATACATGGCCATCGACTGCCATCTCCAAGTTTGAGGTCCTATATTATGCAACAACAACGGACATACTTGATGGACACACTGGGTTGTTCATGGGATTGGGGGTTAGGACACAAGGGCATTCCTCTCTGTCTCATTGGCTGTGGATGTCCTTGCTGGAACCTCTTTGTTTCTCTTTGGGGCTTAACCCATCTATCTGGTTTATTTCCTTGAATCTTAACAACGGGGCCACTTCTGCCCTTTTTCTTCCCTACGCTGCTCAGCACAGAGCCCTATGTGTATGTAGCTGTCACATGCAACAGATTGATTTTCCTCATGACCACGCCTCCCTGCCTTCTGATTGGCCTACCTTAACACAGTATGAATGGGAACCTTCGCTAGAAAAAGGGTGAGATTTGCACCCTTTGAAAACCCCTGATGAGCTCTCTACACATCTATAAAGTTGTCTAACTGTTTTCTGGGTAGAAAGGGACAGTTGCCTGCCATGGAATCTGGGCCCCCTCTGGCAGGTTGGAGAAAACTGCCTCTGCTTTGGAGAGGGGAATGGTAAAGAGCCTTCCCAGAAAGGAAGGGAGCCTGAATGCAACCCCCAGAGTCCACATTTAAAAGAGCGTGCGCAGGGTTGGGGGCACAGTTCATAAACTTCTAACCCTAGTGCCCAAGAGACAGAGACAGTGTGACCCCTGGGTCAGCCAGGCTAGCCCACTATGGAGTTCCAGACCAGTAAGAGACCCATCTCAGAATCCTCAGAAAATGTGGGTCAGGTAGCCTGGTATTCCTCATTCATGGCTATCAAAATGAGACTGTACCTCAAGCAAAGTGAAAGGTGAGGTGACCCTCTGACCTCCAACATTGCAGCATGTATGCACATGTGTCCATCATACATGAGCATCTATCATCTACCTATCTATCTACCTATCTATCTACCTACCTATTATCTATCTATCTATCAAATCATCTATCAATCTATCATCTACCTATCATCAATCAATCTATCTATCATCTATCTATCTACCTATTATCTATCTATCTATCATCTGTCTATCTATCATCTATCTATCATCTATCTATCTATTTGTATATACACATGCACACACACAAACAAATGAGACAGAGAGAGGGGTTAGAGATAGAGAGATAGATAGATAGATAGATAGAGAGAGAGAGAGAGAGAGAGAGAGAGAGAGAGAGAGAGAGAGTCTAGCTCACAAACAGGAGTATGCCTGAGGTTGCCCTCTGGAGTCCACAAATATGCATGCACACATACAAGGGCTTCTTGGGGCTCACATCAGGTTACTCGAGACCTCTTCTGAACTACTAAAAAAGAGGGACCCTTGGGGACACAGGGTGCTCTTGGAGGCTTTTATATTAGATATAAAAAGAAACCCATGGCCTTACCACTTCATCAGAGCCCAGCTGGAAATAACTATGAGGAGTGTTAGGGTATCCTGAATTGACACAGATACTTTCAATGTTATTACATATTAAATATTTTCTGTGTGTCGGGTACTCTATACAACTATGAATGAACAAAATTTCACTTAACTTTCAACCTCTGTGGCGAGGGTAATCGTCATTACTATTCCACAGATCAAAACACCTAGGTTCGCCTAACTCCAAGTTGTGTCCGACTTTTCATGAGCCTGGCATCTCTGTGGTTCAGGTTAGAAAGCCCTTGGCCCTCTCCAGGATTCCTGTGGTCCATGGTGAGGGCCTCTTGGAAAGAGTTCACAGTTAGTGCTGTGGGAATCTCACAGCTGCTCTGCTAAAGGAGCTTGCCAGATGTGTGGAACGGAATGAAAACCTCTGGAATGTCACCCGGTTGGCTTCATTCATCACTGTGCCACAGCTGGCTCCTCTGAGGGCCTTTCCCAAACCCCAGCCCTGTCGGCCTGCATGTCAGCCCTGCTGGCAGGCGAGTACAGCCGAGAGCCTTGCTGGCAGCCGCAGGACAGCTGATGGATGGGCACAGCCTGTGGTGCTGGGCAGAGCCAAGCCAGCTTTGAAGATGTGTTTCCGCAGGCCTGCCGGCTGTGCGTCACCTGCTTTAGGGACATGGGCAGAGCTTGTGCTGTTTGATGGCCACCTCCTCTGCCACCCACTGGGGACTTGGGACCAGGCACCTTCTGCTCTAGCAAGGCCCTTGCCATGTATTGGCATCAGAAAGACCAACCAAGGAAGAAGCTTGCCTGAGGGCGTGAGCCGGGTGTCTTTTCCACAGACTGTTGTCTGAAGGGAGCACGGAGCTCATAAATTTCATCAAAGATCAAGCCCATGCACTATGGGACCACATGAGGAGAGGCTTTAAATCTAATGCCTTCACTCCGCAGCCAGAGGCCAACAGAGCACCCGGAGAGAGGCTCGGGGGCCCAGGGCAAGCCTGCTTCCTTTACTCACCAACCCTCAGAAGTTGTCTGTAGAGATCGGTGTCCTGGCATACTATACCCCACACTGCCCACTCCTGTGTAAGTTGTTTTCTAACTTGAGTCTTTGCCCTAAATGACTCTGATGTTGGGGAGTTCACTGAATTCTGGAATATTCTAATTTTAGGAGATTCTTCCTGTCTGTAGGTCAACTCCGACACTATGTTTTGTGATGTGCTCAACTAACCCTTATATGGACACATAGAAGGAATGAATCTACCCCTTCCCTTGTCTACAGGGTCATTACACTTATCCAACCAGCCCACTGTCTAATCCTGGAGACACTGTGTACAACTTTCTAGGAGATGGTGGTAAAGCGCTTTGTGGTAGCTTCCCATTTTTGTGTGTGGGCATGAGCACGTGGAGGGCAGAGGTACAAAGAATCATCCTTCCACTTTGCTCATCGAGGCAGGGTCTCTTAATCAGACCCAGAGCTCATGGATAAGGCTAGACTCATAGGGATCCCCCTGTCTCCATCTTCCAAGGTAAGAATTATAGGATGGCTGCCATGACCATCTAGCATTTGCCTGGGTTCTGGAACTATTTCTCATGCTAAAGCAATTATATTATCCACTGAGTTATCTTTCTGGCCCACAAAGATACTTTTGTTGTGCTTTATGTTTTTTGAGACAGGGTTTCTCAATGTAATAGCCTTAGCTGTTCTGGAACTTGCTTTGGAGGCCAGAATGGCCTTGAACTCACTGAGATCCGCCTGCCTCTGCCTCCAAAGTGCTGCAATCAAAGGTGTGTGCCACCACTGCCAGGCAATACTTCTTAATCCCCACAGTTCAACTATGGACTACAAGTGGAACTTCTTTTTAGACACTTGAAACTGGGTCCCTTGGCTCTTCTATACCCTGACTCCTTCTCTGTTCATCCCAAGGCATTCACAGCCCTGTCTTTCTTCCTTCTCTGGTCCAAGAACCCTTGGCCCGGCAGGGAAATGGCCTTGACCTCTCTTCGAACTCCACGCATGCCTGGAGCCTGCATTGGAGCCTTCTGGGCTCCCACTTTCTGTCTTGCTTTGGAGAAAGTTGCAGAGTCCCCTCTGCAGTCCATGTTCACATGGGCACACATTTCTATTCTATTCCCAAAGGTCTGGGTCACCTGTTCTGAAGTGCCTCTCTGCCTATGCAGAACTCTTTTCTGAAGAATATTGATGACTGATCAGGATTTGGCTAATGGGTACCATCTTTGCTCTAAGTAAGTCCTTTATCCAAACTTGAATCTCATCTGTCATCTCCATGCACGGGCTGCCTGTTCTGGTCTTCTGTGCATGGCCAATCCAGTCTATTCCTGCGGGGATGTCTGCCTTTGGTCCCTTGAAGTAGTGAGAGGAATTTCTACCCCAGACTCAAGCAGGTGCTATGATGTTGTTCATCCCACTGTGGTGTGGGCACTAGGCAGAGGAAACAGAAATTGTGCACGATGACAGAGTCTGGGAGAGACAGAGAGCCTGTGAGAAATAGCCCTGCACACTAGGCAGGGGAAATCTGTGTGTCGGGCAGTATATGACACAACCTCTTAGATGCAATTGTTTTGTGTACTTGTGGTTTCTTTTAATTGACTGTTTTGTGACAAGGTCTCTTATAGTCTGGGCTGACCTCAAACCTGCTCTGTAGCTGAAGCCTGTCCCAAACCCCTGACCCCACTACCCCCATCTCCCAAGTGCTGGGATTACAGGAGCAAACCACCATGCCCAGCTTTGAATGCAATCCCAACACCATGCCATGCTGGACATGACATCTACCTCAAGTGCTCTTGGTGCTGTGTGCCTTGTTATTAGTCTGAGACTTCCTATGGGTTTTCTGGACACACCAAACCCAAGGACATTGGTGGAGTTAACGGTGCCATGGGCGAGGGGGGGCATCGCTGGGGTGGCTCATCCTGGAGCTGCCTGTCTTGGCTTCCTTGTGGGGGAATGGAGTAAGTAGGACGGCCCCTTGCTCAGTTACACCCGGTCTTTCCCTCAATCGCTAATGGACAAGAAGCCTCAGTCTCTTTCTCTGTAAAATCAGGGCATTTAGCCATACTAACAGTTTCTCCCTTAGGTGGCCGGGGCTGGCACCTCAAAGCTGTGCCGAATGTCACACAGCCACAGGGTTTCTGGGTAAATTTTGAAGGCTCCTGGGACACCCTGGAAAGGTGATCCTGTGCTCTGGCTCTTGGCTGCTGGAAGCCTGGGGTGACGGATGGCACACTCACCTGGGTCTGGGGGTGCAATGAAGGACATCAGCGAGAACTGAAAAATAAAACCACACAGTGAGCATCTGACAGAGCTGCCGGCGCCTCCCCCAGAGGCCCTAAGCCAGAGGTCCCTGTGCCCCAGACACAGGCGACTCCCTGCAGGCCTAATGGAAGGCACTCTCTCCTGCACACACCTGTTGGGACATTACAGCTTGCCTGCCATCTGCCACAATACTAACTAGTCAGTTGCTCCTGGACCATGAGTGGCATGGTTGCATTGTGTTCCCATGGCAACCCCATCGGAGGAGGAGAACACTTAGGTTTTATTCTCGTCTAAGGGATTCTTAGGGTGACTGTCCTTGTAGATTGGGAGTGGACAAATGCTTAAAACCCTCCAGAGGTTTCCCAGTGTTCTTGGGATAGAACAAACACCTGCCCGGAAGGAGACTTGTGGCGTTACTCTTTAACTTTCCTTCAGGTTTCAGCAGCGACCACAAGAAACTAGGGAGGGGAGGGGTAAAAAAGAAAAAAAGGGACCGTGACTCTGTTTATTGCCTTACAGTCCCTCGGCCCTGTTTTTATGGGGAAGGAGGCAGGGACACACGTTTCACTGGAGGTCGGGAGATGGGAAACAGAGATCACCTGAGTGCTGAGGAGGAGCTGGAAGGAGGGCCGTGTGGGGGTGGAGGGGGCCCCAGCCCCCCCCCCCAAGGAGGAGTGTTGCCTTCTCCAGCCTCACTCCCAGAATGGTCAGTGGCTGTACCTCAGATCTGCTTCCCTGCTCTGCCACACCTCCTGACATTGAACTGGTGTGGACCCATGCTTTGTGTCTCTCTCCACCCAGGGAAATAGTACTCAGCCTTTTCTACTTGAGCTGAGTAGGGCGGGGCCCAGGCCTGGCTACACCTGTTTGCTCACTCAGAGCCTGAGGGACACCTGATGCTGTGCCGCCTGGAGCCAGCAGGTGGCAGACATGCTCTTTCTAGGCATGGCTGTGGCGGGAATGGAAACTGAGCTTGGGAGGCTTCCCAGCAGAGCCATCCCAGCCCTCCTCCACCCCATGCTCTGCATGGACTCTTTTCCACTCACAGAGAGGCAGCCCAAACCAGACATACCCGGTTTCCAGACGCTAACCTCCACTGTGTCAGAAGCAGGAGGTGTGGATGCCATTTGTGTCCCCCCACCCCATAATTCCACTCTGCTTCTTCAAAGTCAATGGAATAGAAGAGCACCCACTCCTGGGACTCTAGAACCCAAAGATGGAAATTAGCAGAGGAAGTGAGGGGGGGTGTGTGTGGGATAGTTAAGAGTCAAATAAGAAAGTGGAGGGCTCTGTCCACTTATTAAAAGCTGACTGAACCAGGCCGGTGATAACCGTTTTCCATACACATTGCCTTGTTTGTTCTGAAAAGCACGTGTGCATTCCAATACCGAAATCGTCAGTTTATCCCAAAGCAGCTACCAATGCAGACTTGGAATGTGGATGCCCATTTCCATCAGATTCCGTATTCCTAGCCACCGTGCCAGAGTCTGGGAGCCATAGCATAGCCACACTGGCCTGGTCTATCACTGGGGAGGAGCACTATGCGCTGGGTGTGGTAGGACACACCTTTAATTCTGGCACTTGGGAAGCAGAGACAGGCAGATCTCTCTGAGTTCTGGGCTAGCCTGGGCTATGTAGTGAGATACTCAAAAAAGGAAAGAAAGATGGAGAATAACCGAAGGAGATATCTGACGCCAACTTCTGGCCTCCAGTGCATGTACACACATGTACAGTACACACACACACACATACACTCATGTGTACACATACTCACGTATAAACACAGGCATGCGTACTTAAGCATACAGGTACACACATGTACACTCGGGTACACACACAACTATTAAAAATAAGCCTGTAAAGTAGGTAAAGGTGAGTGTGTGTAACAGGAGTGTGGCGATGTCAGATTAGGCTGTGGCAGTTTCTCAAGTCTAATTACTTGGTTGTCTGTCTGGCAAGACTGAGCTCTTGCTGTCAGGAAGTGAAGCTTCCTGGGCTGAAGAGAAGCCTCCAGGAGGAGCCTACTTCCTCCCTTGGTGGACACCCCAGCACAAGCAGGATTCAGAGGCCACACTGTAGCCTGACATCTCTGGTTCCACGTCAAACAGACCTGTAGTCTTTGGATAGAGCCTGGAGTGACCACCCATATCACCATGGCCAGGAGCATGGAAACTATGGGTTTGAATTCAGCTCACTGACGTGAGTGTGTGCCATCTTGGACAGGTTGCTTATGTTGCTTGTTTTGTTATCTGTGATATCAGAGTGACACTGGCCCTAACTCATAGGCTGGTAGGGAAATTCAAACCACGAGGGATATGTGGTTAAAAGTCAATAAATGGCTGGTAGTACTGTTATGAGATGTCATTGCCAATGAGTTAATCTCATTACTATAATTACTTTCCAATTGCTTGGTGCAACAGTGTGGAGGGGCACGGCATGTGTGGGGGCATGGTGTGTGGGGAGGGGCACAGTGGGGGAGGGGCAGGACCAGGAGAGCCCCTCAGCAAAGGTCTTCCAGGAACTTATTACTTGGGTCAATCACAGGCATGTCACATGAGCCCCCTCCCCCATCATTTTTCCCTGGGATCCTTGCCAAACCCTAAGCCAGGAAACCTTGTTATATTAATTATGAAGAGAAAGCATGTTTTATTTAAAATCCCGGCTGCTAAATTTTCTGCCATGCTGTTTCTGTGTGACAGCAGAATTTCTTTTGCATTTAGGAAACCCTAATGCATTTAGAATATAAATATATCCATGCTTATATACATACACACGTGACTTCAGCGACCTGATTTCCCTAAATACCGGTGTATACTGCAAAGCTAATGAGTTCAACTCCTGCTTGCAATCAAGTCCCCCCCCCTTGGAATTTAGTCCTTTCCTTTATCCAGAAGTCTTTGCCTAGGTTGGAGAAGAGGAAGGGACCCCCTAGGCATGAAAAAGACCTAATTCTGGGATGTTTGGGGTTTCACCAAGGGTGGCTCCCAGATTCTGCCCTGGGGCATGTGTGGATCTGAGTGCTGAGATTGGGGACTGACCCACTAAACACTTCAGCATCTATGGTGTGTTTGAGCAATAACCGCATAATCTCTCTGCCTCTCTCCCTCCCCTCCCTCCCTCTCTCCCTCAGGAGGCGATGAAGGCGTAGAATGGCAATCCATAGGAGAGGGAGACTTGTGCATGCCCCTTTGCGGTACAAACACGAATGTGTGCTCACTGCTACCAGAATATGCAGTTTTTATGAAATCTCGGAGAAGCACTATCTATATTTGAGGTGCTCTGCTTCTCAAATGCTGCCTGGCAACTAAAACACAAAGAAGATGCTCTGTAGTCACAGCAAGCAAGACTGGGCCGCGAGCAGAAGAAGGTACTCCAGTCTGCGATCTCTTGTCTACACAGGCCATTCTGTGGTTGAGTGCCTAGGAAGACCCCAGGAGTAACAGTACAGAGATGTAAACAAACGAGCATTTTGTCCATATGTTCCTTTGTGCAGAGCAGCAGAAACCACCGTCTTTCTTCCTCCCTGAAGCAGGAATGAAGGTCAGACGGGCTCTGCCCGGCACAAGGGAGTCTAGCACCCCCAAACGATTTCTTCTTTGGGGTGCAGGGACGACATCACACAGCTATGCTAGTTTATACATAAATCGATCTAGACCAGACACGAAGGCATATGAATGATGTCTGCGGTTCACGGTCATGGTGTCTGAGCCATGTCTGTCCTTAGTGAGTTTCTAAATGAAATCAAATCTCAGGTAGAGGCCAGGGAGAAGGCTGAGCAGGTAAAAATGCTTGCTATGAAGTCTGATGACCCGAGTTCAACCGCCCCCCCAGAGTCCACAGGGAAGAAAGAGGTACCTGACCCCCACAAGTTGTCCTTTGGTCTACACACAACACACACACACACAGACACACACACAGACACACACACTCACACATACACACTCTCTCTCACACACTCTCTCTCTCACACACACACTCACACACACACTCACACACACAGACACACACTCACACACACACACTCTCTCTCTCACACACACACACACTAAGGTGAAGATGATAATGAGGATAAAATGTTTTACAAAGAAGAGCTTCTGATATAGATGATCCCAAGAATAAGTTAGCATGACGCACAAGGCACCTCCTGCCTCAGCGCTGATGCTAAGGCTGTCATCTTTCCACTTCAGAGGCACATGGAGTCCATCGCTCCCTCCTCTGCAAATGACCTCCAGCTAGGATGTGGCCCCAATGCCACATGCACCGAGAGACGCACTTAGATGGTACTCAGGGACCCAGGTCTATCTATCCTCTAAAAGTTTAGAGTTTCACTGTGTCATTTCCCAGCTGTGGGACTTAGTTCTATGTGTTAAATGGGAACCGTGACAGTAGCTAGGACTCGGGGACCTTTTGGCAGTGACCCAATCCATAGCAAACTTAGGGGCTAGCACCAAGGATGGACTCTACCATACACTACCATTTCATTATATTTCTCATATTATTGACGAAGGGTCTGGCCTATGCAGCTCACTGTGCAGCCCAGAATGGCCTGGAATTCACAATCCTCTTGCCTCAACTTTCTGAGTGCTATCAGACAACTGGTTATTATTTTTATCTATGTAGGTGGGAAAGACCATCAGACGATGTGGCTTTGCCTTCCCATGAAGCCTCAAACCCTCCCAAACATCCAACCTGGCTGTTTTCCCCTGGATACAACATGCCAGGCAGGCCGCAGAACATGGAAAGACTTTCTGGCCACCTGGCACGCGCCTAAGTAAGAAAGCGTAGGGAAGTCATGAGTCCTTTCTTTGGAGTTGACGAAGATCATTGCCTTAGGCTAGTCCTCATATGCTTTTATCCTCTATTGACTTAAAGTTTCATTGATAACCCCCCCCCCACAAAAAAAGAAAAAAGATTTGTGGGAGGGTTGGGGGCTGGGACTCTTATCCTTTGGTGAACATCCAACAGTCGCGTTAGCCCTTCTTGCCTGTAAACTCTAGGCTCAATGGTTTCCCATTGGTGTTTTCTCTGGGTCTCTCTCTGATCATTGCTGCTGCCTTATGTACAGCTGTGGGATAGCTGCTCTCAGCCCCAGGTACTCACCAGGCATCACATGACCAGGCTTGACAGACACAGGGAACTGCAACCGCCATGTCTTTTGGCATGGGCATCTTTTCTAAAACAAGCCACTTGGCAAACTGCATCTGGTACTAAGGAAGGGGTCTGAACTAAGGATGTTATCACATGAGCGTGCCAATGAGCGAGGCTATCATTAATTCCATCCCCCCAGGAAACACCCCAAAAGGGAGACACAACTCAAAAGCGATTAACCGGATGCAGGAAGGTTAGCCGCGCTGAGCTTTCCATAGCGAAGTTGCTCATATCCTGGACATTATCCACGAAAAGAGCTCACACTCGGTGGGAATTCGTCCCACTCGTAGAGAGCTAACCTAGCACACACTAAAGATCTTGGTTTTGATCACCAATGCCACAAAGAAAACCAAAAGCAAAGGAACTAAATTTTTATTGGAAGCCACACATACGGCCTTCTGTTATCATGACCTTTACCAAATGAGCCGAGACTATTGTGGCAAACTCAACACTATTGCTGCCTCAACACCCAAGCCTCGGCCTATAGTCAGCGTGGAGACCCCAAGGGTTCCGCTCCTCCCTTCCCCAAAGATCCTGTTGGCAGCTGCTCCTCAGGGGGACACGGACTGGCCAGCATCTCCGTTACTTGTCTCAACCCAGTGCTCTAGGCAAAGCCTTAAGTATCTCCCTTCCTGGCCCACCACATAGTTTCACTCCCTTGGGTCCTGGCTCATCTTCTCCGTCCCATCTACTATGGTCACGAGAAAGAGAAGAAAAAGTTCTAGCCACGGGGCTTCTCCTCAAGTCAGATGCAGCTAAGTAAGTAGACCCTTTGTTGGGCTCCCTGAGCCACCAGGGCGTCCCCTGAGGCCAAAGCCCAGGGTTCCCTCTCTTGGCACCCCCCGGAGGGCTGGAGAATCTGACAGGTGTGGTAGGGCCAGTGAGCTCACGTGCTTTCCACCATTTCCCAAAGGGTGCATGCATACAGTAGAGGAGTTGTGTGTACCAGTCATCTCTGTTGGAGTGAATTCACGGAGGCTGTGCTACAGGAGACTCGGTCACTGCATGTCATCAGAAAGCTGCTGACAGGCCCACGAGGCAGTCCACATACACTCCTGCAGTCAGGGCACATTCAATTTGGCACACCAGCCATTCTACAGTTAAGATTTTCTTGCTCCAAACCTAGATGGTTTGATTTTTCTAAAACTCTCATAGTCCCTCGACCACAGAAATTCGAAGTGACCACTTACCCCAGTGGCTGACTTCCCCGCTAGGACGATTAACAGCAGAACACGCAGATCCAGCATCCTGACCAACATCTGTGCCCTTGAAGGCCTCTTGGTTTGCTCTCCTTACAATTTCTTTTCTTGTGTGTGCCTTTGGGGGTGGGGGTGGGGGTGGGGATGTCAGTCTCTGTGGATTCCGGAACAAATGAAGAGGATGCAAATTATTAACTAGGCATCAAATACTGTTTAATGTTTTGCAAACCAACTATCTTGATCAAACAAATGGTAACTTGGGGGTTGGGCAGAGCCAAGGGGTGCCTTGTCTTCTGCAGAAAAACAACAAATGTCTCCAAAGATAGCGGCGAAAATAAAGAGCCCATGGCTTGTGGTGCAGGTAGTGCTATTGAGTGTTCAGTGCTGTGGTTCTGGATGTCTGGCTGGTGTCAGCCACGGGATAAATGGCTCCAGAACAGGCAAGAACCTCTGCCCCCACTGAGGATGCTGGCAGATTTGTGATCTCAAGTCTCGACCAGAACTAAGGCATGGATGGGCCCTAATAACATCACACTTTATATTCATGAAAGATAAATTAAAGGATGCCAAACTGCTATTGACAAACATTGATTCTGGGCGCTTTGAAGTGCTGCCCATAGTTGCTTGTTGGCTTCAAAAGTTTTTTTTTTTTTTTAAACCTCATTACGTAAGGGTTTTCACTTTTTAATTATTTCCCCTTTAGTTGGAGACTGTCTTTGATCTGTGGGAGGAAAAACAAGCATGGTGCTCATTGTTTGGGACGTTGTTGCTGGCGTTCTCTGTTTAGCAGCACAGTTGTAGGTAGGGCCATGGAAAGCAGCAGTTACCGGGCGAGGGCTGGTTCTTGTGGACTCAATTGATCTCCTCAATTGACAGGATCCCAAGCTCCTGTCGGTCCACAGTAATCTATGTTTAGGCTCCAGGAATCCTCCCACCCGATTCTGCAACGTAGGCTTGAAACTGTGCCAACTGATGCATGGGTTAGCACTCACCTCTCCCAGCAGCCATCCCACAGGGCATGTGCAGCCAGCGCTCAAACAGCGGCTGCTCCGGTGGTTGCTGGTAACTCTGGAAGCCAAGCCTTCACCATGCTGGATCCCACAGGCCCAGCCCAGGAGAACCCTGAAGTCAAAGCCCTCACCAGATGGGTTTTGTTGTGTCAACTAACTTTTCACAAGGCCATCCCATCAAGAGGTACCCGGCTTATTATCTCTTTCACAGTATCTGCTCCCTCTCTGCCTCCTTAGACTGAATATTCGTGAGGCTGGGCATTCTGATGGGTTTCCAGCGAGCTCCCAACGTAAGTGGACGGACACTCAGCGATTTATGTGGGCAAGTGAGTAAGTGAACAACCACTCCATCGAAGCAGCAACTGGGCGTTTCACATCAAGCTGCTCAGCAGAGGCGGCTCCATGTGGACACGAAAGTGGGTGTGAAAACTCAGAGGCATGTGTGAACTGTCCAGCATAACACTGCTTGTTCATGAACACATTAATAGCCTTAACATACTCACAGAGTTCCACTATGAGCTGGGAACTGGTGATTCGGGGTGAAGGAAGTGGCCATCAACTTCAGTCCTTGTGTGCGTGTGTGTGTGTGAGTGCGTGTGAGTGTGTGTATGTGTGTGAGAGAATGTGTGAGGGTGTGCGTGTGTGTATGAGTGTGAGTGTTGTGTGTGAGTATGTTTGAGTGTGTGAGAGTGTGTGTGTTTGTGAGAGTGTATGTTGAGTGTTGTGTGTGAGTGTGTGTGTTAGAGTGTGTATGAGTGTATGAGTGTGTGAGTGTGTGTGTTTATGGGTGTGAGTGTGTGTGAGTGTGTGACTGAGTGTGTGTTGTGTGTAACCGAGTGTGTGAGAGTGTTTTGTGTGTGTGTGTTTGAGTGTGTGTAAGGGTGTGTGTGTATGAGTTTGTGTATGAGTGTAAGTGTGTGTAAGTGTGTGAGTGTTGTGAGTGTGTGTGAGTGTGTGAGTGTGTGTGAGTGTGTGAGTGTGTGTGTGAGTATATGTGTGTGTGAGTGTGTGTGAGTGTGAGAGTGTATGTGAGTGTGTGAGTGTGAGTGTGTGAGTGTATGAGAGTGTATGTGAGTGTGAGTGTGTGTGAGTGTGAGTGTGAGAGTGTATGTGAGTGTGTGAGTGTGTGAGTGTGAGTGTGAGTGTGTGTGAGTGTGAGTGTGAGTGTGTGAGTGTGTGAGTGTGAGTGTTGAGTGTGTGAGTGTATGTGTGTGTGTGAGTGTGTAAGGCAGAAGGACACATCTGATGTCCTCTAATGCTCTTTACCTTGTTTTCAGAGCCTCTCTCCTTGTACCCAAAGCTCATCATGTCAGCCAAACTGGCGACCAGCGAGTGTGTGGGCCCCTCCTATCTCCTCCTCTCCATGCTGAGGTTAGAGGTGTGTGACGTCATGTCTGGCTTTGCATGTGGGTGCTGGGGATCCAAATCCTGACACTGGACCTGCTGAATCACATCCCCAGCCCCTGAGCTTCACTCCTAAGGGACAGGCTGAGGTTGGAAAAGTAAATTAGTTAACTGTCCCTAGTGGTTAGCTCAAAAGGTGAACTAGGTGGCGGTATCGGAACGGCGGATGGAAGGTTTGAAAGCAGTGAGTGGGTCCCTGGGATGACCTCACGATGATGCCGTGATTATCCGAGAGCAACACGAGCTCAGAGGCCACACGGGAGGCATCTTCAGCCTTCTGGTTTAGAAGCTGGAGTCTAGCAACAGCCCAGGCAGGTGTCCCTGTCGCCGCCCTGACGGGACACAGGCATCTGGGCTTTCTCTCTTCTGTCTCATTTGGTAGAGAGATTCCCAGAGAACATGCCTGAAGCTTCCCTTCCCCTGTCAAAAGGAAGTGACCAGGGCAGTTTGGCTGTTCGGTTTTGTAATCTGGATCCATGTCTCTATGTGACAATCTTTCCTTTCATAGTAAAAAGGTGGGGTTGGGGGCAGGTTTCACTTTTTGTAATAGTCACAGGTCTCCAACACATTGTCTCTTGTTTCCCCAAAGTTTTATTATTGTGATAACATGAATTGAGTACATTTCTACACTATACTTTCTAGAGAGAATTCTCTAGAAGACACTTAATCCTTTGGTTCCACAGGACAAAGGGGACTGGCTTGTCCTGTGATCTGTGCTTTCCTGGGGAGTTGAAACAGAGTCACCAAGAGCCATGGTCTTCACATCTGAACAGAGAGCCTTGGCACTGGCATGCTGGTTTCAGGGGTCACGGCTGGCCCATCACTGGTTACTCCGGGCACCAGACTCTCACGTGTTGGGTTGCATGCTTCTGAATGGGGTTCTGTCTTGTGTCACAAGCCTGGGGAAATTTGTTTCTAGTGAGCTTTTCCTTCTGTTCTCAGGAAAGGCACCCACACAGAGACCTGGCCAGGACCTGTCCTTTCTTGCGTGCCCAGGACTCACTAACAGAGGCCACGTGTTGTGGCTGAATGGATGTGACTCATGTTTGTTCACAATCTTCAAAGCCAGTGTCTTCTCCCTGGTAAGCCTCCGGTGTGCAGAAATGGCAGCCTGCACTCACAGTAGAACTAGCCACAACAGTCTAGCCCCTTGCCCACACCAACCTTGTAACTCTGGGCCAATCTTCTACTTTCTCAGAGCTTCAGTTTTCCCACCTGTAAAATGGGCCAAGGGCAATGTGCTTAGTGAAGAGACTGGCGGAGAGTAGAGCTCTGTAACATCAAGACTTTCCACGGGACGGCCACCTTTTTGGCAAGGCCCCATCCTTAACTCTACTCTCTGGGAGAAAGGCAGTCAGACTTTTCTAAACAGTCCGGAGAGTATAAGTATTTTCGGTTGTTTCTGGCCACGGTTTGTACATCTGCTTCTCGGTCCCACCACTGAGTCAAGAATGCAGCCGCAGGCCAGGCTGATGCCAGGCACATGGCCGTGTTCCAGGGTAATGCAAACAATAGGGCCACAGCTTTCATGGTACTGCCATAGGAGAAGGAACACACAGACAACTCACACGGCCCCGGGCGAGGCGGGAAGGGCCCTGGACTGCTGCAGCATGGCCTTCCTCAAGCCAACCCAGGAAGCGCATACCACAGCAGACATCTTTGTGGGGTGATGGACAAAAGCTCGCTTAGCCACCCATCCTGCAGGCCTTACTCAGTACCTGCCTTAGGGCTGGGCAGTGTTGCAAATAAGGAAGACAGACCTGGTTTTAGTCTCAGAATTGACATCTCTCAAAGACCCCACTCAGTCACTGGCCCGTCTGCGGGTGGGTTCTTTGTGCCACCCCACTAAGAGCTTAAGGCACAGGGACACAACTCTTTCTCATTGTTCTGATTCCTGTCCCCTTGTTTGAATGGCTTGCTATCCCCTCCATTGACTCCCAGGGACACTCAGTTGGGAAGGGCGGGGATGTTAGCTTTTGTCCACTCAGGGATCCTAGGCAGTTGGTATTTTCAAAACTGCTGCTCTCTGTGTTCTCTGGCCTGGAAGATGCTGGGGTGTGCTCAAGAGCGTGAGAGACATCAGCATTTATTGGGCAGCTTTGCTTTCCGGGGACACTTACAAGCACTCTGAGGTCTTTTTAACTCCCATGCAAGGTGCTTCAGCCCATTTTTTTCAGTTAAGTGAGGTTCAGAAAGGCTAAGCAATTTGCTTAAGGTCTGGTAAGTAGAGGCAAGGCCAGGATTCCAGCCTTTTGGTTTCCAGGCAAATGTTCTTTTTTGATATGGCAGACTCCTGGGTGCTGGGGTGTTTTCCCACAAGCTTATTGGCAAAGGTCATCTGTTTCCTCTTCAGCTCACCTTTCGCTCTGACTATTTCCTGTCAGGGTGACCAGTCCCCGGAGTTTATTGAAGAGATGTGTCTTCCTGTGGTCTTAGGCTGGATATCCTGGGCCCAGACAGAGCTACTGAAATTTGGGTGCAGGAAGTTTCTAGGGGTTATATTTTTGGGATCCATATGAGCTGGGGAGGAGACAGGACTAGGCAGAAGGAGGAGTTGGGTTGCAAAACAGTCACAGCAGAGGCATATCCTCTGGAAATTCTGGAGCTGTGCACCCCTCAGAACTGTCCTGCTGTGAAAGGAGGCTCAGGCCGCTCTACTTGGATGTTTCCCAGCAGCTATGAGACAGCCCACAGGAGGACTGTGACCATATGTCACTCTTCAGTGGTTCTTCCAGTGAGGAACTCAACTGAGCCCTGGACGCCAGTCCCCTGGTGGCTGAAGGACTGGGTGTCTCATTGCTGAAGAAGGATCTGGTGATACCTCATAGCACTGTCTCCAACTAGGAGCTGGACTTCTATTCTGCATCCTCTAGGACAGGTGCCCTATGTAGGGAAGTGTGGCTGGCTTAGAGGGCTTTAAATGAACTTCCCTAGTCTCTGGATGGTCTAATCAGATATTGCGGAAGTCACAGGCATGGTCAGGCAAATTTACAGGCAGACGACAGATGCTCTGTGGGTTAATCAATACCCAAGAGAAAGCCAGAATGCTTCCGTGGGGATGCTTGCCCAATGGTGTTCTAACCATGGCTGAGTTCTGATGGAGAAGTAGACACCTGATCATTGGTCATGGTTTACACCACACAAAGTCACTGTGTTAGGAGAAAAGTGGCTCCCCGTCTGGTAAATGTTCATCTTTAAGAAATCTCAGGATCTGATAAGCACAGATTGGAGTTGGATGCACACAATGGGAAAGCCCAAGGACTCTGAGAAGCCTGAATTCCTGGAGGGGCTTTAGCATGGGCAGAGGAGTGTGGGCCGCTGTGGACCACCGAGTCCGGATGGACCCATGACAGCCGCTCTCTTCTTCTCCAGGGGAAAGTTTGAATTCCTAGCACACAGTAGGTGCTTACCCAGTGCCAGCCATAGCACACAGTAGGTGCTTACCCGGTGCCAGCCATAGAACACAGTAGGTGCTTACCCGGTGCCAGCCAGACACAGAGGGAGGAGTGGCTTGCCTCTCCCAAGCTCGCCATTGCCAGTAGCACAGCACGCTCAGGTTTCAAAGTTGCAAACTTGGAACTCACTGCAGATCTCTTCCTTTCCTGTCTTCCCAGTCCAAGTCACAGGCGTGCCGATACCCCAGAAAGCTTCTCCTGTGCCCCAGCCCTTTCCTCTTGGTTAACTCATGCTTGTCCAAGTGGACACCGTGTGCTGACTCCTGGGCAGCCCTCACATTCTTTTCCCTCCTATCTGCTGCTGAAGTTGTTTCCGCGTGTGAAACCCCGATGGGATCCCGTCACAGCCCTACACAGAACTCTTCAGTACCCTCACGGGGAGCTGCCAGCAAGGCCCACATTCTACCAACTCCAGCAGCCCTGCTTTGTGCCTTGCTCTCCTTAAGCACAGTCTCCTTAGTTCTCATATGTTGCCTCCCGCTTAGGACATGCTACGACCCGACCCTCGATAAAGATCTGTTGGATGGAGGCATAGATGGGCGCGGGGGATAAACAGATGGCTCAGAGAATTGAGAAATGGTCGGATGCTTAAACAGAGGGCGGATCAATAGAGGGATGAAGTGTTGGAGGGATGGGGCTGGGTGGGGGGCTGATCGAGGGGTAAATGGGTGGATAAGTGGGGTAATGTATGAATGGATGGGGCTTATGGCTGGCTCACAAGCGAATGGATAGATAGGTAAATATGGGAATGGACGTACCTGGGGACCAATGCACAGATGAGGTATGGATACAGGGGAATGCATGCACACAGGACTAGATCAATAGATGGGCAGATGGGTGGATGAAGGAACAGTGGACAGCCATGCTTGACGAGAAGACAGGAGCTACTCTTGTGGCCGAAGTTCATGGCAAGTTGTGAGTTCCAAACTGCGTGGTGTCCCCCTCGCCCCATGGATGGACTGTGGCTGGAAGTCACGGATAGTTCTGACTTCTGTGCCCTGTGAGCCCTGGCAGGGCCCTGCCGGGTCTCGAGTACACACCGTAGCCTCCCTCTCCAGCGACTGACTCGCCCATTTGTACTTGTGTCTTTTCTTTAATCTTCCAGTGCAGCTTCAGTATTTCTGCTCGCATTTGAAATTTCCTCCATTGAGACGGTTGTCTAAGGTGGGGAGTGTGTTCTCCCCAGTCTCCCCCATCCCATCATTCAGTTCCGCGAGAACACAGCCTGCCACCTTGCATCTGCAGCCTCACAAAGAGCCACCGCCCGAGCTGTATGACGCGTCTTGTTCTTGACACATCTTTGATTTATTAAACAGTTTTTAGTAAAATTCTGCATACGTTTACCACATGAAAAAACCTGGTAGAAAGCCTGGGAGAGGGAGGGGTCTAGAGATCTGGGCGTTTAGACTTCCTGGATTTCTGAATACAGTGTGCAGACACTTCCAATAACACCTCTTCACTTTGAGGGAAGAGAGACCTCTAAGTCCCCACTACAGTCAGTTTCCAGACATTTCCTCGCATTGCTGGCTTCCTACAGTACATTTGTATGTGGTTTTGTGCCCTGCTAGCAACAGCCCGGGTTGGCATCAGACAGAGCTGATAGAAAAGCCATCAACTTGCTTCATTATCTTGGGTAAGCTGTTTAATCTTTCTCAGTCTGCCTTAAAGGAACTTTGTGTTTCAATGTACAAGATGACATTTGTGAAATGGCCTGAAACACAACAGACACTTAATTTGTATTGAGTTGCCTTCCTGTCTCTTCCCACTTTAAATTGTCCCGTTCCTATGTGGGGCTGGGATTGAACCCGAGGCCTCACTGATTCGAGCTCTACTGTCGAGCTGTATGCCCAGCATTCTCCTTATCTTTCATTTTGAGACAAGTGTCTCGCCAAGTTGCCCAGGTTGACCTTGAACTCACCTTGCAGTCTTAGCTTTGAACTCAGGATGCTCCTGCGTCAACGTCGCGAGAACTGAGATTGTACATGCGTCCCTGTGCCCCTCACGGGAAGTATACACATCGTTCTCCAGGCGGGCACAGCAGGAAGTGGCAATTTTATAAAAATGAGTCAGGCAAGGGACAGACAGTAAGAGACACTCAGACAGGTGCCACCCAGGTGTGTGACACCACCGTGCAGTGGGCATCATTGCATTTTCCCCCAGGGCCATCTGTGTGGGAAAACACAGCAGACAGATCCTCAGACACTCACGAGACGGGGCCTTGCCAAAGTACCTGCAGCTGCAGGAGGAAGGCGTGTGGGAAGAATGGTGGGGATACATGATTGCCATCCGTCATGGCAGGACACAGATCCTCACCCTTCCTGTGCATTCCAACCACAACCACAGACCTTTATGTAAACAACACCAATAGTTTCCTGGGCGAGTACCTTCACCAATATGCACTTGGGGTGTGTGAGTGTAAGTGTGTGTGTGTTTGTGAGTGTGTGTGTGAGTATGTGAGTGTATGTGTGTGAGTGTGTGTGAGAGTGTGTGAGTGTATGTGAGTGAGTGTGTGAGTGAGTGTATGTGTGTGAGTGTGTGTGAGAGTGTGTGTTTGTGAGTGTGTGAGTGTGTGTGAGTATGTGAGTGTATGTGTGTGAGTGTTTGAGTGTATGTGAGTGCGTATGAGTGTATGTGAGTGTGTGAGTGTGTGTGAGTGTGTGAGTGTATGTATGTGCGTGTGAGTGTGTGTGTGAGTGTATGTGTGAGTGTATGTGAGTGTGTGAGTGTGTGAGTGTGTGAGTATGTGAGTGTATGTGTGTGAGTGTGTGAGTGTATGTGAGTGCATGTGAGTGTATGTATGTGTGTGTGTGAGTGTATGTGTGTGTGTGAGTGTGTGTGAGTGTGTGTGAGTGTGTGAGTGTATGTGAGTGCATGTGAGTGTATGTATGTGTGTATGTGAGTGTGTGTGAGTGTATGTGTGAGTGTGTGTGAGTGTGTGTGAGTGCGTGTGAGTGTATGTGTGTGTATGTGAGTGTGTGAGTGTGTGTATGTGTGTGAGTGTGTGTGAGTGTGTGTGAGTGTGTGTGAGAGTGTGTGTGTTAGGACAAGCTTTGAGTGTATGATTGGGGACGAGAACCCTCACTCAGCCTTGTTTTTGAGTTTCACTTTCCTTCTGTGGCACAGGTGATATTAGGACACACCTTACAGAATGGCAACTGCATGGGTTAGGACAGCTGAAGTTCAAAGTGCTCGGGCTCCTCAGAAGGTATGGAAGCGGCCCACCCTTCAGTGTCTACAAAAGGATCTTCCTACCTTACCATCTCTGGGCTCATTACCAAGCAAGCCAGAGAACCAACATGGGACTTAGTGATAGTGTCTCAGGTTGCACCAAGAGCCCAGTTGGTCAGTGTAAAGATTTTTCAAAAGACATTTCAAACAAATGAGCCATGCTGAAGTAGGCAATTAAGTAAGGGAATGAGCAGACACCTCTGCCCCAGTCTGTGCAAAATAACAGACGTGGTTAGGAGGCTTGCTGTCCGTTGCCTTCAGTGTGCACGTTCAGGTCTACAAAGCCCTTGGGCAGCTCACCATTGGCTGGGCTGTGTTTGCAAAGTGCCCGTTTCCCTAAATGGCCAGTGAGAATGCCTGGAGACTCATCTGGGGACGGATAGGAACGTCCCCCTGAGTGGCTTCCTGTCTCTGGGCATGCTGTAGAAGGTAAGCCACTCACTACATGGTAAGAGTGAGTAGGAAAGAGGCGTAGCTACAACCACCATGTGTCAAGAGAGTCCCCATTGTTTCTAGAAGACCCCGGCAAATACGGGATGGTTGGTTGGCTCATGTCAGTCTATAGCTTGTGAAGCAGCAGTTCTCAACCTTCCCAATGCTGTGACCCCTTAATTAATGCAGTTCCTCATGCTGTGGTGACCCCAACCATAACATTATTTTCATTGCTGCTTCACAACGGCAATGCTGTTACTGTTATGAATTGTAATGTGAACATCTGATATGCAGAATACCTGATATGTGACCCCTGTGGAAGGCCATTCCACCCCAAAGGGGTTGAAATCCACATGTTGGCAACCACTGCCCTAAAGGGTTTAGAGCTGTGATTGGCAGGTGGTGTAGACTCCAGGGCAGGCTGAGCTGCTACTTCCCAGTGTGTGGAACAGACGACACAGGTCCCTGAATTCTAGGGACAGGACAGCAGGTCTCTGACTGGAACCTGGATTGGGGTTCATTTCCTTGGACCATCGCTGTGCCCTGGAGCAAGTAAGTGACTCCCCTGTGCCATGGTCACGTCACTATGAGCTACAGTTCTTTTGACCCATCGGGACAGTGTTGTTGTTTGCAGCCGGCATGGTTCAGAACTGCAGTGCCCTGCCTGTCAAAGCACACAGCCCAGTTTTTCCTTGCTCCTGCTGGCCTGCTGTTTCCCAGCCAGCTGCACACGGATCACGGGGCATGACTGTGCTCTGCGCTCTGTCCTCTCTTCTGCCACTGACTGAGTCATCCCCGCTTGACGAATGGCCTGGCAGTGGGCAATTTTGTCTTTTGAGTGGCTCCACCTCTGTCTGGGGTTTACGCGGCCCTCTGACCCGCTGACTGAGTGGGAGTAGCTTGCCCTCAGGTGGACAGGTGTGAAGGAGCCAGCCAGCTGCCTGTGCACCTCAGCCTTCTCGGCCCAGCTTCAGGCCAGGCCTGTGGCTGAGGCTACATCTGTGCCTGGGCCAGCGCGGCAGCCTGTGGATTTCAACCTTGTTACTCTTCTTTGTGATGGATGGACCCAACCCTAAAAGGCCTACCTGGTGTATTGCTGCTGCTCATGGCCCACAGGACAAAGTTCAGAAGGATTAATGTGGCGCGAGAGGCCCCACTAATCTGTTCCCAGCTGCTTGTGCGTCCCCCTTCCCAGCTCAACTCTTCATGACCATGTCCACTCGCTCTGGCACATTTGCTAAGCAGGTGTCCTGCTTTCTTCGTACTCCGAGGCTCGATGCTGAGGAAAGCCTTCTCACTTCTCACTTCCTGGTCTTGGAGAGTCTCACACATCTTCTAAAACCGAAGCTCAAAGGTCTTACCTTTCCTGGGATTTGCAGCTAGCTTTCCCCTTGGCTACTTTGTGGCCTTACGCCCTCGTGTTCCACTCTGGGGACGCTTTGGCGCCGACCCTGTGGTCAGCCGGTGCTCAGCATTGTCTGTTAAAGGAATAAACCTGGACGCATCATTTTATGAATGTGTGAGAAAACCTGGACCTTACGGGGGTGGTCGGGAGGGGGGAGTGAAGGAGAGAGAGGAATAGCAAGGTGGGTTTACCAACGGAGTAACAGAGATGCAGGTCCCCGAATTCAGTCTGAGTCTACTGAGACGCCGGTCTTTATAGTTCTGTCCACAGGAGCAGCAGCAGCAGCCAATGAGTAAAGGATGCATCGGTAAATGGGCCTGTGGGAAACCAGTTCTCTCTTCCTGCGTTCCACTTTGTAGATCTGATGTCATTCAAACTGATCTCAGACTGGAGGTGTCTCCTGCCTGGCTGCATACCACCGTGTCTGATTCTCCACTTGTGAAGAGGCCCTCCCTACACCCCACTGACGGTGGTCATGGGCGCTGACTCAGCCTCACCCTCCTTCTGGCTTCCACTCAGATCGATGTAGGTTGCCTACTCTGAGGCCTGCCGTCCACAGGCAGGAACATGGGAGCGAACGCGCTCAGGGCTTGGATCACGAGGCACCTGCTTGCTAGCTCTTTCATACTATAATATTTGATATTAATGTGCGATTTGGGGATAAGCAAGAAAGAAAAGGTTATGGTTCAGTAATAATGCATTGGTGTGTCAAGTCGACAAGGGGTCAATTGTCCTGGCTAGTTTTTTTTTTTTTTTTTTTTTTTAACATGTCACAGGTGAGAGTCATTTTGGAAGAGAGAGCCTCAGTTGAGAATGTGCCCCTGCCAGATTGCTCAGCGGGAAAGCCTGTGGTACCTTCTCTTGAGTGGTGATTGATGTAGGTGGTGCCACCTGTGGGTGTGTGGTCCTGGATGGATAGGAAAGCTGGCTGAGCAAGCCATGGTGAAGAAGCCAGCAAACGGCCCTCCCCTCTGAGGTCTGTCCTACATTCCTGCACCCAGGTTCCTGCCCTGACTTCCTTGGATGATGAGAAACAAGCTGTACGATGATATAAACCCTTTCCTCCCTAAGTTGCTTTTAGTCACGGGGTCTTATCACAGCAGTAGGCACTAGGGCAGTGATCTGGGCTTGCTGTTTCCTGTTTTCAGGTTGGCAGCTTGAAGTCTGCTACGTGGGAATATTTATAGCCCAGAGATTGCTAGATGCTGTAAGAGCCGGCATCCGCTGCACCTGCTGGAAACGAGGCCCAGAGAGGTCAATCTCTCTGTCATCTCTGTGTCACATTGCACAGCAGTTAAGGTGCCCTAGGAAGGGCGTTTTAGAAACTTCGAGTTGGACATCAGGTAGGTGCAGAGCAGGTAGAGTGGGGGATGGATCCACACTTGGTTACATAGATAAATGCATTTATAGTACGTACAGCGGCTTCCAAAGGTGCCCATCCATCCTTCAGAACCCGTGACTCCAGAACTTTCTGTGTCAAAAGGAAGTTTGTAGATGTGATTAACTCCACAGACATTGTGACAGAAATGTGACTTCAGATTACCTGGTGGGCCCAGGTTTTTGTTTGCTTGTTATTTTATTTTTAAGCCATGAATCCTTAACAGACAGCAGAAAACCTTTCCTGGCTGGGTCACAAAGATGAGGGATCCGTCACCAGAGATGTGAGAGGTAAGCCTTTGAAGTCGGACAGAGGGGACCATGAGCCAGCGTGGCCTTGCCAAGCAGAGAAATGGCCCTCTGCTGATAGCTGGCAGGAAGGGACAGATTAGTGTAGCTCCCTGCCTACACCTGGATTTTAACCCGTGAGACCTGCGGCTCACAAAAGCATGCTTGCCTGGCATGCCAGAGTCCTGGGTTCAACTCCCAGCTCTATATGAACCTGGTATTGGTAGCACCTACCTATGTTCCCAGCACATCAGGTGTTCAAGGTCACCTTCAGTTGCATAGGCCAGCCTAAGATATATTGAGACCTTATTTGAAAAAGGGACAGGGGTAGACAAGAGGAATCAGAGCGGGAGTAATTCCAGGGCTCTGATGTCAATCAAGTGACAGAGGTAATGACAGCTGTGAGTGAATGATGCCTGGGCTGCAAACACAGATCACTACAGAGCCTGGGACATCACTGACAGTGAGTAGGAAGGGGGAGGGGAGATCAGGGGGAGGGGAGATCAGGGGGAGGGGAGGGGACAGCAGGGGGAGGGAGGGGACAGCAGGGGGAGGGGAGGGGA